TAACGCTAAAGAGATATTATAATTTCTTAGTAAAAAGCTTATTTAAGAAGGCGAAGCTATTAGCGCCTGTGTCGATTAAAGAGTGTAATTAGATAGAATATCTGTTTTTACTAAGGCGATAAGGGTAGGTAAAGTATAGACCGCCTATTAGCGTTAATAGGTCTAAGTTAGTTAGATCTACTATATCGCTATATTCGCTTAAAAGAGGGTCTTGTTTTAAGCCTCTTCTTTTAAATTAGCTTCGCTCTCTAATTAGCTGATTTCGTCGACTTCCTCTTGATCTAGCTCTTTAAGATCACCTGATTTAGGCTTAGGGTATTAAGGTGATAAATACCCTACCTTATTACACTTATAATAGCGTACTTCCTAATTAGGCTTTATAGCTGTAATAGCTATAGTTTTTTCAGTAGTCTTTTTTATATAATCGTTATTATAACAATTCTATATTCTTTACTCTCTACGAGCCGATCTAGAGGTTTTAGAGCCACTAGTTATAATAATAGACTCTTTTCTTCTTTAATTAGCTATTAGCCTCTCTTATTCGTGCGATTTTAGTGCAGCTTAATAAAACTCGTCGAATCTGTTAATAAAGTTTATTATAAGTTTTATAGTAGCTCTAAGATCAGGATATAACTTTATATAGAAGTAGTCTTTTAAGTAATCCCTAGGCTTTCTAGCCTTATTAGTAAGGCGTAGGAATTTAGCTTTAAAATCACTAAAATCGTTAGTAGATGATATACGTAAGCTATTATATTCAGCTTCGTATATCGATATTTACTTTATAATAAAGATCTTATATAAATCAGCTATTAGCTCTGTATAATATATATAAGGATCCCTGCTATATATATTATACTTTATAAATAAGGCTTCTTATGCTTTACCCTCTGTTATATTATATATATAGGTTATATAAGTGAACTTATTGTTGAAGTAGTCTTAATTTACTTTTAGCTTAGAAATAATTAATAATTCTTATCGCTTAAACGTAGGGTCTACGCTATTTATAAGCAGCTTTAGATTATATATTTTTCCGGTTTTACGCCACTTGTTATTATATCTAGGAAACTTATTAGGGGCCCCTATGATAGTAGCTCTAATTGTATCTCTAATAAAAGAGGAATTTACAGGGGAAATTAGAGGTAGAGACGCTCTAGGAAGCTCTTTTTAAATTTGAGTTATAAAGCGAGTTGTAGTATTCGCTTCTCTGATTAGTTAATTAGGCGATAGAGTTATAATACGTGTTATAAGCGTTTTTTCCTTATCTCTTTACTTACCTCTAGTACGTTCTATAATATTTATTTCAAGCGTATTTTCACGAATATACCTTAAGGGGCTTTCGTCTCTTACTTAATTAGGGTTAGAGTTAGAGCTTTTTAGCTCTTGTAGTTCTCGCTGTAATAAGCGATTCTCTTTAACTTACTCTTGTATTATACTATATAGTTCGGCGATTTAGTTTACTAGACTCTTATTAGCTGAATCTCTTTATTATAAGCGAGACCTAGGTCTAGCTATAGAAGCTTCTTCTACCTCTGATTAATCTATATTACTAGCGCCGGGTATTTATACTCTAGCAGGGGTACTTTAAACTAAGGAGAATAACTTAGCTTCGTTATTAACTCTTAATTAGTTCGATTCGTCTTAATTTTCCGTAGAAGTTATATTTCTACTCGGAGAGCTATTATTATAACTATCCTAAGTATCGTATTAAGAACTTATAGTTCGTACTATTAATTAGCTACTAAAATCGCGGAAATCGATTAACGTTTAACTAAGATATCGTTAAGTAATAATATAGGGTTTTTAAAGGGTAAGTCGATTATAAAAACGACCCCTTTAGCGTATAAGCCTAATAAAAGCTCTTTTTATTATTATAATATAAAATAGTAACTATTACGTTACGTACTAGCGTATCTTATCCTATTACAGAATAATAACCGTTGTAATAAGTACTAAAATAACTCTTTTTAGCGTTTTACGCTTATAAGTTAAATGTATATTTAAACTTAAGGATTTAATTAGTTCTTTCAGGGAGCCGCGCGTATTAAAGAATAGAGGCTATAAAAACAGTCTTTTCTACTGCTGCTAGGAGCACGCTAATAGGCTCGCTTAGCTCTCTGAAGTAGCTCTTATTCGCCGTTGTAATATAATAACGTTTCTAAGAGGGATATTAGCTCTCGTAATAGCTAATAGCGAATAAGAAGCTAGTCCGAGTTAGGAGTGTTCTTAACGACTAGCACGACGCTCAGTAGTCGGATTGTATAGCCAAGTCCCGTGACTTAGTTAGATATTCAGGGTTAATATAAGAGTATTAGGTAATAATAAGTACTTATCTGCTTTTAGCTAGCCTCGTAATTCTAACTAATAGTAAAGCTAGGTGATTCCAGCTTTTAAATAACGCTAAGCCAAGCGTAGTCTTATAACTTCGTATAAGTTGTTTATTATCGTATAACCGAGTGAGTAGCGCTAGTAAGGTAGCGATAATAAGGGTCGAAAAACAAAGGCTCACTTAGAGTGATAAGTATAAGTCGTTAGGATATTATTACGCCGTTACTAGTAGTGTGATTTAAGCTTAATATAATATAATAGTATAGTTTAGTATTAGCTAGCACGTAAGCGAAATAACTACAGATCAGGTGATAACCTCTCTAATAGCGTGAATATTAAGCTGAGGAGCCCTCGATTCCGTAGAGGGCGCTTGAGCTTATATAGATAAATTCCCCGGGCTATTCCCGATTAGGACTAATTACATTTGATGTAAAACTTAACGTAAACTCCTGTAGTAGCGTAGAGCTATTTCCCTTTACGTATAACTAAGTAGGTAACTGTCGGTAAACCCCTTCAGAGTTAACCGAGCTCCACCGAGTCTTACCGAGCTTTACCGAGCTCTAGACTCTTCCTAATCAGGTATAGTAAAGAAGTGGTTACTACTACCTTTATAAGGAATAAGTTGAAAGTAACTTTATATTAATAACAGATCTACAAAAGTCAAGTCTATTTTATAATAGTAGTTTAAAGGTAGAAGAGGTGTTATTTACTTTAAAATCGTTCCTTCGTGAAGTTATACCTCCAATTATAGCTTTAGTAGCCTCTTACTTTAATTTTACTATTAAAACCTTCGTGGAATAAGAATACGATATTAATATAGTTAAAGATATATCGATTTCAGAGGTAATAGAGCTTAAAATAAAAAGTAGTGTTTTAAAGACGATTTAAAAGCAATTAAAGCTATTTAAGAAGTAGTATAATTAACAGGCTCTTATTTAAGAAAATAATAAACTTAATAAAGGCGAAGATAAGAGTAATAATAAAGAATACAAGGAGTAAGTTTCAGTAGTATTTATAGCTATAGTTTTTATATAGTTTCTGTTTAATTAACTCTTATTCTATATTAACTTCGTTACCTTCTTTAATTAGTACGCTTTAATAACTTGAATAGCGAAAGTGGCCTCTAGCTCTACGTTTAGCGTTAGCTCTTACTTTAACTAACTTTACAGTTATTATTAAAAAGCCTTTAAATTCCTCCTAAGTATACTTACTTTAGCGCTAGTATCTCCTAATCTACGATTTTAGATCTGCGAAGCTCTCTTTAATAAGGTTAAAAAAAAGGTAATATAAAGAGAGATATTCAAGTTAAAGACTAAAAGCTATATAAAGAGCTAATACTTAAGAGTTACTATAGATTAACGTGTTATCTATTATTACTACTTTAATTCTAAGCTCTATGTATTTAAGTAAGATACTCTTTTCTAGCTATTTAGTGAAGATTTCAACTGTAATTAAGCCTTAGTATATTAATAGCTAATAATAACTATAAAGTAAGTATATAGAGAGAATCAACTACTTTATTAACTATTTAAGTACTCTCTAAACCTCTATAGAAGCTCCCCTAAGAGCCTATCCTCTACGCCTATTTATTATACGCTTATTATAGGCTAATTTGTTAATAAAGTATAAGTCCTAGGCCTTTTAAAACACTATCTTTCGCCTTTAAGCCGCGATTAATTCGTTATTCCTTTAACTTATAGAGACCTTAAGTACTTTCTTAGTATAATTAAGCCTTTAGAGAGCCTTAAAGACTTAATTAACTAATACGTCAACTTTATAAGCCTCCTATAGATACGCTATAATTTCGTCCTAATATAAATCTAGCTCCCTCTTAAGTAACGCCTTAATATATTCACTTATATTATTAGTAATAATAGGTAAAGAGCTATAGTAATAATATTCTAAAGGTAATATCTAACGATCTAGAGTCTGTTTCCGCTTATATATTATCTTATATATTATTCTAAACTCTCTAGTAAGAGCTTATAGGTTAATATCAACTTTATAGGATAATATTCAGTTGATATTTAATACTTTCTAAGCTAGTAGGTTTAGAGCTATAATATCAGATAGCTCGCAGGCTTAGGTTCGAATATTTAAGGTAAGAGCTTTAAAATAACCTAATTCCGAAGAAAATCAATAGAGATTTAATAGAGTTATAAAGGTTACAATTCTAGGTTATTATATTTTAGTAGGGTCTATAGTAAAAGTCGGTGAGTCGGCGTTATTTACCGAAGAATCACGCCAAACTGAAGAATGGCTTATATCTAGCAGCCGGTCGAATCAAAACCAGGGTGTATCCAGTCCGCATCAGGCCCAGAACGTTTTGTCGATTTACTGATTCTCGTGAACTAGGATCTCCCTCTTGACAGAGACACTGTCAACCCAAGAGTGATGTTGGAGATAGGTACGTAGAACGGTGTTTCCCTGTTCGCAAACCCAAAGCTTGGGCAAGCGCGTCCTAAAAGGAGGGAAACACGCCCTCCAACGGTCGTGCCTCAGCTTCATAGTGCCCCAGTATGCAAATACGAGGACAAAAACGAACCCCGCTACAAATCAGCAACAGTTCTGAAACCTTGCATATGTGCCTGGTATTCTCCTGATATCTTCAATGAACCGTCAACACTCTATGTGCGACCGCAATCGAGCATCTCAGGACCCAGAGTTGTGCAATGCCTCCGTGGTCAAGCAGACTGCTTTCGCCCAGCACACGAACAGAGACGGGATCCAATTCAGTCAATGACCCACCAGCATCTCCTGCGCGACTACGTCCCAGAATATCTGAAGCCGATATACTTAATAATGCATATGGGATTCCCAGTCTACCTCCTGCCTCTCACTCGAACCATGCTGCTTCGAACACCACGAAGCCTACACGAACTTCGAGCCATGGACGCTCAATGAGCCACCCGTTTCCCTCATTGTTTTCTGCGAAAAAGAAGCGTCATGGGGAATCTGCGACGGCATCTGGGTTCGAGTCCACAGACGACGACTCTGTTTCCCCCATCGCAGCTCGAAACATCGCGCAAAACCCAACACCAAAGCAAAAGGTACCCGACAAGGACTTGACGACTGGCAAATGCATGACATGCGACTCCATGGTACGGTGGCCGAAGGAGTTGAAGGTGTTCAGGTGTACTGTTTGCTTGACAATCAATGATCTGAAGCCAATTGCGCTGGAGGCAAGACGAGGGGACGGACATCGGGCTCCTGTCACTGCCAAAGCTGGTACATATCCTGGATCAAGTCATGCTCAGAAAGGTACGCTTTTCTACAGCTGACTCAAGCAAAATACTGATGGCGTCCAGTCAATCCATTATCTCTTAGAAGAACCAGACAGATTGTCGACCAGTGCGTTACAGCCTATCTTTTAGAACGCCTGCAGCATGATGGAGGATCTACTTCAAGTCCAGTCCCGTCTTCCCCCGAACCACCAATGAGGCAAACCGCACCTTTGAGTAAAGATAGACAGAAGTATGAGCAAAGCAATATGGAGGAAGGCGGTCTCGGGTTTCAAGCCACTGGCACCGCTGTTCATGTCCCTCCTCGACCTATCATTCAAAGGAACGGATTCCCGGGAGAGTCAAATCTTTGCGAACGCGCATCATGTCCGGCCCCAGTCAATGCTCTTCAGTACTCAAAGTCTTCCCCAGGAAGCTTTCTCGATGTCCACATGGAACACAGGAACAGGGAACTTCATTCGGGGACTCGAGCTGCAGGCAATCTAGGCGAAAGAGACAAAGCGGGCCAGGCGCAGCAGATTCGACCTGATGCTGCGAGGAATATCTTTAAGCCTTTAGAAGACTACATCATTGCCTCTTTCGGTTCTTTTGAATGTATCAACAGCTCTTTTACCACAGTCCGGCCAAGCATGGCACCAAGGACTCAAAGTGAAGGCATCAGGCGAAACATGACAGCTCCTTTGTCTGACCGAACTGCTCGGAAGGATACAGAATTGTCTGAGCTTGACGCAAAAACACTTCTAATTGGCGACTTTGCTGAAAATGGCTCCTGGTGGACAGGTAATCGATCCGATTTGCGAAGCCCCGAGAGGTCACGTACACATCGCGTTGGAGATTCCTCAAACGATACCACAGATATTGTAACCGTGAGATCTCCTCGAGTTGAATGGTCTGATGTAAATGAATGGTATCATTTGGTTCTCAGCGCAGGGAGAACGTGGCGGAAGAAGTTGGATGAGCTATCAGCCACAGAGACTATAGTACCACAGCTCCAATCTCTATCGGAATCATTAATGGAGGATATCGAGGATCGAATAATGGAGGCACAATTCCATGCCCAACGGGTCCTGCTGAAAGCTATCGAAAGTCTGCTCAAACGACCCGGACGACCTTTGAAAGAGCCAAGCGATCTTCGATTTCTTCTCATCATTCTCGCAAACCCGCTATTATATCCTACGCATAACGTAGTGAGGCTGAGAAACAGAAGCCGCTCGAAGTCACGAGAACGGGAACGAGAAATTCCTAGTAGACAAGCTGCTACAGGTGCACGTAGAGGTGCGCCAGCTACAACACCTGCGAAGGCTGAAGGGAGCAGAGGTAGCTCGGGACAGCATTCGGGCATCATCAAACGGATTCTGGGACTTTTGTCAAATGTGCCAAACGAATGTCATCACCACCTTGTCTCGTGGTTCGCAAGATATTCAGATGGCCAGTTTCAGAGAATAGCGGATTTGATTGGTAGCTTTGTCACATACCGGCTCACGAGGCAGCATGGTAAGAAACGGGAAATTGACCAAGATCCAACGGCAGATCTTGTACCGAGTATTGGAATTGGTGGATCGGGACGTGCTACTTCGGCAGCCCTCCATGCAGCTTTGGGAACTCCGGGTCAGTCAAGCAAAAAGCACGATGGCAAACCGAAACCTGTAATCTACAACGATGATTGGCAAATCAAAGCTGCAGCAAGAGTGATGGCATTAGTATTTTCAGCAAATAATAGCGGCCTGGCAAGGCGTGGGGAAGCAAACCCCGCATTAGCCACTTTGATAGGAGCTCATAGTGCTGGCCTGGCCGCTCGAGATAGGGCACATAATCATGGACAAATCCTGCCAACGAGCGATTTTTACAATACTCTCCTCGACTACTCGGATCTGATCGCGGATTTCGAGGCGTGGGAGTCTAAGCGAGGCAAATTTGCCTTTTGCCAATATCCCTTTTTCCTCAGCATATGGGCTAAGATTCAGATCATGGAACACGATGCTAGGCGACAAATGGAAGTGAAGGCCAGAGAGGCATTCTTCGACAGCATTATGACTCGGAAGACCGTAAATCAGTACCTGGTCTTGAAGATTAGAAGAGACTGTCTAGTAGAAGATAGTTTGAAAGGGGTAGGCGAAGTTGTGGGTACAGGCGGAGAGGAAATCAAGAAAGGTCTACGTATTGAGTTCAAAGGAGAAGAAGGTATTGACGCCGGTGGTCTACGGAAAGAATGGTTCTTGCTCCTAGTTAGGGATGTTTTTAATCCTGAGCATGGTAAGGACTCTCTGCTACTATCGCAAGTATGCTAATTTTTCCAGGAATGTTCTCTTATGATGATGACTCTGGATTCTGCTACTTCAATCCGAACAGTTTTGAGACAACAGATCAGTTCTTCCTTGTAGGTGTTGTCCTTGGGTTGGCAATCTACAACTCTACTATACTCGACGTTGCACTTCCACCTTTTGCTTTTCGAAAGTTACTCGCTGCTGCTCCTGCAGCTGCGCCCGGCGCAACATCTCATGCAAAGCCCTCTATGACATACTCACTTGAAGACTTGGCCGAGTACCGACCAACACTGGCTCGCGGTCTTCGGCAACTCCTTGAATTTGATGGCGATGTCGAAGCGACCTTTTGCCGGGACTTTGTTGCAGATGTTGACCGATATGGCCAGCTAACTCAAGTACCCCTCTGCCCAGATGGAGGTAAGAGACCAGTAACGAATGCCAACCGAAGAGATTTCGTCGACTTGTATGTTCGATATCTTCTTGACACTGCTGTTGCTCGTCAATTTGAACCGTTCAAAAGAGGCTTTTTTACAGTTTGTGGAGGGAACGCTCTGTCGCTATTCAGACCTGAAGAAATTGAGCTTCTCATCAGAGGCTCTGATGAACCCCTCGATATTACTTCCCTTCGAGCAGTATCGGTCTGTGAGAATTGGAAGGTACCGAATGCTGCAGAGGCCGAGCCAGTGGTGCAATGGTTTTGGCAGTCCTTCGAGGCTGCCAACCCAAAAGATCAACGAAAATTACTGAGCTTCATCACGGGAAGTGATCGTATTCCTGCCATGGGTGCGACCAACCTGGTGATTAAGCTATCATGCCTTGGGGACGATGGTCCAAGATTCCCTGTTGCACGGACGTGCTTCAACATGTTGTCACTATGGCGTTATTCTTCTAAGGAAAAGCTGGACCATATGCTTTGGCGTGCGGTGAATGAGAGCGAGGGGTTTGGATTAAAATGAAGCATCATGGAAGGCGTTCCAATAAAAAGGAGTCTAAGGCATAGCGTTATAGATGCTTGGAGGGTTTAGCAAGAAGAGCTCTGGCACTCCTGGGTGATAGCTGATGGTCAGCTTTGTGACATGGAATCAATGATACAGCCCAACACCCTTGCATCATCAGAAATTTCTCAAAGGACAAATTGCTCACAGAATCGTATGCTTGAGCGTAATGGTACACATATTTCTACAGCTAACGCCGATACCATGCACTTTGTAATCATCGTTCCCTCAGCAAATCAACCCAGCAACGCATCGGGGTCGCCTCTGGCTTGGATTAAGATAGCCTCCTCTCGTTTCCTCTTCGCATTAACCTCAGCCATCATAATAGCATCCCTCTCACTTCTAGCATTCTGGTCCTCAATATCTTGAATTTGTCTCGTCTCCTCGGCTGTGGGCTTCACAATTCTCGCTCTCGTAATCGCCAGCAATTGATCAAGGATTTCTGACTCGGGCCTATGCTTCATGTTGACAACCTCTGTTCTTTCCGTCGGTAGCCCAGCTTTCGTAGCTGCTACAGGTGCGCTGGATGTCTCCTTCGTCGTCGTGGATGAGATTTCTGGCTTTGTACTTGCTGCTGCTGATGGGTTCGTGAAGTGAATCGTCAGGAGCGCGGGGCCGGATTGATCATTCGTACGATTGACAGTCATAGGGACGGCAGGATTGTGGTATTTTAATCGAGGGAGACAGTTGCGCCAGAACTTCCTTGGGTGCGATGTCAGTAAGGGTTGATGGATTTGTTGAAGCTCAGGAGATTGTACCTGGGTCCGTAATGTCCATCCTCTATATCGCGCGCAAAGTCCATATGTATCCTCGTTACTTCGGGTGGTAAAACTGCTGCTCCTGGACCTATTCTAATGGCGAGTAACTACATCCTGTGTCAATTGGGTTGTGAAGGCATGTTGATGACTCGAGAAGTTGTCTACCTTCTACATACCGCAAGTTAGCATTCACATTGTGGGAGCACTTTGGACAGGGAATACGCACAGCTCTCAGCTTTCTCATTCTTTTTATAACAGCCACCATCTTGAATATATGCTTGACCTGTTCAGTGCTGGCAGGATCCGATTGCAGTGTCGTTCGACAGCATGTAGGTACAAGTAAATTATTTAAGCCTTGACGCTACTGCATCCGAATGAATCCCTGTCAAAAAAAGTTTAGGGGCCTTGTGAAGATCTCCAGCTTCACACAGGCAGGAATCACTGAGTAAAGAAGTCACCCAAATGGAAAATGGCAACAAGTACACGCATTGCTCGACGAGTGGCGAGGCAGGTCGTAATGCCTCTTGCTGAAATACCGACGTTTCTTTGTCCAGCTATCCTGAGGACGACTTCAATACCACTTCGATGTACTTATAGACAATCGCAGTCCACTTCGCCAGCTTCACAGAGAAGAAGCGTCTCTTCGATTCCAACGATTCAAGCACAAGGACCTCCGAAAGCTCGAAAGTCGCCGTTAGAAGAGCTACCACAGCAATGCGCAGGTTGCGGAGCCCTCTCGCAGACAGTCGATAGTGAAGGGCCCGGATACTATACTCTGACCAGGAAATCTGTCAAGACTTTTGTAGAAGGATTATCGACGCAGGAATTATCTGCGGAGGATGAGGTCGTGAAAGCAGCTCTAGAACGAGCAGGAACGGAAGCTGCGAGCTTGAATTTAGGAGATTTAGAAGCTCCAGGTCAGCACCAAGAAATGAAAGTGGTGGAACCTCTGCTAACCCCTCGCAGTACAAGATCCAGAGCCACCTGTATGTGACAGATGCCACAAGTTGAAGCATCATGAAACTGGTGTTTCCATACACCACCCATCTATACAATCTATTCAAGATACCATTTTCGAATCGCCGTACAAATACAACCATGTCTACCATGTTATTGACGCAGCGGATTTCCCCATGTCTCTTGTGCCAGGACTACAGAAACTTTTACATATTACGCCACAGAGATCGCTGAACAGAAGGTCAAAGACAGGGAGGTTCTACCATGGACGAAGAACGGAAGTTAGCTTCATCATCACACGGTCCGATTTACTTGCGCCCTTGAAGATACAGGTTGATCAAATGATGCCATACTTAAGAGAAGTTCTTCGTGATGCATTGGGAAGATCAGCAAAAGATGTTCGCCTGGGAAATGTGAGATGTGTGAGTGCAAAGCAGGCTTGGTGGACGAAAGAGCTGAAAGAGGAAATCTGGTCAAGAGGTGGTGCAGGGTGGATGGTTGGGAAGGTCAATGTTGGAAAGAGCCAATTGTTCCATGAAGTCTTTCCCAAAGGGAGAAAGACTTCGGACAAGAAGGTGGGTACTATCTTGCCTGCGAGGACAGCCGTGACACTGGACGAGACAAAGGAGATTGTGCTTGATATGGTGGAGGCAAACTCGGAAGGCATGGAAGTAGAACCGGAGAGTCTAATCACGTCGGACACTGCAGACAGCACCGCAATTCAATCCGAAGTAGATGTGGAGCTACAAGAAGCATTTGATAAACTCGAATCCTCTGCTTCTTCATCTCTTGACACATCTTCCCTCCTCCCCCCAGCCCCCATCGAGGTCGACTACCCTTCCATGCCACTCGTCTCCTCTCTCCCAGGCACAACCGCTTCACCCATCCGCCTTCCCTTCGGTAATGGGAAAGGCGAGCTCATTGATCTGCCCGGCCTCTCGCGAGGGGACCTTGAGCTCCACGTCCAGCCAGAACACCGCTCCAGCCTGGTAATGCGCTCACGCATCCAGCCAGAACAACAGACCATTCGTCCACGGCAGTCACTTCTTCTCGGCGGTTTCATACGCATCACGGCAACGGATCCTAATGTCTTATTTCTATCTTACTCATTCACACCTATCGAGGCGCACGTCACTTCGACAGAGAAAGCAATTGGCACGCAGACGCAAACACGTGAGTCTGCTCTCGTAAATATATCTCTTTCTGGAACAGGAGAGAAGATCAAATCTGCAGGAGTATTCCCATTAAAATGGGACGTCACGCGACAGCGAACTGGCCCAATCACTTCACGCAAAGCATTAGGCATCAGGCCAGAGAATCTGCCTTACAAAGTCCTTGCAACAGATATCCTGATTGAAGGATGTGGATGGGTGGAACTCGTTGCGCAGGTTCGAAAAAAGCCGGGAGAGGTTCGTTCTTTTGCGCGCGAATGGAAGGAGGAATTTGACCGTGCTTCAAAGGCTGCACGGGGGGAGTCTGAAGATTCGTCTGAGATCGCCGACGATGTTGTCGATGTCGATGCAGACGTACCTGCTGTGGAGGTGTTTTCGCCGGAAGGGAGATTTATCGCTTCCAGGAGACCGATGAATGCGTGGTTGTATGTTGCGGGTAAACCTACCAAGGGGAAGTTACAAGGCCGGCCGAGGAAGTCTATGAAGGGTGTGAAAAAGGCAGAGAAGAAGCGGAGTAATGTAGGAGGGGCGGCTTTGTAAGTTATGTTAGACAGACACGTAGATACCCTACTCTTTAACAGGAAATGTATACATACAATTTCAAAATAAACCGTATTCTATTTCCCATGACCGTGTCTTGGATGCGACATTTGGGCATATTTGGGACTTGATGAATATCATCTCCCCAGCATGCCATGTTAATCGAGGCCAAATGAACAAAACATCAAGCCTCATCCACAGTAGGACCACAGAATTCCCCTAGCAGGACGCATGTATCCATTTTAGTGTAATTTTATTAGTAGTCTCATACATTCTTACCAGTGATAGGTTCTAGGATGCACCGGAACTATCTGCATCTGGAGAAGGATCAAGCTTGACATATCAATTTCCTGGCACCATGTCTAAGATCAAAGCTGATGGGCGGAAATCCGACTTGAGTATCAATCAGCATTCTGGCATAAGACCACGGTCCTAGAGGTTCTCTGAACCGACGCAGACATTGAACTAGGGTGATATTTCACTTCAGGGCTGAGTACACTTTCCACACGAACTTGGCTACTTCACAGATTCACGCCATTTTCTTGACAATAAGAAGTTCCTCATACATGCAATATTCACAAGTGACTCGGATATCTGGTTCAAAAGTATCCATCCATTCATCCTTCCGTTGCGTCTCGCGGTCCATTTTGGATAGAGTCGTTATATGTACACAGCCAGCAAAACGAAGCAACAAACTAACTAGAGAGTAACGCCATCCGCAAAAACCCGCAGATTGAAAACATATGCAAGAGTCTAGCCAGCGATTTGAGGTATCCACGTGATAGATCTTAAGCAGAATTCCACTTTTAGACTTTTGGGGCAGCCAGCCAACCATATACGAAGAGAGAGAACATTTATGGACATTCGCAGACCCTGCATTGTCCCAAAGATATCCAGTCCGCCGTGTGATTCGAAGTTGATGCAAAAACAAGAGATCTTTAGGTAGATCAGAAGATTATGGTCTTTATGCTGAAACGCCATTTCTTGCCTTCTTGCCGGTAGGCAGCTCGGCCTCAGCATCAAGTGCTCTCTTCTCGGGGACGTCGATCTCTCTCTCCTTCTCGGCCAGCATTGCCTTCTCCTCGTCGGTCATGTTAGGGAGGAGATCTACCTGCTTGCCAATCTTCAAGCCACGGTGGAATGCACGGATAATCGAATCGGCATCGTCGATTGCGATGGGTCTGATGTCGGCTAATGCCTTGATCTTGGCTGTGCACTCCTTGTACTGAGCATCGGTCATCTCGATGTTCAATTGGGTTGCTCTTGACTTGATGGCGTTCCATCCGGTCAGACGGGAAGCGAAGTGAACGTATCTCGACATGCCGAAATCAGCTGGGTTGATAATTTCGTATGTAGATGGGTTGTTGAGGATTGCCTTGGCGTGGATACCGGCCTTGTGGGTGAAAGCACAGAATCCGGTGATGGGGTTGTTGAAGCTGATTGATCGGTCAATTTGAATTCTGAGGAAGGTTTGGGAGAAACTTACGGAATGTTGACCTCAACAGCCTGTGCAACCAGCTCCTCGATATCCTTGAGCTTGTGCAGCTTGTACTTGCCCATAACATACTCTCTGTCTGCAACAATCATGCGCGCCATGAGTCCACCGAGGGGAGTGATACCATTTCGCTCACCAATACCCAGGACTGAGGTATCGACGTGGGTTGCACCAGCCTCCAAAGCGCAATAGGCATTGGCAATTGCACAACCAGTGTCATTGTGGAAATGGGTCTCAATATCGCAACTGACAACACCTCGCAGAGTTCGGATCAGGTCATAAACTTGTCTTGGAGATGCGCATCCAACGGTATCCGCAATACCAACACGGTTTACACCGATCTTGTCGACTGTGGAGTAAATTGAAAGAAGGTCAACCAAGCTCGATCTGAAGGAATCCTCGCTGGAAAATCGGATTTCGATGTTGTGCGACTTGACGTAGTTGATAACCTCAATTGCAGTGTTGGTGATGTAGGTCATGTCCTTGCCGTGGGAGTGCTCCATAAGATAAGAAGAAGTGCCGATAACGACGTCACTGAGGCATATCAGCAAAGGAAAATACGAAGCATGTATTTGTGACTTACACTCCATCGACACCAGTTTGGACAGCAATTCTGGCATCGTCCATATGGCATCGGATGTGGGTGAGAATCTACTCAACTTAGCCTATTGAACCAAAACTCCTAGGGGAAGCGACAAACCTTAGCCTTCAATCCAAGCTTGCAGATGGCCTCGCAATCAGCTCTTGATTGCTCGGATGCAGCTGGCGAAGTCAATTCGATCTGTATTCCTCTTGTCAGCATGCCTGCTGTATATACATTCCCTTGGTGTGACTCACGTAGTCAACACCAAAATCGTCCAGGGCCTTGGCTATCTCAATCTTCTTCTCGGTGTCGAAGAACGCATTGGCGAACTGTTCACCCTCTCGCAGCGTACTCTCGATGATCTTGAAGCTCGATACATTGCTCAGGAAATCGCCAACGGGTTGGTATGGGTTGTGTCGCGTGGGGTGGGGGTTTGACTTGGTCTCGACGGCGGTGAAGCCTGGGTGAGCTTTCGATTGAGGTTAGTAATTGTCCATCGCGATCCAAAGGGGAGAACTCACCGTCAACACCGTTTGCAGCTTCATTGGCTCCATTGGAAGATCCATTGGCCTGGCCGTTGCCATTGGCGATAGCTTCAGGCTCGCACGAAGGGCACATGGTGGTTGATGTGTAGATGTGAAATTGTTGTAATGGAAGAACAGGAAGAGGGTGATCGATCAGGTGGATGAGATTGAGGCAGAGTGGAGAACGGTTTGGCAATTAGAGGAGAGGACGAGGAGGATGGGCTTCGTTTTGTTTTGTTTTGTTTTGTCCTGTATTCACTTGAGGGAAGAATGAAAAATATGAGTAAGAATGCCAGGGCGGATGCGGGTGTTTGGGGGTTTGCTTGCTTATGACTCTACTTCAATTGTGGGGAGGAGGAGGAGGAGGAGGAGGAAAAGAAAGTGCACCTGCAGTGCATGCCTTGTGGTGCGGTGCAATGCAGTGCAGGACGGTAAGGGAGGGTAGGTAGGTAAGTACCCAGTAATGAGTGGGTGGGTGAGGAGGAGGAGGGAGAGGCGTGGTCCTGGTCCTGGGTCCGGAGGTGCAGGGCAGGGCAGGGCAGGGCAGGGCAGGCAGGGGCATGAAAAATCGAGGGGAACCAGGCGAAAAAAAAAGCTGCTGGACGCCCCGATCTCGGCATTCTAACCACTAACTGTTCATTGGCTCAGGCTACAACTATATCCCCTGTCTCCCTGTCTCCCTGTACGGAGTACACTACGAGTGCCTAGGTACGTGCTGGGCGTGAAACGATATTCCATCAACTACAAGAGCGGTCAGGCCAAGTGTCGGCTGCTCGCACCAGGGCAGGAGGGCGAGAGAAGTAGGAGGGGGAGGAGAAAGAAAGGCACTGACGATTCGGCGTTTGTTTGTCGTTTGTTTGTTACTGAGGTATGTAGGTACCTTTCGAACCGTGTCGCTATGCCGCCCTGCAAGTGTTCCAATGAGTGCAGCCACGAAATCGAGGTTGAAGAGACACGTGACCACCCCCCTTCTTCTCAAACACTCTACAAGTCAATTTCTTTGTTCCTTGTTGAGATTTACAAGTCGACTAGGCTCCTGTTCAATTCCAGCCATGTTCAAGGTTCACATATCGTTGTGGACTATGTCAAGTAGTGAGTCTTTCCAAACCACATTAGCAAATGAGCTGGTACGTTGTTGTCTGATGCTCCGCCGCATGGACAAAGGTCAATACAACATCAAGTATTTGGCAGCGCACAACCTTGTGCTTGGAGGTACAAGGCTCAATTCTCTTCACATATCCAAATGTCAAACTACATTTTACCATTGCTGGCAGGTTCTTCAAATTCAAAGGCCTTATCCTTGTTGACACGGTCTCGCTTATGACTCTACATGAGCCGCTGAGAAGCAGCAGGCAGCATAAGAGACCTGGATCCTACCAAAGACTCGCTATGTCTAGGGAACATGTAGGTCTTTCATATCTGGGAGCCTACGAAGTCTCTTTGATCATACACCGAGACCCACTGCAGCAGCAACTGCTGTTACTTCTCGGCTGATTGAGCAGCTGCTCAGAAGAATTATCGCATGGCTACAGCGCTTGGCCAGGACGTACCTGATGTTATCCATAGGATACTGCACAAATAGCTTGCAATGCTCTGCCAGTATCCGTAGAGAGAGGAGAGCTTCCTCAGCACGAAGCCAATGCGTCTCTCAGTATACACCTTTGATTCTGTAATAAGGCACCAACTTTGGCAAAATATTCTAGCACTCACTGAGATCATCCAGTGATCCATGTAATTTATCTTGCAGATAGCCTGGCTGGATCTGGCTTCACGTCTTGAAAAATAAGGAATCTTCTCGGTTGATGGTGTTCGCCAGCTTTCGTCTCCCAGGCGATGTGGAATCACAAAATCACCAGAAGTCAAAGCAGTGAAAATATCTAGCACAAATCTGTGTTTTTGTTGCACACTGCAATATGACTGACCCGTCACCCATTTTGCTCCTTCCAAGGTCTTAGCTCTAAGGGGTTACTTTGCTCATGCTGACTAAACGCTTGACACCAACCTGTAGACATCAGTATTGGAACCTTTGAGAGTAGAATTCGCCTTACCATCCAGTTACCACACTCTTCTGTCTTCTCTCGTTGGATATCGACTTGTAGTTTTGCAGCAACGTCAAAATTCTTCGCTTGTAATGCCTCGGCAAGTTCGCTCAATCTCTGAATCGTATCGGGGTTGATGAGCTCCTCGTTGTTCAAATGATCAAACAGAATGTTCAGTCGCTTCTGAGTATCTTTGACTTGAGCAGCGAATGAAGCAGGTGCCTTTGAAGCAACTCGCTGCATGTCGGAAGTGAAAATTTCTACCATCCTCTGAGCATTCGTTGGAATGTGAGATCGATCTCCGGCGGGATGCTTGGTCTTAGTAGGGGCAGCAGCTGCTGCTGGAGCAGCCCTAGGTGGGGGACCTGTTGGTGGGCGGGAACCCTGCGGTGGTCCTTGGGGAGGTGGTGGCGCCTGGTTTGCTTGCTGTGGGGGCTGAGCAGGAGCGTATTGATTCTGAGGCGAGTTGGTAGCTAGAGCATAAGGATTGGCTGGTGGAGGTCTGTTTCCGGCCGGAGGAGGGGGTGCAACTTGAGATTGTGGTGACGGCGGTTGAGAGTACTGCTGGACTGCAGGTGAAGGGGCATATCTATTCGAAGGGGGAGGTCCTGCTGGTGGTGCATTGTAAGGAGATGGGCCGCGAGCAATTGTGGGTGCTGGAACGGGATGTCCGTATTGCTGGGCAGGTGAGTTTGGTTGCTGAGGAGCGTACTGATTAGCAGCTGAAGATGGACGACCTGGTTGTTGGAACGAGTGGGGATGACCTGTCGTCAACGGCGAGCTTATGCGGGGTGGAGCAGGGCCTTTAGGTGGGGGAGGAGGAGGCGTTGGAGTTGCTCTTGACCCATACGGAGGTGCTGGTGGAGGCATGGAATGGCCTTGCTGGTTGGGAAAAGGCGAAGTAATTGGAGCGGCTGCAGGTGTGCTTCGTCGCGCAACAGGTGGCTTGGTAACCATAGGGGTATCGTTCCACTGCTCCATATTCTTCCGTTGGGAAGGTGGTGGACCAGACGGAGTGATATTTCGGGGAGGGGGGGCACCAAAAGCTGGGGGAGGCGCTCCATAGCCTCCGGCAGGGGCATTATAGCCAGAATTGAATCCTCCATAGCCAGCCTGTTGAGGTGGTTGATAACCTGTCTGCTGAGGGGCATATGTGTTTGTCGGGGGAGCGTATGGGTTGGACACAGGTGCGGGAACTGGAGGTGCGAATGCATTTGGAGCTGTACGAGCTGGTGTCGCAGCAGGAGTTCCTAAGGGCTGGTAGCCCTGCTGAGATCGTGGGGCTCTGGTGGTCAAAGTTGGCTGAGTAGGTTTAGCTGCTGGAGCTCCCTTTCTTGATGCAAGTTTGACTCGGTTCCGGGCTACTTCTGCTGCCGGATACTGAGTTGGAAGTAGAGCGAGGTATCTCTCCGCAATTGACAGGTGCCCGTGAGCTGCGACGATGTCGGCGTACTCAGTGTATTTCTCATACAGTGGAGCGAGTTTCCAGTCCGAGGTCTGATTCTGCTCCGAGTCCTCGAATTTGGTGACATCGCGGAAGACGGTGACTTTCTCGATGAAGTTCTGGAGAGTACGGGCATGAATTGAAAAAGAAGAATCTCCATTCAAGTCTGCAATACCGGCTTTCTCTGCTTCCTGTAACTCGGTGATCCAGATATTAATCACCTTCTCCAACTTCGATCCTATTAAGTAACAGAATGAGGCATCCTTGAAAGAACCACTCTCCATTACCCTGTCTCCTAGTGCCTCACACAAATCTGGGAACTCGTTTGGATCCGCATAGGTGCACAGTGTCGCCATTGTCTCTTTCCAGTTGGAGAGATCTGCATTGTACACGACATCCCACAAGTTCTTGCCGATGACGGAAGTCAGTAGGCGGAGGTAATTAGGGCCTTCAGTTTTCCGGGAAAGATAGGATGACTGTGCCTTCTCAAGCAGCTCCTTTCCACCGCAGTTTGCAATAATGAGAGCATCTGCAATCTTATCCTCCTTCAGGCAAATCGTCATGGCTCTTTCAAACTGGCCCAGCATTAATGCTTTTGTGATCTGCTTCTCGGAATTTGAATCGGCTTCGGAGAACAAATGAAACGGGTTATCAGTCTTGGCACCCTTTGTAGCTGCAATGCTCGACAAGAAGTCTTCCCCATCGACACCGTCTGCAAAGAGAGTAGACAGTCTACTGTTCTTTGCAGCAGTACCGTTGGTAGTTTCCCCGGCCTCCCCTGACTTCGAGTCACCCAAGTCGCTATCCGCAGCACCATTGCTTGCCTCTTCAACTTCATCTGTGAAACCAAGGTACTCGGTAACCCGTTTCCGTGGATTCTCAGCAATTAAAGTTTCAATGACTCTCCAGTCAGCCTTTTCGTCTTCACTTTTCGCTTTCGAGATGTGGGATTCGCAAATGCTGCCAATGTCACCAGCTACAAGGGCAGCTTCGAATGCTTCGGTAGCGGATCCAACATCAGAATCAACAGAGAAATTAGAAATCTGGATTTTGGATGATCGATGTTGACCAATTGCTGTAGGCAACAGGCCAAAGCTTACTAGCTTTCCTCCAAAACCAAATGAAGCACCAGCAGGTCTTTCCAGCCACTTTGGTGCCCTTGTCAAAGAAAATGAAGCACCTTGGGGTTGAGTTTGAGCTTTGGTGAAGAAGTCTTCGCCATCAACCGGGCCCTGGACAGGAGTCTGCGTTGTAGTAGGGTTGGTGTTCTGTAGAGTTTGGATAGAGATTTTGCCATCGAACGAAGCGGTAGCAGACAAGGTCGGATTGTGCGGATTGAATCTAGTCTGGAAAGTCCAGTTTGTGACTTCAGGGAATTCTCCTAAACGCTCCCCATTTTGTGGATTCCAGAGGATTGTCTTATTATCCTTGCCACAAGATAACAAAAGGTCGCTATCTTGCTGGCACCATGACAGAGATAGAATCCCTTGATCGTGACCTTGCAGGGTTCGTTCTGGCGCATTCGAGTTTCGCAGATCCCACAGAAGGATGACTGGAGTTGTATCGTCGGGAGTCGCGGTCAAAAGTTTCGTAGCATTATTGGGATCCCACGCAATAGCTCCCACAGCCTTCCGATTGTTGTTCAATGTGAGAGACGCTTTTCTGGTTTTCAAGTCCCAGACAGTTACAAAACCACCACTTCCACCAGTCGCCAAAATATGAGACACCTTTCTGTTCCAGGCGACGCATTCAAGGTCATCCGATCTCGCTGCGGCTGTGCCCAATCTAAAGGGGTTCTGGATATCGTTAATGTCGTAAATGAATAGCTCCCCTTTTGCGCCTGCGGTTGCCAGAATCTGCGGCTTCAAGGGGTTGAATTGCAGTGATTTGATAGCTCCTGTATGCTTAGTTGTCTGTGACATAAATGCATCATCTGCCCCTTTCATAAGCTTCTCTGCGTCCCATAGTACCAAAGAGCCATTTTCGAGAGCTCCAGCGATTATGCCCCTTGGGTGATCGGCGTTCGCAGGTGCCCATGCAATATCGTGGAATCTAGCAAATACAGGAGTCAGTCAGTCTGAACTCAGGATATCCGAACTAAACTTGCCGTGATTCTGAGCTAATGCTCGCAACAGGCTGAAGCTCCACGCCTTGGTCCAAGTCGTCCAGGCTCAAGTCCCACAGCTCCAGCTTTGTCTCGTCTGAAAAGTCTGCATCGACCGCACCAGCTCTAGTTCCAGTCACTACCAAAGGCGAATCCGGTCCAGGGTACCACGCAAAAGCTGCCGTCCGAGGAATCTCTCGAAGGCGTACCATTCTGTCGATCTGTTGATTTGACCAGAGCTTGCTCAATGAATTATCGTTGTGTCGTCGCGGGGAAACAGAACAAAACGTAAAGAAATACCCGGCAGCTAGAGAATGACACGCAAATGGAAATCAAATGCGACGTCCTAAGTGAAGTTGTGTTTAGGATCCGAGCTATGTTCAGCGTTCCAAGTTGCCAGATTTACGGACTACTCCATGCACACGTGACATCGCTCAACGCCCCATGGAAGCGTGAGTGCAAGAGCATGAGAAGCTCGATATCTTCCCAAAACGTTCTCTAGTCACGACAAAATTTCGAAGATGTCGGACCAGGCACGTTGGAAAGCGACGGTCTATGTGGGTGGTCTAGCACCTATGGTAAATGCAGCAAACCTTCATGCGGCATTTCTACCTTTCGGAGAGATTGCAGATGTTTCTCTCCCGTGAGTTACCCGTCGTAGCAAATTTATAAACGAAATTCAAGCTCATATAGCACAGAAAACCTGACGGGCCAAACTCTACCGAGCTTCATAGAGGCTTCGGGCATGTAGAGTTTGAGGATCCAGAAGACACGAAGGATGCCATTGACAATATGGAGGGAGCCGAGCTGTTTGGCAAGGTAATCAAGGTATCCGCAGCAAAGCCACCGAAGAACGTGAATGAGGGACTGGGAAGCAAGACAGCTTTGTGGGAGCAGGTGAGTGGCAGAAACCTTGGGGGCCTCGTTGGTCCTTTACTTTTTGATCACGTTCTCACATGGCACAGGAGGGCTGGCTCGCAGAGAACGCTGTGAGTGAAGAGGATAAGATGGCAGCAGATAGAGCAAAAACAGGTGCAGATGATGCTCCTTATGATCCTATGCAGGGCTTGGAAGGACTGGATGTCGCTGGTCCCAAACCAGCTTGAGGGTTTTCCAGGCTGTGGAACTGAGGAGGTTGTCACATGCAATTCAATGGCGTTGGCGGAACGGAAAATGGCCTGGAGTTAAAGCGAGGAGTGGCAGATTGATAGCCAATGCATTGCTTGCCGTTTAGGCATGGGATCATAGTCATTGGGATGCTCTGTATTGATACCAAATGATCCCCTGATTTACTTTGTACAGCTTACAGCTTCTTGTTTTGGGATCCCTCAAGCATTCACATCTCCATTCCCTAAAATCACAATCTAGCCTCCTGTTGCCCCTTTGCTACACAATCTAATCCTTTCTGTTCTGGCGAGAGAGGCGCATCTGCTTATCCACAACGAGCTTTCGTGCCATGGAGTAACCAGCAAACCCGACAGCAACACCGACGACGATTCCTGACCTCTGTTAATGCATATTGTGGATCTTATGGACGTTATCTTTACCAAGGGGGATCAACTCCGGAGGAATCTTCTTGAGGGTTCGTAGTCGTTGGGAAATGGTGTGAGCTGTAACGCCAGTGGAATCAGTCTCTATCCGTCTTTCTAATTCTCTATCGTGCCAATTGAGTGCAAAGTATCCCTTCAATCCATTGCGCGGCTCCCAAGGGTTATTTTCGAATTACGTACCGCGGTGCTCTTCGTTCTGATGATGGGCTTTATCAGTCTCTGTTGGTCTGGATGCGATAGTTCTGGAGGGCTGATACTTACTGGCATCGCCATCATCCGCCTGGTAGGCTGGAACATCTTGAGAGTTGCAGTGGGCTGCATGGTAGCGGATTGCTGCCAATTCAGTAGAGTAGATAGATTCTTGTGATGTTGAAGGGAGCAACAACGCCCAAATTCGGGGCCACTCAAAGCTCCTCTGTATTTCGGTTCCGCGCTAGGGCCTTAGCCGAATCGATTGGCCGCCCGACGACTTCACCTCTTCCTTTCTCCAATTGAACTCCTCCACAAACAACTCCACCCCTCAACTCAATCCCTCAAGCCCAATCGCAGAGATGTCCGACTCAGACCGTGAGACCAAGCCCTTCAAGTTCGTGACTGGTAAGTCAACAGCTCCTCAATCCTCATGCCCCGAAATGAAATGGCCTGATGGCTAACTTCTACGCAGCTGGTAAATAGGTTCCCTCTCGGAGCTCGAATGCACGCAATTGACCTCTTGTTTATAGGCTTTGATGCCCGCTTCCCGAACCAGAACCAGACCAAGCACTGCTGGCAAAACTATGTCGATTACCACAAGTGCATCCTAGCGAAGGGCGAGGATTTTGCACCATGCCGTCAGGTATGAGCTGTTGTAGCAAGATGGGAAGCAGTTCTGATAGGGGTTACAGTTCTTCTTGGCATATAAGTCATTGTGCCCAAGTGCCTGGTGTGAACGATGGGATGATCAGCGCGGTTAGTGTTGGCCTATTTCTAGTGGTAATCTAGGCTTATCATCTACCCTGACAGACAACGGAACCTTCCCTACTCGTCTGGATCAGTAAAGGATTTTGAGTGGATTGGTAAATACGTATGACGCAGAAAGGAGCAGTTGAACAAGGGCTGTGTACCATACAAGTCATTTCGGCGAACGCAAATGCGAATGATAGAGGGGACGTTTTGATTCGAGTGGGTAGGCTATGCGAGTACTATCAATGGGAAGGGACTTATAAATGTGTTTCTATGCTCCTTTCTCTACTCTCAGTTTGTCATATCGCAGTATTGCTCCTAGTAGGACTTGCGCTCCATTTCCACAATCCTCGGAACTACAGTATTCCGCTGGATTGTGACTTACGCCATCCTTGCAGGGCACAAATATCCTGGGAGTCTAGTGAGCCTAGGTCTGAAAGCAGAAATCAGCTTACTTACATCGATGTTGGGGCACGTCTTGAAGTATAGACACTTTTCAATGATTAGCAATGGTCAGTGGCTCTGACTGCAGTCATCGGATCATACCTGTCGTGACCAGCACCAGACGTCATTCTTTGCACTGTAGGGGCAGAACTTGTCCCCAGCATATCGTTCGCACTTTGCTCTACGCATCTGATGCAGTCCTCATGAAATTGCGTTGAAGGGGAATCCGTTTCCAGCTTCCAGTCCACAATACAGCCTCGACCCTTGGTCCCGAGAGAATTCAGTCCACCGATATTTTCACCAGCAGCAACCTTCGCAAACCCTTCTTTCAGCGCCGTTTCAAGCCTTAGCAGGAGAGCATCTTCTTTGGATCTTATATCCAGGGAGAATTGGACGAATCCTGGAACGGTGTTTGTCGATCCAGGCTTCAATGTGAGAATGCCGGTCGAAGCTAAGCAGCCCATTTCAGTAGCCTTGTTGTGACTATAAAGGATCAGCTTCGCAGCTGTAAGTAGGGCATCTGAACGGTTGGTGAAGTCTGTTGTGCCGGTGTGACAGTCGGCACCTTTGACCGTGATGAGGAACTAGTTCACTGATCTTAGAAGGTGTCGCTCCAAAATCACGAGTTCGCTCAAACTAGCACGGCATTAACTTACCCAGCGGTAGGCTTGAACGCCTTCTACAGCTCCGATCTTGCCATTCGATTTCTCAAGAATCGGACCTTGCTCAATATGCAACTCAAAATGTGCCCCGATTGGATTGCCCTTGTAACTAGCTTCCAGGGAGCCGAGATAACCAATTCTTTCCAGCTCCGACTTCTGAGTGGCATTTCCGCTGCCAACCTCAACAAGATTGTAAGCCTTCTCAAGAGAGTAGGCTCCCGCCCATACTCCTGAAGCAATCATGGAGATTGGAAACCGAGCCCCTTCTTCATTGGTCCAGTTGATCACCCCTGTTGGATATTCCGTGGTGATATCATTGTCATTCAGGGTTTTGAGAACTTCGATACCGGCGTGAACTCCCAGAATGCCATTGTAGCGTCCTCCGGTCGGCTATCTATGTGAGTGCTGTTACCAATGATGTGTACTTGCTTGACTGACCTGAGTATCTAAATGGGATCCGGCATAAGTCGGTGGCCCAGCTTTCCTCCCCGGACGCACTGCAAAAATGTTTCCTGTAGAGTTGGAATTGGTTGTTAGATTATTCTGAAGCCTTAGGAAACTTACCCATCTCATCGATAGACACTTTACAGCCAAGAGACTCTGTTGTCTTGACAAACCAATCCCGAACTTGCTTATCCGAATCTGTCAATGTGAGGCGCTTCATACCAATGTCCGTGTTTCCTCTAGTAGACCGTAAGCCAATGCATGATAGAATGGAGTGAACAGAACCGTTTCTAACGAGAAAACAGCAATGGTGGACTGCCATAAGCAAACGCTATCCCAGCTGTTGCGCTGGCTGAAGTACTTGATCACAATCCACGGACCGAATAGCACCAGAGTACACAGAAAACTCACTCATGCAGCAGCAGAATCATTTGACACAGATACAAATGGGTACTCCAAGAATTCAAAATAAAGATAACTTACTCTCCCCATCGCTCGCCCGTCCCCCATTCGCAAGTTCCATGGAGATCATTCCACAACCTCTCCCTATTGATCTTCACATTCCGAAACTGCGAATCCGTCATCTCGCTAGTAATCAAAAGCCTCACCGAGGTACAAGAGAATAATCTACAAAGAGGAGGAGGATTCTTGGCTTGAAAAGAATTGGAGAGGATGGGCTTTCTAGATATGAAGCTCACCCGTGACCGGCAGACGGCCTGACAGGTGAGGTATCTCATTATAGTATTCTAGGGATAGGGACGAAACGCAATAGTGGACGATGGAACGAAGAAGGCATGTAAATAAAACTTGGTGAAAGATACCCGACATTCATGGGTAGGGAGAGGCTGATAGGGAGGGGGTGGACTGTCCTACCTGATCAAAGGTGGGGCAAGACGGAATTGGTAGAGGGTACAATACCCGTGAACCTAAAGGCTACCTAAGAATCACATCAGATGTATCCAGAAACAACTCAACCATACAATCGCTTTTGTACAACATGGAATAGTTCTTTACTACAGATCAAAGCTTTGAGCACAATTCATTGTGCGCCTGCCTCACGTCCCTACTGTCCATGAACGCCACGCTTGCCAAACCAGAATTGATACACGTTCTTCAAGGCTTCGTAACTCTGCCTTTTCCTCTTGCTTTTGCCTTGACCGGTGCCTTTGCTTTACCTTTACTCCTGCCTTTAGCTGGTGGAGGTGGAGGTGTTGGTTCTTTCTCAGCTTCCTCCTCGACCTCTTCATCCTCCTCCATTTCTACCTGAATAGCTTCCTTCTCCTCTTCATCCTCATCTTCGTCACTGCTCATGAACTCATCGTCGTCGTCAAAACCAAAGAACTTCTGGGGTTTTGGCTTCGCTGCTGACTCTGAAGGGGGTGTGGTATCCTTGGAGCTCGTTCCTGCCAATGCTTCATCACTACTATCCGACTCGGCTGATCCTGAAGGGCTGGCCTTTGACACTTCAATTAAGTTGTCCTTGTAATCTCCAGACTTCATCGCTGCAAGCACAGCCTCTCTCGTCCTCTCGTTCGCTTCTTCCTTATCCTCAACCCATTTCCCATCAACCTTGCCCTTATTTCCGGATCTCATCTCTTCCTCTCGACGTTCTGCAAGTTCGACGATTTGCTCCCATCTTTTCCTCCGCTCCTCTTTCTCTTTCTTTGCCATCTCGGGCTTGATCGCCAGATATTCAGCCAGGGCTTTTGCTTCATGGACTGATCTCAGTCTACGTCCATCCAGATTTCTGCTTGAGCCATTATCTTCGCCTTGGTTGCGCTTCCGCTTTGAAGACATTCGACCACCTGCAGCACGTAATTGGGATCCAAAACCACCCTTGCCACCGCACATAGGCAGCGCAAGTCGGAGTGAGAGGAAGTCATTCTGAGAATTAGAGAGCAGACCAGAGATGGATTCGTCAGATGTCAGAGGCAGCTGCTTATTTGATATTGTTGTGAGAATCAGGCGGCTGTTGTGTGCTGGGAGGCGTTGGTGAATGCGCTCCTGGAGTTCTGTGATGGACGTTTCGGCGGGGAGCGGAAGCGCGAGAGTTGCTGGGAGACTGAGACCAGGGAACGAGGTCAGTAGAATGTTGATAGTTGACTGGGCCATTTTGAGCGGTGATTTGCACTGCAGATGATGGAGGTGTCAACGGCCATAGAGGAAGATGGATTTTCTGGAGGGGCCTGATGCATCATCACATTGCAAGTGCGGCTGGGGCTTATTTTGCGCTAATCCGTTAAAGAACTAGGCAGCCTGGGCAGCCTCACAGCTCACACTTCAGCCACAGCTCGTTTAAATTCTTAGCGCGAAAGGATCCCACCAGAGCAAACTTCCAAAATGATCGTGAACTTCTTGATCGTCTGAAACTCCTCCCCAACCACCAAACTCGACAACCGCCAAGATGTCAGTCAAAGCCGCATAATTCGATTATATGCTCAGTAACTGACCTTCTACAGGCTTATTCCTAAGGCAGACCGCAAGAAGATTCACGAGTATTTGTTCCGTGAGGGCGTACTTGTCGCAAAGAAGGACTACAACCTCCCAAAGCACAACGATATCGACACTAAGAACCTCTACGTCGTCAAGGCTTGCCAGTCCCTTACCTCCCGCGGATACGTCAAGACCCAATTCTCATGGCAATACTACTACTATACCCTCACTCCTGAGGGTCTCGACTACCTCCGCGAATGGCTTCACCTCCCCGCTGAGATTGTTCCTGCTACCCACATCAAGCAACAACGATCGCACGCTCCTCCCCGTGGAATGATGGGTGGTGAGGGTGAGCGCGAGCGCAAGCCTTTCGGTGGACGTGGTGGACGCGGCGGTGACCGTGGCGGAGATCGTGAAGGAGGATACCGCAGACGTGACGCTGGTGGAGAGGGTAAGGAGGGTGCACCATCTGGAGAGTTCGCTCCTCAATTGTAAGTTTGCATGGGATGTACATTTTGCTCATACACAATACTAACATGGAACTAGCCGTGGTGGTTTCGGACGTGGTGCCGGACGTGGTGCCGGACGTGGTGGAGCTCCTCCTGCTTCTTAGAATGGTTTTCCGTTATGCTTGCTCATGCATCCGACAGAAATTCCCAAAAATTCTTCAATGGTTGGGCTAGACAGTAGCGCGTTTAGTCGAGTGATAGAAATCGCCGGGGTCGAATAGGTCGAGGTTGGAAGTTGACACTTCAGAACTGTCAGATAGCATATTGAGCTTCTTCCATTAGCTTTCTGGTCACTTTCTCGTGAAAATACAACCAGTCGGCCCTCGTTTTCTCGCTGATCATCACTCCTCATATGAATGCGTTTTTTTGTACGAAGATCCGACTATCGGACATTTTTGAAAAGCCCCATTCCATCAGCCTCTCACGCCAGAATGTGAGAGCTTTTCTGAGCGGAGCTGTTCAGGAGTAACCGATTTTCATCAGCTCGCTCGAACTTCCCCTCTCACAACAGCCACCAAAAGCTAAATACCTCACCCCCATGAAACCCTCAAGTATTTCTCCACCCCCGTATTGATTACAAAGCCTGGCATGGAGGCATCCCTATTGTGCGGTTCCTGCCCAGACTCCTGTGAATGACCCTTTTTGCAAAAGCAATAATCCAGCAGACCAAAAGTCTCGGAAAGACAGGAGGTGTCCAGTGCCATCCAATCCCACATCTCATTCAAATGCAATCTGGTTCATTTGAAAGGATCTCATGACATGTAAAATCCGTTCGTGGCTGGATCGGCCCATTCCATTGGATTGTTATAGTTCAGGCCAGGAGCTAAGCAAAGTGGAAAGAGGGGGTTCTCCCAACAGCTCCTGGTGGTCAGTCTCTGCAGCTTCTGCGCGGAAGCAAGAGGCTACATCCGAACTCGTCGAAGTTCGAATGTGTCTTTTCGCTGATGGGCTTGTCCTCTGAAGAGGAGGAGGGTGGGGTTGGAAGACTTACGAGTAATGGCAACCGTAATGTGCAATTCCACTCCTGGGCACCCGCACACGAGCAATATGCCATTCCATATCAGACGAGCCTCAATGTGTGCTCTTCAGATCTTCGACACTGATCCAATTGGAATGTGTCACGACAGCTTTGTGCCAGTGGGGTGCTTGCCTTGGACATTTGGCTGAGGTTTCATGGCTGGTTTGGTGGGGGGACCCACTGCCCGCCAACGTTCAGTGGATGTTCCAGGTTCCCAGCTCGACAGGGCGAATAAGGTAGCGGGCTGGCGGGGTGGTTGATCGCCAGGGAGGGGGCGCCTCGGGGGCTTGAGGGGCAAGATAAGGTAAGGAGTAAGAGCCTGGACGGAATAATGAACTAAAAGTCCAAGCTCTCCCACACTGGGGATTGCTTTAAAAAGGCAAGAGTGTCGTCGTCCCTCTTTTGTAACAGCTGTTGAGATCCTACTCGAGCCTTTCAACTGCCTCTTTCGCAACGTCTTCCCACGACCACAGTCCAAACAACAAGAACAGCATAAATCAAACAAGATGTCTAACTTGCCAAAGGAAATGAAGGCATTGAGGTAAGATTACCCCGCTTTCCTAGATTCCATGAAGCTCAACAAAACTTGCGGTGTGGGAAGAAGCTATTCGGAGATCCTCGGAATCATGACTGACCTTGAAGAACAGGTACTCTAAGCCAGAAGAATATGGTATTGTCACCGTCCCGCTCCCCAAGCTTCGCCCGAACGATGTCTTGATCAAAGTCAAGGCTTGTGGTGTAAGTTTGGTCCCCCGTCGTTGGAGAAAGCCGAAGTCCTAATATGTCGTTCAGGTGTGCGGTACAGATCTCCATATCCATGAGGGAGAGTTTATTGCAAAGGTATGTTGACTATTGGGTCCCTCTTCATATATATTTACGGTGCTCTCCACTTTAAATTGGGGGTAGTCCTGGGGGACCATCCACCTTGTTGGACCATTTATGACTTCAATGCCTCTTTCTGGTTAACCCCATTCCGACAAGCACAAGCTTACACATATTTATTGCAGTTCCCACTGATTCCCGGTACGTGCCACGAATGGACTCTGATTCTCCCCTATCCTGCAATGCCCTACAACAATTGCACGCACATTTTACATGAACCTGTTCAGAGACAGTGGAGCGCTAGATCTGCATGCTATGTATGCGCCTTCGCTTCTCAACAACTTGGACATGGTAGCGTTGCGCATGAAAAAGTTGCCTGATGAGAAGGGAAGTCCCCTGGACACGACTCGTATTGGTAACTGTCATATTCTGGAAATATCGCTATCACATAAAGTCTTGATTGTGAAGGCTTCAGATCCTGACAGTGCGCAGGACACGAGACTGTTGGTGTAGTTGCTGCTATTGGTGCCGAGGTCAGGGGCTTTACTGTCGGTGAACGCGTCGTTGCAGAGTATGTACACTTCCATCATGAAACAAACACTCACTGAATACTCTCAAGCAACTCCGAGTTGTGCAATGAGTGCTTTTACTGCAGACGTGGGCAACTTCTCCTCTGCGAGCACTTCGAAGCTCATGGTGTCACCATGGATGGAGGTTTCGCGGAATACTGCGCCTACCCAGCTGGCAAGGTGTTCAAGATCCACAACCTCTCAGACGTCGACGCCACTCTCCTTGAACCTGCCTCCTGCGCTGCACACGGTTTGGACAAAATTGCTCCTAAGCTCGGTTCGTCTGTACTCATGTTCGGAGCTGGTCCCACTGGATTGGTATTGGCTCAGATGCTTCGTCAGGTAGGTTTGAGGTTCTGTTATCCCTGTAACACAAGCGAGCAGAGCAGAAGAGCTAGGCATCATTTTGTCGTGTTTGATGAGGGGAGGAGCCGAGATGGATACAGGTTCCCTAAACGTGCTGCCTCTCCAGAGCCTTAGTCTCTGCAATGCTTTCATGTCATCACGTCAAATTGATATTCTGCGTGTGATTGGATCCAACCTCCAGCTTTTATATGCTTCTTTGGGTGTTCGGCTAACAACCTCGCCAGAATGGTGGATGCCACGTCGTCGTTGCGGCGCCCCAAGGTCTCAAGATGGAGCTCGCGAAGAAGCTCGGTGCTGGTGATGTAAGTACTTTTCCCTCTTCCTTATTAAATCAAAACTCAAATCCATCGCAGGAATACATAGAGCTCTCGCGCTCAGAGCCAGAGGTCCAGTTCCAGAAGCTCAAGGCCGACCACCCTTACGGTTTCGACATCGTCGTTGAAGCGACCGGATCACCAAAGATTTTGGAAGATGCTATCAACTACGTCAGACGGTACTTTCCCCCCAAAATGTTCTCTTCTCATGTATCATTAACGTGTTGTAAAGCGGAGGTAAGCTAGTCGTGTACGGTGTCTACTCCGCTTCTGCCCGCGTCTCTTGGCCACCAAGCAAGATCTTCGGTGACGAGATCACCATCTTGGGCTCATTCTCGGAGACCTACATGTTCCGTAAGTCTCCCTTTTAGTCCAGTGCAGAATGAGTACTGACCTCGAAAAGCCGCCGCCATCGACTACCTAGATTCCGGCAAGGTCAAGGTGGAGGGAATCGTCAACAAGACCTACAAGCTTGAGCAATGGGGCGAGTGCTTGGAGGCTATGAAGAACAAGACGGCCATCAAGGCTGCTATCGTTTTCGAGTAGATTCCCACATTTCAACCCCCTGTACCTGAGGTATTGGTTCTGGCGTTGGCATGACGGAAAATGGAGAAGACTTCCACTGGTAGCTCCTGTCTATGTCTCTAGATTATGAAATATCATTTAACAAACCGTAAGCAATTCCCAATTACTCGCAACTGGGTTCCCTGCACGAATGGGCAGATTTTAAGTGAGGGGGAGCATTGGTAGTGCATCGATCGATATTCACAGTCCGTGAACATTGTGGTGCTTATGAATTTAATTCTGGTTAAGTCAGGAGCCTTTGATCACTTCCTTTGGTGAGTTGGTCGAGAGGTCAGAAAATTATTCAAGACTAAGCGAGAATCGCGAAAAAGGCAACTAAGAATGAGACCAGTAACTTCAAGGATCTAGGCACGAGTTTTGATCTTGGTATTGACACTAGCGATTTGTCTTGGAGGTTCAATATCGTCGTCACGTTAATCCACGTTCTCTTACGTGCCGTTTATGGTAATCAGCTTCTTGGCGCCGTTCAAACATCCATACGAAACTCACCACTACAGAAACCCTCTAACTAGGAGACCTGAGTTTAACCTGCGCCTGTGAGCTTTGCTGGATACTCGTAGTGACTAGTGATCCTAAGGTGAGTGAGGTCTACATCATCTCGTTTAACCTTACCTTCCTAGGTAAATTTTACTGTTTGCTCCTTGGTTGCCGGGTATGACGCTGTCAGAAGTCTCACTTGAGCGCGCGCAGCCCAAATTAACTAGACCGCGGTCAGACCAAAGGCCGAGGAGACAGTTTTTTTAAATACCGACCAGTTAATACTTTTTACCTCTTCCCCGAAAAGCTTTTTTGCTGCCGGCCTGTCTCGAATTATCAATGTACCAAGAACGGGATACCCAGATGTCGTCGCTGACTTGTACACCCTCATCTCTAGGGTCCTTTCGTCTAAAGTGATGGGTAGGCACCAGTTGAAAGAAACGTTGACATCCTCCGGATGGATTTCAACCCGCCTTGCAGGATGTCTCACCCAGAAGCTCAAGTTGTCAGATTTTAGCGAACCGGCCGGCTTCGCTCGTTGATGACATGGAAAACCGGCCGGTCATGGATGTTGTATCGTGTTGCAAGGTAAAGAAATTGGCGACTTCACTGGTCAGGGCTGTTGACAGCAACATAGCTCGGTTTAGCTGTTCCAGGTGTTGCAGACACAGTCGCATCGAAATCATCATATTCCCAGTGGGCCACATAGCAGTTCCAAACAAAGGAATTCAGTACTCCGCCGCCCAAATCCAAGATCTGCAACATCCATTTCCAGCGCCTGTCCCAGATATCTGTTTAGGACATAATGCGGCGCTGTGGAAGCAACAATCCTGGTAATGAAAATCCATTGACCAAGCATTGGAGGAGGCTCAGGGCACGAACGACGCCGCGAATGAGAAGCAAGGGCGGCATTACGAAATGCGCATCTCAGCTGCATGTGCCGCTCTTATTGGCCAGCTCGCAGCTTCACGATGCCTTACCTAATTATGGAACGAGAACTACACCATTCCAATCACCGACCCGCCGACATCAATACGCGGCCCCAGTCAGTTTGGAACCGAACTTCCATCATCACTGCGAAGAAGGACGGCTCATAGTTCATGCAGCACGTATGTAATTCCTGCTACTTGCTGTCTTGATCCAGTGCACTGCCTCCAGTGAGAAGTATAAGTCAAGTCGTGTGTCCCTTTATTTTCAGGATGCATTCTAGACACCGTTCAATCCCTCTTTCCCCTAAACCACTGTTCTGGTGCCTCCTTGACAACAACACTTAAAACATATTTCTGCACGAACACACTTCGCCCCCAAATACCTCCAGTTCTTCTTCAAATACGCTCAGTACTAGAGCTTTTTCCAGCTATCCCTTCAGCATGTCGAATCTCACCCACTCAAACGGCCATGGCACTGGATACGGCAATCAGACACTTCTCGAAAATCCCAACTTGTGCACCCTTGACACCTGTGACTTATCTTTGGCAAGCTTCCTGTACATCCCTACATTACCAGGCAATGTGCTCTTTGCAGCGATATTCGGGATCTACCTCGTTGCACAAATCTTCCTGGGTATCAAGCATAAGACATGGGGCTACATGGTTGCCATGGTCATGGGTCTGCTCCTCGAAGTCATCGGTTACGTTGGCCGAGTCTTGCTTCACAATGATCCTTTCAATGATAACAACTTCCTCATGTATCTTGTCACTTTGACTATTGCCCCAGCTCTGCTCAGCGCCTCGGTAATTTTGCCGATATATTCCGTTGTTTACTTCGCTAATTCAACCCAACTAGATCTACCTCTGCCTCGCACGTATCGTCAACATCTACGGCGAGAACCTCTCACGCTTCAAACCTCGAACATATACACTTTTCTTCGTCACTTGCGATGTCATTTGTCTTGTTCTTCAAGCCCTTGGCGGCGGTATCGCCAGTACAGCAGATGATACGAGTGGAAGTGATCTTGGCAGGAATATCATGATGGCTGGTCTGGTATTCCAGGTCGTCTCTCTCACACTCTTCTCTATCGCTGCTACGGATTTTGGAATCAGAGTCCGGAAGCACCAAGGACAATGGAACCCGCGGTACCTAACCATTGTCAACACACTCCTGTTCAAGGCTTTCCTCATCGGTATGCTCTCATGATATATATATGCCAATTCAAAGACACAGATTGGCTAAGAATATCCAGGTCTGGCAGTCGCAACACTTACCATCTTCATCCGAAGCACCTATCGAGTTGCAGAGCTATCAGGAGGTTTCAACAGCCATCTCTTCACGGACGACGAAGTGTCTTTCATGATTCTCGAAGGAGTAATGATCATCATCGCCTGTGGCTGCTTAACAATACTGCATCCAGCCGTATGCTTCCAAGGCGTATGGCACGAAGCCAACTTTGTGTTCCGCACAAGCAAGAACAGAGCTGAGAAGTTGATGTACAACGAGACTGGAGATGAGGAATCTCAGAGAGGTGTTCAGATGAACACCTTGACTGCACCAAAATGATATGTTCGGACATTACTGTACCGATATTCGAGAAGAGATCATAAGCACCATCGTCGGAGCTGGAAGTAGGACATTGAAATGATGGCATGTGCATAGGGCCAGGGGGTGAGAAATATCTTGAGCGCTGTATACCCCTAGTTTCTTTATTTTTTTGAGTCGGAGTATGTGGAGCATCAATGGGGCTTGGGTTTGAGAGGACGAAGCTTGGATATAGGACTTAAATAGATCTCAGCACATGTAGTAGAAAATTTCACTTGGAGTTTCCTGATCAAGGTCAATGTGGATCATTTTCTCAAACAGGCTGCTGTGCATCATCCCAAATCGTAGGCTAACGGACATCGGTGCTTCAAGGTCCACTCCTTGGCAAGTACCAGACACCCCCAATGATTTGTGCTTATGTCAACCAAATCCAATGCCGTGCTCAACTTCCAAAATGTACTCCAACCCTGCCAATTTCATCCGCAATCTCAATCTGAAAATACAAATGGCAACCCCGAATTGTCCACAGTCAGTCATTAGTCGCGAACTAGCCAGATACATTGAACCACCTTTGATGTCGTCAGCTGCGAATTCCAATATAGTGCCCTAAGATACTAACCTACTGCCCCTCTTCCTCCCTACCTCACCCTGATTAACATTTAAGAACCTCCTTCCCCTAGCATACCTCCTTCTATATGCCACTCCGCACCCCCCACAAATGTCCTTCGAATCACTGAAATTCTTCTGCTCGGACAGAGTGAACAGGTCGCAATTACCGCAATACGTGAGCTCAGGCGGAAAGAAGCACCGGATGTGGTAGTGTAACTCGCAATGCGCTGGGGAATAGAGGACGGGAACGCAGTGCCGGCAGCCGATTGGGTTGGGGTGCGGCGTGAGGGAGGAGGGTGAGCCAGAGGAGAGGGATAGATCGTAGCTGTGCGTCAAAGGGGAGAGTCTGGTGTAGAATTCTCGGCTGGAGGAATCTTAGTTTGAGTTCTGAAGTTGATGGATGCTGTAATGTGATTGAGAGTGGTGGCAGGATGACTGGACGACGTAAGTGTTGTTCCAAGTTCTCTTGCCATCTATAACACTCGAACTCGGTGCACACTCTGCAGGAGAACGTCTGGTGGATTGAAATGTGTAATTTAGGAAGATGAATGACGTACCAAGTCAGACTGAGACTTAGGGTACTCAGTTCACACACGTTGCTGATAATTCTTAAATGTATCTCAATCGGTAAATCAAGAAGGCTACGTCCTCTCCGCTCCCTCGAAAAGAAATGATCTGCTTCTCGTATGTCAAGAAGGTCCTCTTTTTTATCATCCCCAATTTTCGTTACCTGGCCGAAGTGGTTCGAACGAGTCATCGACAGAGACATTGTGATAGGCCTGGGCTCCTAGGAGTGGCAGAGAGCATGGCGATCGTTTTATGCTGAGGTCTGGTTCTGGGGAAGGCTCAAGAGGTGAATTTAGAGTCTTTCAAGTTGAAAGGCTTACTTGTCATTCGCTTTTTGTGAATGTCTTGTACCGCATATCTGTGACGTTGAAAGTGTGGTTTGTGTGGAGTCTGGTCGCACCTACAGAGCTAATCAGGAGCGGGATCACGTTCGGTGCTTGCTTGGAGATACATGCAACGAGTCTTTTCTTCAAGACTTTGTCTGCATCAATTATGAGAAAAAGCAAGTATTCTCTGACTCATTGGTAACAGCTGTGGATTCCAGGAAAGAACTCTTTGCCGTGTCTTCTTGCGAGCTTAGCGACGTCATAACCTGCTGCCTGCCGTACCGACACCAGTCCATGTCAAAGTCATGGGTCATCATGAAGCATGGAGACTTCGATTCCCGTCAAAGCAACTATACTCTTCAGCCATGTAATAAACGATTAACACTCGTCTAGCTTCACAGTCACAAGTCGTCAGAAACTGATGACAAAGTGAAGATGGCATTGGCCAGCACCCCAGTTACGCGAGAAGCTCCTGGGCTCTCGCTACAGTAAACAGTTGGTTGTTGAACTTACTCGTATCTCATTCATCATCTACAGCGCATACTGGCTTCTTTTAGAGCATATGTCTCGTAACATGGTCCTTCTGAAACCCTGCTATGCCCAATACTAGATCTATGTGACACTGAAAATCAAACTCTGACTCTATATAAGGCTTGCTTCCCTTGCAAAGTGCCCATTTTTCAGCGTTCTCTCCATAGCGAATTTCGCATCATGCTTTGTAAGCTGTGTGTGCCGTACTGGGCTCCATTGCATGAGTCTCCTATACTTGCAATTTAGTCCTGACTTTTCATCATCATGATTCCTCATCTGCTTGACTAGATCCTTCGCTCGAGACAGTTGGCCCTTGCCACAACCTTAAGGTTGCGTTCTCCACGCGCCCTGATCCGTTTTCGATTGTAGCCCTCTTTGCACTTGTTGGATTCTTGGTAGGTGTTTCCGGCTCTCTGCTCGTCCCCTCGTCCCTAAATTCCTCGTGATTGGTTGAGTCGTGCACGGTGAGATCGCCTGTACATGTATCAGACCCAGATGAGTCGTCCTCGCTCTCGTCCGTCTCCCCCTTTGCCTCACCCCCATATTTGCTGTTGTAGTCTACTTTCCTTTGACATGATCTTTGTGCTCTTCACTGGTCAAGCCTTTGTTGATTTTCCTGCCCCGTTCCTACTTATTTGCGTCGAGACTCTCCACAATTTTCTGGTTGCTTGGTATATGAGCTTTTCCAGAGTAGTGGCCACCGGAGACTATCTTCTGATCTTCAGACGCCATATGGGCATTCTATGCCAGATCACTCAGATAAGACTCGCCTTTACGCAAGCTTGACGACTCATCAAGACTGCTGCGACTACAAGGATAGAATAGAAAACAAAGAGTTTGAATGAGTAATGTGAATTTCGAAAGAATCAAAGCCGAACAAATAACCTGCAGTGTTGATTACAATGGAAGTGGCAATCGAGCACTCCCTTGCCCTCTTCTGCGACGCTATTCCAGCGAGCAGCGTTTCATCCCGATTGGGAGGTTTGTGGCTGACCAGCGCATTTTCATTTTTGATGCTTTTCCAGGACAGATCTATCACGGTAATTACCTGAACCATATATTTTTGTGCTGTAAAATCTGCCTTTGAAACGACGAATCGGATTACTTGAAAGGCACAGGCCAGACCCGAGGTGGAGCTCAACCCCTTTTCACTGCCCACTACTGTACGACCTGTGGAAGCGAGAGTCGAATCCCTGTCACGTAAATATTCCGATAATAGTGGGCTCAGCGGGGTAACATCGCCTCTCCTCGTTTGCGTAACGTTGCGTACTCGGTCCCGTTCCTGTTTCCGTGTTCATCAATACAAATGCAATACAAGATCAACTTAACCCATTTGTGTTTATATAGATGCCAAGCTTGCCCTGTAACTCTTAAACATCAAAGGCTTGGAGCTGCCTGCATTCGGTTGCCTTGGTAAGCCTCACAACGCTATTGTTGCTATCTTCATTTTAAGGTCACTAATGATGACCAGATTTGACGGTATAAAAGACCTGTTACGTAGCTATTAAGGGGCTGAAAATGTCTCCAGGAAAGCAATTTATAAACTGCCAGCAATGCATAAATGGCGCGCTGGTCAATACTCCGCTCACAATCGACTCATCCGGACTGATCATACCAAACTCTCCTCTTCCTCCAAATACCGAACAGGTCGACTTGAAGAACACTATAATCTCTCCTGGCTTCCTGGAACTTCAGATTAATGGCGCCCTGGGGTTTCATTTTGCCCACTACAGCGAACCAGTGGCCTATCAGGCTGGTGTGCGAAAGCTCGCCCGATACCTCCCTTCAACCGGAGTAACAGGATTTTATCCTACGATACCTACTGTATCACCCGAAGTCTTCAGGGGAGCTTTACCGTTCCTCAAGCCACAGGGCGCCCCGGACTCAGCTTCAGTACTCGGAGCACATGTTGAAGGGCCATTTTTAGCACCGTCGAAGAAAGGTGCTCATGATGCCAAGAATATGCACATCCCTGAATCTGCATCACTTGAATCGATATATGGGAAGGAGAATCTGGAGAACTCCATTCGAGTTTTGACTCTGGCGCCTGAACTTCCAGGAGCACTCAAGCATATCGATTCGTTGACGAAGCAATATGGCATTCATGTTTCTATGGGCCATAGCGCTGCGAACCACCAACAAGGATTGGATGGAATGAAAGCTGGCGCAAATCTCATCACGCACACCTTCAACGCAATGAATCCACTGCATCATCGTGAGCCAGGACTTCCAGGTATGTCGGACTGACCCATCATGCCATACACAGCAAAGCAGCTTATTTGCATGACCAGGTCTCATAACTGATCCTAGCCCTCCCTATTTCTCCATCATCGCTGATTCCATACACTTGCATCCGCGTATCGTCGGAATTGCATATAGATCCGCACCCAGTCACTGTATTCTCATCACGGACAGCATCGAGCTCTCCGGTCTCCCTGATGGAATCCATCCTGGCCACGCCCAGATACCATTCAACCAGCTCAAAGAAGGGAACAAAGTGACAATTGAGGGGACTGATACTCTCATCGGCACATGCATCGGTCTCGATGAGTGCGTAAGAAACCTTATGGCTTGGGCTGAGATCCCAGTTGAGCAAGCGGTCAGATGTGTTACTGAAAACGTCGCACATGCGATGGGTTCGAAGGATCGGGGTACTCTGGGTATTGGTAGGAGAGGTGATTTTGCTGTACTGAGCGAGACTGGAGAAGTGAAAGAAACATGGATTCTAGGCAGAAGGGTATCAGGGATAGCATAGGGTAGAGTAGAAATAGATGCTTGAAGGCCAGCAAATGCCCAGCACCAATGTTTGTTTCCCAGCGCCACCCAATGCATATGCTACAGAACATACGACATAATTTTGCTCATGCATACGGTTTCAGTTGCCCGTTATTATCGTATCTCGCCTCTGCTCCTGGTCAGCACTGTTCCACATGTTGATCCCTAGAATAACTTACTGAAGAACGTATAGCTTAACGTAACTTGCTCGATACCTCTCATATTCGGATCATTGACAAAGTCCGGGTCGATGTAAAAGAACACGGGCATATCCACCGTCTCCCCTGCGTTCAACCTTTGCTCCTCAAAGCAAAAACACTGGATCTTTGAGAAATATGGAGCCACCTGCGCAGGCGTCACACTGTATGTCGCTACCCCAATGATATCATCGTCTGATCGATTTGTCGCGGTATAGAATGCCAGAGCTGTTTCCCCTGGAAGGACCCGTACTTCACGTTGTTGCGGAACGAATTTCCAGGGCATGACATCCGATACAGATCCATTGAAGGTGATGCGTATGCGTTTGGCAGATGTAACTGGTCTGAGTCGAGTAGAGGGGTCGCCGCCATCATCACTTCCTCCATGGCCAGGTGCTTTAATCGGTTGGCCTCCCCAGCCTGTGGTTTGGCAGATCTGAAGAATATTAGCTAACTATGCTTTTGTGGCGGGGTTTGAGACAAACAGACCATTTTGTACATTGGCACAGAACCATACGAAAAGGCCACAGTCCCTAAGATAATACTGAGAGTGTAGTATAATGTTGAAGCATTCTTCTTATGGAAAGGCGCTCGCAATTGCTCCATCGTTGGCGCAACACTTTGTCTGGGTTTCGAGGGATTGGATATGGTCCGGCTGATTATGGACGGTTTGAAGGATGGCGTGAGGACATTGCGGCGGGTCTTTTGTGCACAAGATGAGCATACCCAAGCTTTGCCATTACGAACAAGACTCAACAATGGCCGGGAAAAAGTCTTCATTGTTCGTGGTGTATCCAGGAGAGACGGCAGATGGATGTTGAAAGATCCCAATAATTCAACAGCTGCGGCTAATCATTGATCCGGCCCGATCATGGTACATACATCGGTCGTTTCTCTAAGGTTTCTGAACTTCTCATCACCCTATCACGAAGAAGCAGATATCTACTGGAGGGGCACAATTAAGCCGATAGCTTCAATTCGTGTACCTGATTTTCATTCTGTATCCTTCAGGGATACATAGCACTGCTAGCCTCAACTTGAAGCCGGGATACTTCAATGACATGCCTCATCACGCTCGAATCCCGAAGCGATCCAGGGATGTCATGACATCACCAATCAGCTCAAATCGCAGGTGTTCCTGAATCATTTCGTATGTTCCCGTTGTTTTCCCTTCTCATTCTCGATTGATAAGTATCAACCTTTTTCGCACTTCATGTCCCTTTCAAGATTTCCACGTACTCTTTTTCTGCGAGCTCGTCTACGTATATCCAACAAGACCCCTGCATTCGCGGCCATCCACATACAAAATCGCACTATGGCATCTCAGAAGCCAAATTCGAGTCCACCGGCTCACGAGAGTGAGGATATATAGCCCAAGAAGCAGATCAAAGTAATACTGACTCAGCTCTTAGTGGCTTACTTCCCGAAGATGACCTCTAGATTGCCAGCATCATCTGGAGAATTTCGAAAAGTGCTATTCACAGGACTTTACTCTCAAGTAGTTCTGATGACTATTCCTGTGGGAGGAGACATCGGAGACGAAGTCCATACCGTTGACCAAGCCTTGACTTTCACATCGGGCAAAGGCAAAGCTACCATCAACGGGAAGGATCAAGATGTGGAAGCAGGAGACTTGATGGTGGTACCTGCTGGAACGCAGCACCAGTTCATCAATACTGGAGACTCACCTCTAGTAAGCGTTTGGTCCTTTCAATAGCATTCGGAAAATCGAGTGACTAATGTGTGTATTAAGATTCTGTACACAATTTACTCGCCTGCTGAGCACAACACCACCACTGTGCATCACACGAAGGAGCAGGGCGACCAGGAAGAGGATGATGGAATTGATGAGGCACCAGAGTGGAGTCAGAAGAGTAAGAAAGAGAACGAGGATGCCGGCTTGGTGAAACTCAGTGGGAAGTATTGAATGTGCCGATCCAATTCTAGACGCTCCTGTAGCAGCATTTGTGATGGTTTTGGATTCTTGAAAGCAGCAACATATGTCGGCTCTTTCTCATCCTTCATTCATATGTATTACAAGAACACAATGATCAAAAGTGTACACGTCACAGGTGACATGGAGAAGAAGCCGAAAGCCAACAGGCTCGCATTGCATTTCTTCTTGCTAAGTACGGCGGCTCCCACGCCCCTTTGGCTACACATTGAACCTCCAAGAAATTTCCCATACTCGTAATAGGTATGTCAGCACTTGTACTTACACTTGCACCCTCACAACCGCCCTCACCGAATACCTCAGGGTTGACAATTACAATGTCTTGGCATCACGCTGTGTGGCCAATAGTTTCGTTTCGCGTTCGCCTTTGGTGACCCCTGTTTACGACAACCACAACGAAATACAACCCCTCTTCGGACACTTCCTGCACACCAGTGTTTTCTGTTCTCTATTGATGTTAGCGGATGTAAGAACTAGGCTCGTGCAAGTGATCTCATTTGCTCATGCGTGAATCCAATCGATTTTTTGATTAGGTAAGACCAATCGTATAATACATGCTGGACACCGATACACCGTTGAGCTGTGGTGTAGGTCTGTAGTATAAGAACGCTACCAGCTGCGCCCAAAAATCCTCAATTCTACAGTACTCTGTTTCTTGTCATCGCACCACTACTTGATTGAACATGGCCGACGTTAACCTCGCCACCCTCGAGGGCTTCCTGGAGAAGCATCCGGACATCCCCTATGCAACCCCTTCCTCCCCAAACTACACGTCCCTACGAAAGATCTTTGCCCGTGATCAAGACGCTATTCCACTAGCAATTGTACGTCCCCAATCGGCAACTAATGTTTCTGCCCTAGTCAGATTTGCAGTCTCCAACTCTATCAAATTCACAATCCGTACTGGCGGCCACAATCTCTCCGGAGCTGCCTTCGCCCAGGATGCCTTGGCTATCGACATGCGGGATATATCATATGTTAAGATCTCAGGTGACAAGAACACGGCAGCGATTGGCGGAGGTATTTTGCAATCTGATCTTGCCACGGCTTTGGATAAAGAGGGATTGGCCACACCTATTGGAGCCGTGGGCTCTGTTGGATATGTGGGCTGGTCTACTTATGGAGGCTACGGACCATTCTCAAGATAATGGGGTCTGGGAGTTGATCAGATTGTTGGTGCTAGGCTCGTGAACGCTGAAGGAGATGTGATTGATGCCGATGAGCGGTTATTAAAGGGACTCCGAGGCGGCGGGGGTCTGTTTGGTGTTATCGTCGAGCTCGAGATCAAGGTTTATCCACTGAAGAAAGTACGTCTCTCCTGCTCTAGATGGATCAACGATGGAATAACGAGCGCAGGGACTGAAGATGTCAACAGGTTCTGACAGGATCCCTGATCCTCGATTCTCAAGATCTCACCAGCACTTTCAAGAAGTTCAACGCTGGCTACCTGGAACTTTCAGCAAAGGGAATGCCTGCTGAGTTGGTAGTACAGCAATTGATTCTCAACACTCCCAAGGGTAAAGCCATGTGTATCGCTCTCATGTGGAGCTCCGAAGATATCGAAACCGGACAGGCGTGGGTGCAAACAATCGGGGCGCTAGCAACAGTTGTCATGAACACCATTACCGTGTCGACTGTTCCTAAATATTTGCAAGGAAATGCTGCGTTGGTCCCCGAGAGTGTTCATGGAGAAGGCTACACACACAGCTTTCGAAGGATCACGAGCGAAGTAGCCGACGTCATTGCTGACAGCTTGGTGACAATGGCCGAAGATCCTGGTTGCATGTTTGTAGTTCACGAACTGAAAGGTGCATCGGCAACTTCTCACACCAATTCCGTGTTCGGTACACGAGTTGAACACTTCATGCTAGAGATCATAGGCTACGCCCTCGATATTAAGAACAGAAAAACTGCGGTAACTTGGGCTGATGAAACTTGGGTAGCCCTTGGCAAAACCGAGAGCGGTAATCTGCTACCAGGTACATACATTTCATTGGACCGACCTGTCGCGAAGCCAGACACGGCGCCTCTGTCGAGGTTTTATGGTTCGAATTGTCTAGATGTTCTGGCGCTGAAGCAGGAGTATGATGCGAAAGATGTCTTCTCATATGCGGTGCCTCAACTCAAGAATTATGTGTAGATCCAAAGCAAGCTTACTCAGGGGCCGTCTTGGTATTTGTTTGAATGACTTAACTCTTTTCCTTCTCCCGATTTATCTTCACTTCCTTGGCGATAACTCTCAGGGGAAAGTCCATCGCCCACCTATATTCGATTGGAATGGTGCTACAAAAACCATTCACTGCCTTCGGAGGGACTCGACTGTCGCCAGCTCCGTGCACCCACCACGCTGAAGAATCATCAAGAAGATCCAGACACATGATATTCCGAGCAAGGAGAGCCAATGCTGTGGGATCGCCAAGTTCAAGTAGCTGAACGAAGCGATCAGGTACTCTGTGCAGAACAGTGACAATCATCTGCTCGAGTCCAGCATTGTCCTTGGAACCAGAAGCGATGAGGGTATATATTTGCATTATTTCATCAGCAAATTTCTGACAGGCGTCTTTGCTCTCCTGATGAATTTTGCGATAATGGAGGCTTCTAAGCAGGATCTCCATGTCTTCAGAAGCAAGATCCATGAAATTTTGGTCAAGCAATGAACCAGGAGGTAATTCGACAACAACGTCCGGGATGGCGCTATATCTCTCAAGACAAGGGCCGCTCTCGTGAGCTAAATTCATTATGCCCTTGCACATGTTGTATGTTTCCACTTCTAGCTTTTGCGGATGAGGGTTACCGTCGCTGCAAGAAGCAAGCCAGTTGTAGTGTGCTAGTAAGACTGCTGCAAGTATCATTGGTTCGGCATTTTGTCGATCCATCGTATCAAGTGCCGTCCGTTGCAATATGATAGCTTTGTGGAAGTACGACAATGCTGACGCGGATAGTGTCTGATCATCTCGGTTCAAAGAATGCAGATTTAATGATGTCAACCCAAGAAGAGCGTTAAGGACAAGTTCACTGGAGAACGCCACTTGCGGGATCTCGAAGTCCCATAGTGAGTGGTAGAGTGCACACCCTGGGACTCGTGGCGGCCTGCTATATACGCTTTTGGTGTAGCTAGCCGATCCGAGAGTCAGCAATCACTCCTATGTGTTCGTCCTGGAAGCACGTTATAAGAGTAAAGTACGTCTGAAGCAGTTGGAAAATACTAGACGGCTACCGTTCGGAGAACGTACTGATGTATCAAGCGGAGCTCCAATATGTTTGATGAGCTGACGCCAACTGGTGTGACGGACAGAGATCGATGGAGAGGCGATTTCGAGGTACTACTTGTACTGGAGGAAGTTATTTGTGAAATTTCCGCGCGGCTTTCCTTTAGCAGAGGCGAAGGAGTATATCTGCAGCAAGTCGCGTCCACAAACTTCTTCCGACAGTTCGAGCATGGATATGTCTCATCGCACTGTTTCTCTTAGCAGAGGCCATTCTATATTTATACTGATGCGTCACCATACCTTTATCTTCCGAGCTTTGCATTGGCAGCAGCCCTGAGAGTGTCAGTAACATCTTATCATGTGAGAGGGCGGCATAGGTAGGTACCTTAGTCGACTTTTTGTAGGGTCTTCTGTATGTTCGCGTAACGGCACGGTGTGGCGGTCTACATGAAGCCGAAGGATCTGGCATGGTGTCCCCAGGAATGTTGTGCTTGGAAAATCCGAGTTCCTCAAGTTCGTTAGTTCAGACGTGAGAGAGAGGATGATTTCAAAATGAGGTGAGATGAGATTAATATTGCCAAGACCCTACATCAATCAACCTGGAAAGTGCTCAGGTAAGCCACAATAATGAGGTAGGTAAAGTTACTGTACGTGAACGGGCGGCGCTACCGAATCGGTGTACACCTCAGTTACTAGCTACCTACCCTCCTACCTTAGAGCATTGGAGCTAAAAGCTGATGTCATGTGGTATGTGGCACATGACTTTCTTGCAAGGGAAGATTGGCATGAATTCAAAAAATTGTTGGAAACTTAAAAAGACTTGATTGACCATCTACGCGGATCGCCTTCCTTCCTTTTCGCCATCGGGAGACTGTATTCCGACTGGTTCCTGTTCATATGCTGCGGAACGTATCTTCGCTTAGCGGTTAGCAGCAGAAAAAGTATCATCAGCAACCTCTTGAAGATTTCTCCATTGGGCGGCAACCCAAAACTGCAGTGTCGCCGGCTCCATTATTGTGGACTGATGGCAAGCACTGTACCGCACATCAGGTCGTTAAAATTCTGTTGTTTCGAGTATGATTTGATCCAGCTTTTTCCACTTGAATACTGGTGAGATGGATATATGGGTTTGGGCACACTCGGCACAGACACTGCCCCTGCCAAGCACGCTAAATCATGGAACAACATCTTAACCAGTCGTGCATCAATGGCTTCTAGCTCGGACATACTTCTGCTCGCCTTCTCGGTGAATACGGTCTCAAAAGCCAACTGTTGTCCACGTAATGCAACCAAAGAGAAGAAGGGCATAACTTTGAGAGCCGGCTTCAAGTCCAACTCCTTTGGGTCTGTAGTATCAAGCTCTTGCAAGGCTTCGATCCATTCAGTCAAAGGGGTACTTCTCGTCCCCGGGCCACACTATGTCTGGATGCAGGGCATGAGATCTGACCAAGGTGTCTTGTGAGGGTCAAATACATTATGGTAGGAAGGTTTGCCAATGACTCCGAACTTCAGACCATGAAGGGCAGTTTAAGTGTCATCCAGTCCATTTGTTGAACACCACTGGGGACTAGACCGGTGGATCTGGACGTCTGGGTGATACCAGGAACCATCGCGCGACTGGACCAATGGGAGCCCTTAGGCTTCGTGGAGCCGCAGATTTGCCCCATGTCGGAGAATCGAGATTGGAACTTGACAAGAGGTAGCGGCATTATCTAGGGTTCTCTTTGCAGTTTTCTTCGATTCGGAATATCCCATCTCCAGCTCTGTATCGAAATCAAAGACCATGTCCTTGGGAACAGTGCGTGAAGTCTGACCGGAACGAACCTAGGGCCCGGCGGAGCTGAGAGAAGATATGAAAGCAATTCGTGGTTTGCGTGGACTGCCGGCACTGAAGGCAACAATTCAAAACACTCTTGATGCTGTCCTCGAAAGACGATGCTGTCTGGTTGAAATCAATCTGCCTGGCATTGTGTAACACCAGGTCACAATTGGCTCTCAAGTCTTGAACCCAGCGTTACTCAGCCCAAATTTGGCAATACCATGTCGACTGCGAGGAACGTGATTCTAGTGATATCTCGATGGTGCGATTCCTGTTCCGATAGACATTTCTGCTTAGCCTTCGCAGACTAATTGAGACAAAACACCCTAGGGGGACCGAACTTGATTGCAGAATTTCAGAGAGAGTCACAGCAGCGAAATATTCTGTTGTACCAGTAATGGCGGCACAGACTTGTCCTGATATCATCGTAGTGATTGGCGACTGTGATCTTCGCAGAAACTTGATCATCGTCTCATCAATCTCTAACATTCTTGTTGTCCGCGGCTGGGGCGCGGCACCTTGTACGAGAAACAGCAGCATAACATCGGCGAGTTCAACGATATTTGGATGCTTGTAGAACGTGCTAGGGAATAGCCATGAATGGTGTGTGGTGTTTAGGTGACCGCCTAGCCCCGACTTCAGCAGCTTGACTGCTTCGATAGTTTGCAGTGAGTCGAGTCCATAAACACAGAAGCTGTCTGCATCACCAATATCGGATCTTGCCAAGCTCCGTGTGGCAACCTTACAATCAAAGCCTTTGATGTTATCTGGCAGGAAGCTTGCAGCTTGCAGCACCATTTGCGGCATGGTATCGGGCGCCTCTTGCTTCTTGGAATATATGCTGTCAATTTCTTCAGCAAAAAAGCTTCCATCAATCGTCGAACAACAGTTCCTTTTCCATATTGAACAAAAGGCTTTCTGGGATTTGGTATGATAATATGAGATTTTGTGACTCGACCTTGTCCTGGAGCGGTAGTATTGTCGTCTTCAACAGCAGGCCATACTTTCTCGAACGCCTGGGGATCACTTTCATCATCTGATTTGAGCTCAGCGAAGAGAGCAGCTTAAACCCGTCTGGGTCCTTGTCACTAGGCTTCCTAAGATCATCGGATGCGCTAGAAGTGTGGTCTCCATTGGCACTGGGTAGAACTTTTCACCATCTGAGAAACCACAAAGTCATCATTTGTCCTATGAACGCGCCACAAGTTGGGTTTCATTGCGTGGCGCTGAACAAGTCTTCCGTTCTCCACTCTTCTTTACTCAGGATTACAAATGTTGTGATTGAGAGTCATGGTTTCCCTTGTAGTCTCATCCTTCAACAGAAATAGTTCGTAAGCGTCGTCCGCAGACGCCTCCAAACGAATTTTTATATATAGGTGAAAGTATATCGACACCCAGTCACCTGGTAAGTGAGCGAGCTGTTTTGACACGGCCGGTTTCTGTCGAGGCGTAGAATTGCCCAAGCCTCATGTACTTGCTCATTTATTTTCCAGAATTCTCCGATAATAGGCCTCATGGATAGAGAAAGAACTTTAACTTTTTCAAGTGAGCGAGACTTTTTGGCTTATGTAGAAGCTGTCCCACAAGCCACAGTGGCATCATAGATCCCTGAAAAGTCGACTCGGTCAGTATAATCAATCTTCAGTCAACAAGTAACAAGTTTTCGCATGAATGAGATCGGTAACAGGGACAAATCAGACTCACACGAATATCCTGCCGCTCTAGGACCTCGGCATTGCAACCAAGGCAGCAGTAGGTGACGAAAGTGGTGGCCCGTAAACCGGGATACTGTTTGCATATATCGGTAACATGATCTGGTAGAGGAATCCGCCCAATGGAAGAGTGGGAATGGTGAGTACATCCGTTGTATTTCGCCCTGGATGTCCCACAGTCAGATCATAAATCGTCCTTCCTTCAACCTGTGGGAAATTTCTGTCATTGTCTTACATCGCGAAGCTCCCATTCGTGATTACCACCGGCTTTGGCATACCTGTCGACCCAGATGAATGCAAGAACATAATTGGGTTATTGACGGCCTCGCTGAAGGCTTTGACGTACAGGAATGGATCATGAGGATCTGCTAGGAGAGTTACTCGGCTTCTTACTGCCGCAGGTGTGATGTATGGCCTTGTCAAAAGAGATCGCGAATCAACGGGCCAAGCTCCGTTCAGTAAAGTAATTTGATGACTGAGTCTGGCCTAAAGGTTTGTCGCGACAAGGTTTCGCGGTGACGGGAAAAGCAGCTTGAAGCCGCACTTGATTGCTGCATACTGGTCCATTGAGCAACGAAGGTCTGAGACCCCTAAGAAGTCAAAATCTCAAAATTCCCTTCTCGGTGCACTGCCAAAAGCAGCTTGCAGCCACCCCAGCATTTTGTTTGTTGCATTGACAACTTTGGAGTAAGAGACTTCTCGAAAACCGTCGTCAAGGTTTGTGGACTTTTGAACTGCAGAAAATTTTCAGGTTGGATCGTTTGCTGAAACATCATCCAGCACAATGGAAATCATCTTCTGCCATATGGGACGTTATGGTTGGAGCTGGAAGGATCCAAGATAGTCAAGAAAGTAGAACGAAGCTCGGAAGGAAGTTCTTGGTTAAATCAAAAAATCAAGAAGTATCAGCGATAGAAAACAAGTATTCAGGCTTCATATTGGGTCTACTGACGTTAGATGACGGGGTGTTGCTCTCTAGTTGTCCTAGTGGCAGACAAAGGGGGTGGGCTTTGCGAGCTTTAGATTGGACTTGGATTTGGTAGAATTATACAGCTGGGGTGTTCTTGAAACGACTTTAGGCAGGCTCGCTGGAGATAAACAGTATCATGAACAAAAGTAGCAATTGAATAGTGTGACTTGAAAAGGACCTCCACTGGTAGAAAATATTTCTGGCCGTGTACTTCCGGCCGCCTTCACACAAGCGTGTTTCAAAATTCGAGAATCCTGCTCCAGTTGCTATTAAATGCCTTCAGAGACACTCAATCATTGCCCAGAATTAAAGAAGGCTTTCTAATGACATGCCCTTTGTTGCGTTCTGTTCTGAGCGAATTTATTTTCAAGCGTATGCTCAGCCAGATTAAGGGCTGCGTTTGGAGGAGAACAGCTCTGATGTTGTTATATTTTCAACACTTTGATCAACAAGCGAGCTACAGGAGAAGAATATATCTATATATTGCGATAAGATTCCTGCTCTGTAGCCATGTGCGATAAGCCCCGGAACCATATGGCAAATGATAGGTGATGGTGGACTTCCAGTCAACGACCTGGTAAAAGGACTGCCGTACAGACGTTATCAACATCACCTCAAAGTTGCTTCAGGTATTCTGGGCTGCTGCCACTAAGCAGAAGCTTCAGGAGTTGGCCACTGGGTCTTCGCCATCGTTCGCATGACTTCAGTAAAGCCTGAGGTAGGCAGCCCAGGACGAGGTGTGGAATGGGGACACGGCGGAACCGCCCTGCCCATGCCATCTGCCGAGGGGAGGACTTGGACACCTCCAGATAATGTACTGTACGGGACGATCTATCAGATTGAATTGGGTCTAAAGGCGAAAGAGATTAAGGTAGGATCTTGCGCTCGAAAGAAACTGAGAAGACCGGGAGAGATACTTGGTGAGTCTTGCTTTACGAACATTCAGTGGAGGCAAGGATGCAGGACCCGACAAGAAGGAAGCTTCCGCTTAAGTGGAGCCTCTACAGTAGTACGCATGTAGGTGCCAAGACACCAGGCCCGTTTTAGACTAGAACATCGCCTATCAAGCCTCGCTTGTGCCAGGAGCAAAGAAAATTCCGATGAAAATATATCTTCAGAGTTCTCTATAAATCCCAAAAAAATTGTAGAAGCTTCCAAACTTGGAAACCTCGGGAATCGAGCCCGAGGTGGGGCTCGAACCCACGACCTTGAGGTGTTCTAGTGATAGAATAATCAGATATTCCAGTTATAAGAGCCACACGCTCTACCGATTGAGCTACCCGGGCATCCTTTGCTTTGAATGATACCACAATGGCTTACTTGGAAGTATCAAAGAGTCAGTAATGTGGAGAATGTGAGTAAAAAATCTCGTTTGCGAATCTGGGGATTTACAGGCCGCCCCCCCTGGTTGCTAGCCCCTTGTTTGTAAAGTTTCTGACTCAAGGTCTTAACCGAGTCTCCAACTCGTTATCGCTCATCCTCTTCCCTTTACAAAATCTCAGACCAATCCTTGACTTTTGTAATGCACTATACACCAGCTGAAAGGACACAGGATGCAAGACTAGGACGCTGCTTGTCTTCTACGATGATAGTCAATCCTTCTGTTAAGTCTGGATTTGTCGATCGCAAAGTTCTAAACTCATTGTGCTACTGCCTAAGTGCCACCCTACATGGAAATCCATCAGCTGGGTGAACGGATGACACAAAAACGGGGTACGCCCTTTCTCCCAAAACAGTTTTCAACCCCTTTCTTGGGTGTAGTTCGTCCCACTCAGCATATGCGTTGCAGATATCAAACTCTCTCAATGTCATTGCAAGCACTGTTTTCATGTCCTGCATCACCAACGTTTGCCCAATACAATTTCTGGGACCAAATTCAAACGGTCTCCAAGCTCCTTTAACAGGATACAGGGGGTCTTCAGGACCCACCAGCCAACGCTCTGGAATGAATGCGTCCGGCTCTTTCCAGTACTTTGGGTTTCGATGAAGTGCATTGTGCAGAATAAGGATTGCTATTCCATCTGTTGGATATTCGTTTCCATTGTCGTCTCGAAGAATTGTTTCCGCAGTTCCCTCCCGAATGCCAGCAGCGGCAGGCCACAGACGCATAGCTTCCTTAATGACCGCGTTTGTATAAGGAAGAAGGTTGGTCTTCTGTGGTTGCTCCAATAGCTGAGCAGCGACAGTTGAAAGATCTGTTCCGAAAATTTCGTCATGTTCAGCTCGAATTCGTTTAAGAGCCTCTGGATGCTGTGAAAGCAAGTGGTAGGCATAGCACAAGCTTGTTGCCGTAGAGTCGTGTCCTGCAAACAAGAACAGTCGGATCTGGACAATGGCCCATTTTTTGAAGGTAGGGTCCAACGCCTGGGATTCATTTGTGACTTCGTTTTGTGACATGTATTCCTCTATTACGATGTCAATAATAGAGCGTGTCACTGCTTCCTTGCTCCGTCGCCTCTCTGCAAGTCTTTCATCTAGCTCCTTCGAGATGTAGTTGTCCATCAGACGTCCATTATTCCACTGAATCAGCGGACGAAGAGGATTGAATCGTTTGAGTGGGTTGAACTCGCCACTAGAAAGATGCCACCGAACCTGGCTTCTCACTAAGGTAACGGATGAATTAGCGATTTCCTGGTCAGGGACATTTTAGGAAGAGGATATGACCTGTCTCCAAGAAAGTGTGAAGAGTTCGAAAAGATGAGAGTACGGGCTCCCCCGATACGTACTAGCGTACGCCAGCTGATTGTACTGCCGTTGTGAGTGAAGTCTGGCGTTGAGCGTCACAGCTCCGATGATATCCATTGTAAAATTACAGAGAAGGTCATCAAAGGAGAATATATCCTTTCTCTCGGCGTGCTTTCTCAGGATGGATACAAATTCCGTCGTTTCCTCAACTATATGATCCATTTGACTGAGAATATAGTTGGCGCTGAAGCCTCGACTGAACATTGAACGCAACTTTTTCCACTCCGGTCCATTGGAAGTAAACATATGATCTTTCCTTCCTGCAAACGGCTATGATATATTGTATTAGCGTTGCTTCCTTCTCTCCATCGCTCCAAGAAGCGATCAACCCTTACTTCCGTCCATTTGAAAGAAACCCGAGTTTGTTCACTGTTGTGACAAATTGGACAGAATAGAGGAGATTCCTAGAGTCTCTCCGCATACTAGATGTTGCTCAGAGTCTACAAGGACGCGAGCTTACCTGGAAAAAATCGATGATACTCTCGGGCTTCTCCAAATCGTATTGCTGGCAAGCCTGAATTGCTAAAGATGGCGAAGAGATCAAGAGGATTGGCCTGAGGAACGGCCATATGTCCAAGTAATACGCCGAGTCAGACTGAGGAAAGTCATTGCCTAATTCCGCAAGAACATAATTCTGATGTGCATCTGCTGGTAGGCGCGAGAGGTACGGCACAAGAGCGAGTAAATGGCCAGTTATGGGATTCCATTTGGGTATGGGCTTGGTCTAGTGAGTCGTCTTGCAGCATGTCGCAGACTAGAAATGAAACATTGGAAGGATGGGAAGGTCTGCCCATACTTACAAGGCCTACGGGATTTTTTCGTAATCTGTACATTAACGCTCTCGATTTCCATCCTTTGATAATAGCATAGACAGCCCCTGATACCAAGCAAGCAAAGAGAGTACCCAGGACCTGCTGGTAGCTCACGCCCAAGCCGACCGCCATGTTGAAGTTTGATCGGAATTCAGAGTTATCCAAGTTTTCCAATATGCACAATAGCGCGATGTAAAGTGAGAGACGGAATGATAATATTTGCGATCAAAACCTGAATATTCTTCGTATGGTGGGATTAAGGAGTGCAGTAGCTTTACTGACAGGCGTGACTCGAGGGCCGCGTAGGTAGCTTCCATTCGTAAACTAGACCAATGTTATGATTGGGTTTGAATTATACTGCCTGATAGAACCAATTCGAGTGATCATGAAGATGTCTTCAAAGGCTCAGCGTGTCGAGTTGGAGTCGGGGATGGTGGTCAATTTCGAGATGCTGTGGTACCTATGTTTTCAATCTGTCGGACAGCCATTCCTCATTCGATGCACTTATAGAATTGGCACCGCCGAAGGTCAGGACTAGAAGGTGTACGTTCATTTCTTGGAATCATGCCTACCTGCCTGTCCCTAGGTATTCTTTGGTCCTGAAACTCACTCCTTGCCATCCGCTACGTGAATGGAAGGGGAGGAACGCCATCCAGCAGCCAGTGATTAGCGATTCCAGGAAAGCAGACGCTAAGAACATGTGCTGTCCGTCCGTCCAGCCCAGCCTCTGTAGACGAGCAGCGTTAAGCTCAACGCGTCACCCGTGTTGCCCAGCACGCGTCTCGAAGCTTCAGATAAAAACTCAACAGATCTCGTTCGCATCGCCACAGCAAGTCCTAGCCCTAGCAGGATGGTTGCTTGTCCAATTTGCAGTAAGGCCGTTAGATCAAGAGACATTAACGCCCACATCGATTCCTCCTGCGAATTGTTTCTCGATACTGGTTCTCCGCCACTCACTCAGCAACAGAATGCTTCCCAGAAACCACTTGTATCCGTCTCAACCTTCTTCCAGACTCCAGCGGCCAAACGAGCTGCCGTATATCCAACTCCCAAGGTAGAACCTGGTTCGACCTTGAGCTTCCAGCCCAAGGCTCAGAGCAATGGAGTGGCTACTCCAACTCAACCCGCGCGGAAGAGATCCTTCGAAGATATCACCCCTCTGGCGAAGGAAGCGAAAGAGGCGGACGCTCCAGCAAGCGTAGAGGATTCCCAACCTTCAAAGAAGCCAAAGACCAATGCCTTCCAAAAAGCTGCGCCATTGGCAGAACGAATGCGGCCAACGTCCTTGGATCAAGTGTGCGGGCAAGAACTGGTTGGAGAACATGGTGTGCTGAGGAGCTTGATTGAACAGGATCGCGTGCCGTCGATGATCTTATGGGGAAGTGCTGGAACGGGCAAAACGACAATTGCGCGCTGCATAGCTTCCATGGTGGGCAGCAGGTTCGTGGAGATCAACAGCACAAGTTCTGGAGTGGCGGATTGCAAGAAGATATTTGCAGAGGCCAAGGGAGAGTTGGGTCTGACGGGACGGAAGACAATCATTTTCTGCGACGAGATACATCGCTTTTCAAAATCACAACAAGACGTTTTTCTTGGACCGGTAGAATCTGGGCAGGTTACGCTGATTGGGGCTACGACGGAGAATCCATCCTTTAAAGTTCAGAATGCATTATTGTCACGTTGTCGGACTTTTACTCTTTCGAAATTGACTGACGATGATATACTCCAGATATTGGAGCGTGCACTTTCCGCAGAAGGCCAGAACTATTCGACGTCAGATTTGGTGGACTCGGAACTTCTAAAATACCTAGCTGCTTTCTCGGATGGAGATGCTCGGACAGCACTGAACCTCCTAGAGTTGGCTATGGGACTGTCAACCAGGCCATCAATTACAAAAGACGAGATTAAGGCTTCCTTGACGAAGACACTGGTCTATGACCGAGCTGGAGATCAACATTATGATACAATATCTGCATTCCATAAGTCAGTACGTGGCAGCGATCCAGATGCGGCTCTCTATTACCTGGCACGGATGCTACAGTCCGGAGAAGATCCTCTGTACGTTGCTCGAAGAATGGTCGTCATCGCATCAGAAGACGTTGGCTTAGCCGACAACAGCATGTTAAGTCTTGCAACAGGCGCCTACACAGCTGCAGAGAAGATTGGAATGCCAGAATGTAGGATAGCATTAGCTCATGCCACAGTTGCACTCTGTTTAGCTCCGAAAAGTACCAGGGCATACCGGGGACTTAACAACGCTTACGCCGCGTTGCGAGAACCTGGAGTTGCCAGCCTACCGATCCCAATACACCTGAGAAATGCGCCGACGAAGCTTATGAAAGAGCTGGGTTACGGAGACGAATACAAATATAACCCGAACTATAAGGAAGGGAGAGTCGTACAAGAATACCTTCCAGAGCAACTCAAGGGCCGGACATTTTTGGAAAACAGAGACCTGGGGACTGAAATTGATCCTGGGGCATGGTGAAAGATTGGAAAGACAAGGTGGATGGTTATTTTGATCGTTAGCGAGGCGTTCAAGTTGTTTGGCTGGATGTACAATTTACAGTGTTTACATAAGATAGTAACCAAAGGTTCTGACAAAGTGTCATTAATATCCTACTTTCTTTTCCTTGCAATGCTGAACAAATCATGCAGAAGCATCCCGTTTCAGAGTTTCATAGGCATTGTCCTCCAGCTCTCCCTTCTGTTTAGGAAAGGCAGCATCCCCATCGTAATCGGCATTCTGTCTTTGGAATTTTTGTTCAGCCAATCTACTCGGGTCGTTCTTAGACCCAATCTCCGAGTTGAAGCTGGCGTTGTTCGCGTCTCGGCTCTCAAAACCACCTTCGTGCAAGTTTCTTCCCTTAGGACCGGCAGTGTCGTGGTACTGGCTGTTCACGTACGACGGCGCGATCCCAGCACTGCTCGAGTCTTCTCCACTGCTTCCAGAAGAGCCACGCTGGCCCCCAGTAGAATCGGGGTATGATGAAGCAGTAGCACCCAGTTTCTTCTCCTCCGCCCAGTCCTCTTCGGCCATGCGTGCTTCAGCGTCAAGAGCAGGGTCTAGGCGTCTGGGCCCCGAGATGTTTTCGTTTGCAAATGTGGAGTTTGATCCAGAGACTCCTAAGGGCTCGCTGTTACGATTCTCGGCGAACCCACCGCCTGCTCGAGTCGACTCTGCTGCCAGGGAGTCGGAAGCAACGGCGCCTGCTCCTTCGTGAATCTGTGGTGCATTCGGGTCGGTGACCTGGTTTGAATGTCAGAACGCGTAATCCCAACTCTCGCTTTGTTGACAACGAGGGCGGGAAGCGAGATTCCCTTCTTACCTTTGTGCCATGGGTGGGGTTACGAGTAGACATTGTGGGTATATATTGTGTGGTTTGTGATGGTTCTGAAGAGTGGTTCCTATGTGAATAGAATTTATATGGATAGACAAGGTAGCAATTCTGTAACCAGAAGTCAAACCGCAATACTGTATCTGCCCCTCATCAAGGCAGCTCAGCTCTCAAGCCCCCAGTGCTAGTTGCTGGACTAGCATCGCCTCCTACCTACACTAACACTAACACTAACACTAACACTACCCACGATACAGGATCAACATTCCATGACATCACCCAGAAAGTTAATACGTGCTGTACAGAACTGTAGTGTAATTTACAAGTAGATTTACTTTCCCCGCCGCCAGTCAGAGCTCAGGTTCCTTGCGAGATAGCAGTGGTCGAGAGCGATGGAGCTGGACCTGGAATTCTAGAGTTGGCTAATTTAATGTCCTGTCCAGGCCAGGGAACTCTCGATGTTAAGAACTTAAGAGATACCTACTGTAGGTAAATTTACAGGTACTCTACGCTGGGATGGCTCGGAGGGGTACGAGTACGAGTAGCCGTGGGAGATCTCCTCAGACGTCAGTGGAGGGGCAGTGGAGGGAGAGGGGCAGGGGCAGGGGCACCGCACCTGGGAAAGGAGGGGTGGCGGAGACACGTGCCATGATCCAGTACGGTATTTGCTCAACACCTCAATGTGGACCTTCAGGTACCTAAGCGAGCTAAGGTAAGGTAAGGTAAGGTAAGGTAAGGTAAGGTAAGGTAAGGTAAGGTAAGGTAAGGTAAGGTAAGGTAAGGTAAGGTACGTACGTACCTTTCGTTGTCATGACAAGGAGAGCATGAGCGAGGGCGGCGGGCAGGGGCAGCAAGGAATCATGTTCCATTGTCGACATAAAGAGAGTTTCATTTGCATAGTCAACGACCAATGCACTAAGGTACGGCATGTGACGAATTGGATGTGATTTCTGCCCTGTTGATTGTGCTGTTTGAAATCCACGTGAGGTCTCCTTCCAGAGCTCAGCACCAAGTCTTGTGGATACCTCATTATGATACACGCAAAACAACCTCGCAAAACCTTCTCCTTCTCTTTTACTTCTTCGTCGCATCCTTTGGCAACCCATCTAAGTTGTCCTTGCCTTCCCTTCCAACATTACCCAGACCAGCGCCATCGGCCTCTCTGACACCACTGCCCTTGGTGGCCGCTCCCTCCAATCCAGTGTCCGAAACCGCGCTGTTTGGGAGTTCAACTTGTCTTTCACCGGCCTTGACATTAACTGTATTTGCATTTGCGGAGTTCCAGTCTGAGGCTACTGGAGGGTCTTCTGGAAGTGGGAGGTTTGCAACGCGCTCGGCGATGATCTCGGCTTTGCTCTTCTCTCCTGGCATTTTGGTCTGGTTGATTGTATTAGATTGTCTGCTGTAAATATCTTGCGTGTAGTGAGAACTTACGGTATGAAAATGACGTATTGAGAATGTGATGTATGTGTTGCTTAGCAGAGGAAATTGGGTGATTGGAATATTTGTACTTAAAGCATCAGCAAGTAGCCACCACGTTAAGAGCTGATGAACTAGCTAGGTAAGGTAGGTATGACATTATCCCGCTGGGTCCCTGGCTTACCGATCGGCAAGGAGCGAGCAGAAGCTTCCCTGTGGCACCACTTGGTGCTCTTTCTGAATGGTTTTGTAGGATGACGTTTGGCTTTTGATAGCGGGGTGGAGAATTGACGCCTAAGGACAAAATGGGTAGATCAAAACAATCTCTCAATTCCATTGACACGTGAATGAAACTCCCCTGGACATCCTTCATATTGGTATCATTAATCATCACAAAGAACGCCACCTCGCTTCCATGCCCAAAATTCTCGGCTCCATCCATATAGGAATCTACGAGACTCGCTTGTCCCCAGCCTCTCCCGCAACTGCTTTGTCCGCGGCATCGAAATTCAGGTAGTCTGAATCTTCTGCAGCCTCATACTCTGCGATGAGATCAGTCACAACTTCCCGTGCCTCATCAAACTCGTTCAGGTTATCAGAAAACGGTGCGGTCTTCTTGTAGCCCTCCATAAAGGCATTACGCTTCCGCATTCCATCATATTGTCTGACGATTCGTTTGAATAGCTACAACCACATATTAGCTTTGATTGAGATGGAGACTTGTAGGACCTACTGTAGCAATGCTGGTGTGATTTGCCAACATTAGTCCGCTTACTCGGTGGTTCATAGGAATGTATGGGCTCTTCTTCGTCAAGGCAACTTGAATGCTGGCAGGACCCCAAGGGATGAATGTCGCCAGTTTCCGCTCTCTGATTCGAAGGAGACTCTTATGTACATCGGTGGGATCAACATCACCTTGAATAACATTCAAGATTGAGATATAACAACTCTTCTTGCCTGGAACAGTTGATACCATTCTGTTTTTGGGTTGGAGCAGTCGGCGCATGACGTCCAATACCGTGGTCTTCCGTACAGTCTTGGCTTGTTCGAGATTATCGCCCGTGAATGGCGTGTAGGAGGTCATAAGGAAATGGCAGCGAGGCGTTGGTATCAGCGATGCAACAATGCTAACAAGGTCGTTGTGCATGTACCCAGGGTATCTGAGTGTCGTCGTACTAGCTGACATGACTGTTGAGACCTGATCCCTCATTAGTAAGTCATCTTTCAAGCCAGGGAAAGTATTTATACCAATTGATTCGTCTGTTGGAAGGAAGGTTCTTGGACATGTAACCGCTCCGCTGCTATGCGGGATAAGGCACCATTATCCAAGACCACCACCGAATCCGCATTCTGTGTTAATCTTCTCATCGAAAGCAGACTATTGTACGGATGGACTACCACATCGCCGGAATTTGTTGTATCGGGGAATACCGAGTATGTTTGGATGATCTTCTTTGGGAAGCGGTCGTTCAATCGTTCCAGCAGAAATGAACCCAGACCTGAACCAGTACCTCCTGCTATTGAGTGAAGCATCATGAATCCCTGCTTAACATCAGTATGGCTCAAATGTCAATCACTTTGCCATCATACCTCAAGGGAGTCACTGCCGTCCGCCTCTCGGTCAATCATCTCCATGACATCTTCATGAACCAATTCTCCAGTTTGATATCCATCTCCCCAATTGTTGGCAGCTCCCACCCCATTCTTCCCAACAAAAAAATTCTCGGGGTTGTATATGTTCTTGTATGGGCCAGTCTGGATGCCATTCAGAACCTACATAGGTCAGCAAAGAGACACCCTCAACAACCATATTCCTTTTGCAGACATACCCGAGGCTCTAAATCGATCAGGATAGCTCGTGGAATATATCTCGTGTCGTCTGACTGGTAAAAGAACACATCTTTCCGGTCACCTCCCTCAGTTGCAAAGTCCTCCAGATTTCCATCTTGGCTTATGCCATGCTCCTGGCACAGCTGCTGCCAAAACTGGCTGCCAACTGTTAAGGGGCATCAGTTGCCGCGGATGATACTTAATTCGGTTCAAACTCACTGCTGTTGCCACACTGGCCGGCCTGAACCGTGATGATTTCCCTGACAGTATGTTAGATTACCCGGCGCGGAGACTGCTAACATACCTAGGCATTATCGAACCATGGATAGAGTCTGCAGGTGCGATTAGATTCAAGAAGTAACTTAAGTCTCAAGGCCTCAGATGGTCAGAAACGAAGTGAGTCTGCTGTAGGCGCGTCGTTGTCGTCAAGTTTACAGAAGACGCGTAGTTTTGCGCTAAGAAAGTCGCGCGAGATTTTAACCTCATTGGTGAAGCTGTCAATACTGTAGCAACAATCGCTTCACCTGGACCACATTTCCTCCTGCTACTGCCAGGTACCAACCACATCACGGAGGTGATGACTGTTTTGAGGATATCCGATTGTCTACCTGCTCTGCGCCCTTAATCAACACGAAAAGGTCTTCCACCGGTGAGCCCTCGACAGCGCAATGGCTTTCCAAGTCCCCTTCTCCTCCAGTCCGCCTTCAACCCCAGACAGAAGATCCAGCAATATCTTCTCATATGGCGCGAACCCTTCAACAACCCCAGCCGGACCTCCCCCATCTTCTGCTGGGTCTTTTACACCAGCTGGCCCTCCTCCCCCATCAGCATTCGGAAGCTCCATGGGCACACCCTTAAAGCCTCTCTCATTCTCTCAGCAAACCGCATTCAATCCGAACTCCTCTCCCCCAAACTTTTTGCGATCTGCAGTTCAAAGTGCCGCGCCTGGTCAGCGCTCTGGACTCAGCCATGAGTACCAATCTTCCCCGCAGCGAAGCTTTCGAGCTCCGTCTGAGGACAGCGAGGGAGGCGAGGGGGATGAGTACATGGACGAGGAAGACGATGGGCAATACAACGAAAGTCAGCAAAGCTATGCGGAAGATGAAGACGCCGATCGCATGGCAGATGATAACGCTCGTTATGAAGAAGATGCGGACATGCATGATTATCGATCAGGATTTCAAGACTCGAGAGCAATTGGCCGTGGATTTGGTGAGCGAAGTACTGCCGACTTGCTACGCTCAACACCAGGAGGCTTGAAACGAAGTAGGGAAGGAGGGGCGCCTGGACTCAATAGCTCAATCATGCAATCGGCATCGGTACCAGAACCCTCATATTTTGAATCCATCGCCAAAGATCTGTCCAGTCGAATGCCACAACCGCAGCTCAAAGAAGCAGACGACCTGATCCTCAAGACCGAAGTCACAATCGAAAGGCTATTTAGTGACGGCATCGGCGCTACAGAGGATGATGACTTGCTTGAGGAAACGCTGACAACAGTTTCTGGAGAACTTGTCAGATTATGGGAAGATTACCAAAACAAGATCGCTGTCTACGATTCCGATGAGTATACAGCAGGTATTGGCCCAGGTTCTAAAGCATCCGATTTCGAGAAAGCCAACTTCCTAGCCGGTCTCGCCCTAAAGATACAGCATCCTGGAAAGATATCAAAGTCTTTTGATCGCAAAGTTGTGCCACTTCCGCAGGTGCTGCTGGAATGGATGCACGACTACCATAACCCTTACCCATCAAGTCTTGACGTGGTGCAAAATAACTTACCAAGTCCGTCGAATCACCGATCATTCTGGGATACTGCGTTTAGTTGTCTTGTTCGTGGGAAAGTTGCTGCTGTTAAGCATCTATTGGAACATGCCGGTTGGAGTACTGCGAGAAATGAAACAGAAACCTCCCTTAGTCAATTTGGACAAGTTGGGTTTACCGGTCCAGCACTTGCCAACGTCGAAAAGGTTGTCGGCGCTGCAACCCACGTACTTTCGCAATGTCCGGCAGTCCACGGGGACTGGAATACGAAGAGTAGTGACTGGACACTGTTTCGACTGCATGTCTCCCAGGCGCTGGAGGAGTTAAGAACATTTGCGGAGGGAAACAATCGAGAGCGGATGGGTTCTCTGTATGAACCGGAAGGGTTCGGCGCTTCTTCTATTGCTAGTACGTATAGCAAAAATGCTAAGAAGGCAGAAAGCAAAGTTCCCTGGCATATTTACCAGAACCTTATCACACTTTACAATCTGGTCATGGGTGACTCCAATGCGATCATCGAAAATGCACAGGATTGGTGCGAAGCTACCATTGGCCTACTGGTATGGTGGGATGAAGGCAGAGATGACAGACGTGTAGCACTGGGCCGATCGCAGAGCAATTATCGTGTTGCATCACGAGAGTCTGATGCGGTTTCATATCGTCGAAAGCTGCGTAGATCATTTCAGATTGCAACGGCAGATACGACGGACTTCAAAGTCAACAGTGCGGATATGGTTGAAGTTGGATTGGTAACACTTTTCGAAGGCAATGTTGAAGCAGTTGTTGGGTTTCTCAAGGGATGGTCGGGACCATTGTCTTCCGCAGTAGCAGAAATAGCTTCTTTGGGTGGCTGGCTGCCTCCAGCAGAAGAGAAAAATCTTATCAACATGGGAAGTTTTGACCAGGACGACCTGGATCTTCTTGGCTACAACTCATCGCCGCCTAGGGAAGATGGGGTCAAGGACAAAACCCTTATCGCCTATGCACGCTTGTTAGCCAAGCGAGGTCCCATGAAGGCTTCTACGAGCTCTGGACAGACTATAGCTCGAGAGGGCTGGGAAATTGCTATTGCAGTGCTTGGTCGACTCGATTCTACAGACCGCCAAGTGGAAATGATAGGATTGTTCTTGAATGGCTTTAAGCTGGACTCTTCAAGCACTGTTGATAAGCTTTGGAGGCTGCTCACTGATCTCGACCTAACCCGGCACGCTGAGCGCATCGCAGAGGTAAGTGAGACCAGTTGTTATTCTTGAACATGACTGATCAGGAGTAGTCCTACGCCGATACACTCGCGGAAGGTTCACACCGATACGGTGAGGCTCTCTGGTATTACGCACTATCTCACAAGGTCCAGAAGGTCAAGGACGTGTTGGATCTACTTATCTCCTTCTCCCTGATCCAGTCAACTGCGTATCCTCCAGAACCTGAGCTGGATGACTTCTTGCGAAGCCTTGTTTCATCGCCTAAAGATGCATTGACGAAGATCTCTGAAATGGATGACGAAGCTGCTGCACTCCTACACAAGATGCTGAGTGGCTATGCAACTCTTCGAAAATTCTACAACCTCCGTGACGAAGACGTGTCACACACAGGCGCAAAGTCACATCTGGGTCCCATTGCGCGCAAAGTCGAAGCGACATCATCCCTCCTTGCGGTCATAACCAGCTCCGATGATAACATTCGAGGAGGACTGTATGACGAAGAACGTGGAGCAGTTGTCAGCGTCGATTTTCTCCTCGCTCTGCTCGGTGAGGCACTCGTGCTGGTAAATCAGACAGACTCTGCCATCACGGTGTCACAGATCGATGTTCTGCTCAAGGCTATCGAGGATCTTGAGACTGTAGGAGAACGTGTCAATTCTGTATGCTCAGAGTTCTTGCAGACAGTCATTGCATCAGCGCAAGGACTCAAAGGATCGGCTCCAATGGATATGTTGCGGAAATCGACCTCTAATATTAGTGGAACCAGTAGCTTCTCCATGGTTGGAAGCTCAATGTATGCATCGCAGCTCAAGCAATCTATGAGCAGTAGTGGAGTATTGGTGAAGGGCGATAGTAAACGCGGATGGGATTGGCGGCAGGGCGTCTCCGCAAGTACGAAAGGGGAGGATCTTTTGCGGATCCTACGGCTGGGACTAGCGAAAGACTTGGCCAAAGCGTACTTACTAGAGTCGGACAGTAGAATATAAGATTAGCAGATTAAAGTGACTGTAATCTTTCCTGGGGCAGGGATGCGTGGTTACATCAGGCGGCGTTCTTGAAAAGGACCATATCAGGGAGCATAGCGGAGACGCTCGGCGTGAATGAAAAGTTATGATACCCGTGTTTTCACAAAATCTGGTACTTTTTCCCTTTGACAGCTTGGCATATCGGGCCATCCACCTGTTCGACGCAACTATGAAATGCAGATACACATTGAAGCTACGATTCATGGAGGGGCAGTTTCGCCGTAGGGAGGAGTCCGCCACTAGTATCGATAAGCGTCAAATCGTTTTCGCCTTGGCGTCCGATTTGGCTGCAGATGTTACATATAAACATGAATACATAAGACGTTGATATTTGGACATAAATAAAGGTTGCTGAATTTCAACATCCGCATGATATTTCTCAGCTCATTTGGTCGAGCGCAATTCTCGCATGGAAGAGAACCGTGAACTTCTCTTGATATATTGCCCCTTTCCTCGCCTCGCTTAAGAAGGTAAACAGGGCAGATGCCCAAGCCACCTACCAAATGTGCTTTTGTGTCGGCGCGCAAGCTTATTGTATCAACGATCACATAAATTATCTTTAAAAATTACAATATGTCTTCTTTCTTCTTCGATACCAAATTCTTTCCTATCCTGTTTCATTGGGATCAGTAAAATCACTTGCTACAACCTGCTCAGCCGGGAGCCATTCCCCGGCGATCGTGTTCTTGTAGGTGAGCTGCGCCAGTGTAAAGGTATGGAGCTGAGACACAAGTACAGTATCACCCATAGGCGCCACGCGGTGTACCCAGGAATTTTGAGTTGGCACGGAAATGTACAATTCACCAAGTATCGATGTGACGCCTTGGTCGAATGTGACACGAATCAAAGCGTCTGCCGATTTGTTACTGAGTAGCGATGTTGAAAGAAGCCACAAAGCCGGGCCCCCTTCTAGGCTCGATGCGTCGGCTACGTGCAAGAGCCCAGCATTTGTCCCAAGTAGCGGCTCCTTGAGCTGGAAGAATTCTGGCTCACCGCTAGAATCAATGTGGCCAAAAGATCCCAAGCCGCCACTGGAGTCACCAGCTATAACAAACCATACTCCCTCCAATGGGCCATATGCTGTTGTCATTCCTACTGGGGTGTTACCAAATTCAGGCGGAATCGGTATCTGCTCAGTCTTCCCACTGTCAACGTCGATACGCATGATTGACGACTCGGCATCTTGGTTAGCATAAATGAACTTCGTGGTTGGTTCTTCGTTGATGAACACAGGGCTTTTGAGACATTCGTAAAGTTTCGGGTCCGATGAATTTGTGGATGACTTGGAGACATCTACCGAAAATACGTAATATTTCCCAGTCTGGTTGGATGCGACTTTCAAGCCAGCCCAGACACGGTTGCCGATTTCAAAGACAGAGTGTGGGCCAATTCCTGGCTCAGGAACATCAATTTTCTGTATGATGGTTGGCTTTGTTGTGAGATTTGATCCTGGATCCACCAGTAGGATCTGATTGTCGGCTTGAAGTGATAACCACTAATCAATACTTAGCTCATCTCAAAGAGACTTGAACATCTCATTCTATCCTCGAGACATGTCACAAGATTCATATGTACCATGAAGCCTGGGTATAGCTGCGATGGGTATACACCATGCAAGCCCGAGTTACTGTTGCCCATAGGGAACGACTGGAGAGCAATCGGTTCTAACGAGTCCGGGTCAAGTTCGATTTTGACAAGTTGGCTGTTAGACATCTGCGACAACAAGACAAAACTCGTGTTAGGAACACGCGCGAACTCGTGAGTTTCGGTCGCCGCGGGCATCAAGTATTCCGTAAAGCGACGGCTTACAAGCGAGTTGACTGGCTGCTGGGACGACACAGTGCTGTGCCAGAATGCCAGCACAGTCGTGAGGGATCTAAGCATTCGAGACAACATTCTGCATAATGGTATCATATCAATCTTGAGGCGGATCCATCCAGGTGGGCGGATTCTCTCTTTCATTTATACCTGCTTGGCCATGGTTGATGGTACTTGCATTTTCCGAGGCTTCATTAGGTTTGCATTCCGTTGTGTTCAGCTCTCGTGTCGATCACGATGTTAGATTTTTAACATAGACTTTCCGCCAACCCTAGCTAGTAGGTCGTTCAGTTGAAGATTTCAGAATCAGGTATAGTCGTGACTCCGATGACCCAGATCGACGAACATTTGATATACGTGGCGAGCGTGTGTCCATCTCACAACGAAACGAGCATGGCCACCATATTATCTCTGATCTCATTGGCTAGGCGGTGTTCCGTAAAAGGCTGGTAACACCATTTAAGACAGTATTTATCAGCACGAGAGGTCACAATTGAAAGACAACAGGTTATGAGTGTTCTGATATTTGCGATGAGTAGCCTTTCCGCAATCAATGTTTTCCATGAGTTTATTTTTGGAGGTTCAGCCATTCTCTGCCAGGGATGAAAAGAGGAACGCTGCTCTGCCTCTTTGTCGTAGGAGTCCACGCTGTACATTTGAATCCCCAGTCGGTTACCCCGCGACCCTTGCGCACTTTATGATGTGTTTAATTCTGGAAACGCCCGCAAATGTATAATCGATGCATAGAATCGCAAGTCAGATCGAGACACTGAGAGGTGAGGTTAGAGAAGATCCATGAACGGCCACGTTGAAGCTGTCAGTCTCCTACACGACACCGAACTCAAGCTCTCAGGATTTAAAAGGGTCTTCGTCTAGAATGATGACATCGTCGTCATTAAACTCGAGGTACTCATTTTCCATATCCAAGCCGTAGATATCCAGGAGATTAAACGAATGAATGACCTCGGAGTCTTTTACTCCCTTGATCACTCCGTGCGAGCACTTTTCATCCAGCTCTTGAAGCTCCCGGATAATTCGATGACGGAGAACAGCTTTGGCGCTATCAACTTCTTCATGCTCAACTTCGTCCATCGTAGCACTATGGATAGCTTCTTCTAAAGCCTTCAGAAGCTGGGCTAGTACTTTTTGGATTTTCTCGGATGTTTCTGGTAGGAGTGCTCTGTTCAGCTCACGAAGCTCGTCCAGGATGGTTTCAGAGGCATCAGCGTACATCTGATGAGAGTTCTGATCTAAGTGTTGCTGAAAGCTGACTTTGATGCGGACCAGCATACCCTTTCCTGGCTGCCATTAGCTCTTGTTGATAAAATAAAAAATCGTCTCCATACCTGACTGCTGTCGTCCCTCGGTATAAAAAGGCATCATGTGCTTCTTGATAGCCTTGCGTAGAGTCCTGGGGGCATCATGTGCTCTCTCCTGTCTTGCACTTAAGGCATCCGACACAATTCGTAGGATCCTGCTTTTCTGTAGGGGAATCTGGTCCAGAATATATTGGACTGGCGGATAAGCGCCACATATGTCCATAACGAATGTGCCAAAATTGGCTTGAAACTCGTCAAGTGCCATCAGCATGATACTAGAATACTTTCCATGATAGAATCGCAGCTTGTCCTTGAAGAAACTCGTCCACAGAGATGAAAATCTATCCATGTAAGAGTAAACAAGCTCCTCGTTCCAGTTGTAGGGGCCATTCTTGCTTGCGAGGTATGGTCCGCCCTCACGCCTAATAATGGCCTTCCAAGTACCCGCCGCCATGTCTGATTTAACCTTCTCCTCTGCTAGATTTGTAGCCTTTTCTTCGCCGGCTGCTATGGCTTGATACATTTGTGGAGCAATATTTTTTTGCATGTATCGTCGGACATTTCCTGCCATGTTGGTTCGTGCACGCTTTTCACTCTATCAAATGTTTATTAGTGCTCCAGGAAATCGGGAGATGGATAAGTATTTACCTCTTTCAATTTCTCATAATATTGATGAAGCTGTATTAGAAGCCCTTCCTTCTGCATTTCGCTGAGGGTCGCGTCGCGATAGTCTTGCTCCGCCCAAGCCATCACTGCGGACTTCCACAAAGTCATCTCCGTATGAAAGGTGTCGACGGCGACTTCCCGGTATCCTAGGGTACATTGTTTTGCGAATTCGGCAAGACCAGGAATGCCAGTGTCCGATATATTCCGAAATCCTTGAATCTCTGGATCTCTCTTGAATCGGCCATTGGCTTTCTGGTAAGCTTTTGATGATACGCAGAATGTCTTTAAGCCCGCTCCGTGTGAGCAAACAGAGGCTATGGATCTTGGTTAGCATAATCGGGCCTACGAGTACATGGAATGATACATGCTTTCATCAAAGACGTTGTCCGCATTGTTATCTCCAGCATCTGCAAGGTCTTGAATAAGTGAGGCGATGCCGTACTGGAAGTCGGATCCAAGACGTTCCCGAGTGTATTTGTTCCGCTCGCGAATGCATTTCACTCTCATTGCAAGTTTGGACGCACTTATCTGTGACCTGACTCTGGAAATTTTGACTTGAAGCTTTTTCTTGTCTTTAGTACATTGTCAGCATCGGTATTGACTCCAAGGAAGAATAACAGCATACCTTTGCGTGCGGATTCATTCATGCTCGCAAATTTACGTTTAGATCCGGTGCTTGAACCTACGATCTCACACTCGTCATCGATAGCTTGAACTTGCTCCTCTAATTTCTCAAGTTCATCCATCAAACGAATCTCCTTTTCGGTAGCTTCTTGGAGGACCGTGTTGTGAAGGTTCAGATTGTTGATGACCTCGTCGGTATTCAAGTTGTCAATTCGAGTCAATACGAAAGTCACGAAACGTTCGTGGTAGTTTCCGTTGAGAAGTAGCTGTCTTTTGAAAGATGCCCCGAGAAGGTCCTGAGCCACTTTGTCGTCCACAGCTCGATTGATATCGGCCACTACCCAAACAGATTTCAGGTGCTTGACATAGTTCTCGGCTATAGAGGCTCGACCAGAATTAGAATCTCCTAGGCCTGGAAGGTCGACAAGCACAAGTCCCTCCTTGAGTAAGCTTGCCTTGATATAGACTTTGACAAGTCGAACCAAAGGCCAGTACTGGAATTTGCCGGATTTGGAGGTCTTGTTGGCGCTGTCAATATACTGAGCGATAGCTTTGCTGAACTCCTTGGCATTAGCAGTGTATATCATCTTGTGTTTGCCTAATATTTCGAAAAGATTCGCGTCCTGAACGACTTCGTCTTCGGTCATTTCAAGGAATTCAGCTGTAGATTTATTGGGATAAACGGCCTTTAACTTTGCAAGAGCCACGCCCGCGTCAGAAGTCGAACTTGCCAGCAGATTTTCTCCCTCAGGGCGGCCTTCGATATCATCTCGTAAGATTCTAAACTCTGCAGCCCATTCCGCTGGGCTGCAGAACTCACAAAAGCTGTGTATGCCTTAGTAGGATCATGAGATTGATTATAACTGAGTTCAACTACGGCCGACGTGCTGGCTCTCATTCCATTTGTTGGCAAGAGGGCTTCCTCGTCGACAAGAGCATTGATTAGGCTGGACTTCCCAGACCCGGTGTAGCCAAGAAGACCGATGGGAATACGCGGAAGCTGACTCAAAATGTTGATATCATCTGCGACGAATGTTAGTTATCATTCCAAGGAAGCTGAAGAAGTACGTTTGACAAGATCATAGCGGCAACTCACTTGCGTGCTCTAACCATGACTTGTATTCTGGGCATACGTCCCCATCTCTCTGGATCAGCACTTTGAGCCGTTGAAGTGTAGCTTTCTCTAGCTCTGCAATTTGTTCCTTGCGCTTAACTCGAAGTTCAGTATAACTATCGTCAGCCTAGGACGCCAGTCAGATTATTCACTTCTATTTGATATTGAACGTAGATATACTTGGTGATACGGATCCTGTGGAAGTGGTGATGCTTCAATGCAATCTTCAGCCTCCACTTTGACCTTGGATCGACTAGCCTCAGCCTTCATACAGTAGGATTCAGACGAAGAATTGCGAGCCATCTTGCGCTTGACGGTAGCCAATCGTTTAGCTGTTTGCGAAATGTCCATCCTGAATATTCGCTCTCGAATTCTGAAGAAAATGCCAGTTAGATAGATCAAATACGATGGTGTATAGAGTTGCCACTAGAGCCTCAGTGGTAGATTAAGAAGAATACATCCTCATAAGTTCAAGCACATGGAGATCTGTAGATTTAACACCATGCAAGAAACGTACTCAGAAATATAGACGTAGACCCGAGATGCACGGCCTTCAAGGTACGTAATCGTCTTAGAATCGAATCGTAAGGTGATTTTAAGAGCAGCGTGTCCTGGCTGACATTGCTCCTGAAATCGACCAGGGGGTTTATTGCCTGATATGCTTCTAAGTCAATACAATGCCCAAATTTGAGAATAACAATGAAGCTGAAGTGGTGCGCACACTGGAATTGAGATATCAGAAGAGAGAATTAGGAGTTCAATAAGGGACGGTAGCACATGAGCAGAGGAAGTACCTATCATAGGTGAAACTTGAGGCATGGAAAACGTACCTGATTGTTCGGAGAGGTTTGCTTTGCTAAGTTGAGAGAACTGGGCGAGGAAGCAGAAGTGGGACAATAGCAAAGATCAAAGCTTATGAACTCGAGAAGTGAGAGTTCGAGAAGTGGAGTTCGAGAATTGAGGAAGCCTCTTTTATGGTGGAGTTCGAGCAAGCTTTTGGGGTTGCATAGAATTACGATATGAGTGTGTACTGATCGTGAAGTCCTCGAAAGAGTTCACAGCCTCGATGTCAGATTTTGATAACTCGATATGTCGTGTAAAGTATGTAGCAACAGAGTAGGGGGAGGGAGATCTGTGACAGCTTTAAGCTGCAGCACACCGAAGTGCTCTCGGTGGGGTTGTTTTGTTGCTGCTGACTGAGGAGAAAGGACTGACTGGTGTTATGTTGTGTTTATACAGACAGATGAGGAGACGCGGGGTGGGTGATTAAGCGAGAGCCACAGGTATTGCACCTTAAGCAAAGAGGAAGGAGTGAATGGAAGGACAGAAGTACAATGATATTAACCAAGCAGGAGCTCCTGAGCGGAGTATGCCCAGTTTTTCCAAGGAATTCACTGCTAAGATATCGAGGAGTAGGTACCTAAGGTGACTACCCTAATTTATACGCAGTACCAAATGCTCCTTACCTAGGAGGAGTCGCCCAATTCTGCAAATCATCATCTAGGATCCAAAATGAAATGGAAAGCAGTGAGGAAGGATACCTACCTTGGCTCCGGGATGCAAGGTAGAACCCACAAATCCATATGAATTACCTGGCACAAATATATAGGTTACAGAAGACCTGTGGGACATTGAATTGAGATGATGAAGTCAAGTGTTGAAGTCTTGCAGAACGCCCCACAGGGTTGTCAGCATGACATCCTAGTGCATCTATAATACCCTCATCTGATTGGCCCGCACATGCTCGCAGAATATCCATCAACACCTTTAACTTTACCTCCGACATCAAAAGGAAAACCATGAAGTGAAAGGAGACGCAATTGAGAAGATGGCGGAGAAGGAGAAGAGCCAGAGCAACTATAAAGGCTTTGTGGCAGGAGTGTTTTCTGGTGTTGCGAAGCTTACAGGTAAGTCTTTCCCCTCGTTATCTACCCCAAGCTGTATATTTCATACCCCAGCTTTGAAAGTCCTCTACGCACCACCAACCAATCTAAGGATTGCCAATGATAGACAACTAACTTCAAACATCTAGTTGGTCATCCCTTCGACACCATCAAAGTCCGCCTCCAAACCTCCGACTCAACACGCTTCTCTGGCCCCCTCCAATGCCTCCTCCAGACAGTCAAGAAAGAAGGCGTAGCAGGACTGTACAAAGGCGCCACGCCTCCTCTAGTAGGATGGATGTTCATGGATAGCCTCATGCTCGGTTCCCTAACCTACTACCGCAAATTCCTCCACCGAACCCTCTTCAACCCGCACCGAATGGCCGCCTCGCCCTCCGCTTTCGCCCAACGCGACCTCCCCCTCCCAAACTCACAGCTCCACAAACTCCCCACGGTAGGGCATGCAATGGCAGGTGTCATGGCTGGGGCAACAGTCAGCTTCATAGCTGCGCCCGTGGAACACATCAAAGCCCGTCTGCAAATCCAATACTCCTCTGTCAAATCCGAACGGCTATACAAAGGACCTATTGACTGCCTACGGAAAATCTACCGATTCCACGGCCTCTCGGGCCTCTACCACGGTCTCTCTGCTACTCTCCTCTTCCGCTCATTCTTTTTCTTCTGGTGGGGCAGTTACGATATCTTCACTCGTCTCTTGTCGGAGAAAACAAGCCTTAGTGCGCCTGCCATCAACTTCTGGGCAGGTGGACTCAGCGCACAGGTCTTTTGGCTTACGAGTTATCCTAGTGATGTGGTTAAGCAGCGGATCATGACCGACCCATTAGCTGGGGGGCTCGGGGATGGGGTTAGGAGATTTCCGAATTGGAGGAGTGCTGCAACGGCTGTTTACAAGGAGAATGGGCTTAAAGGATATTGGCGAGGTTTCGTGCCGTGCTTTCTAAGGGCATTTCCTGCAAACGCAATGGCGCTCGTTGCCTTCGAAGGTGTTATGAGGGCATTGCCTTAGACTTGTGCTGATACTCATGTGAATATATGGTTGACGGATATTGTGATGATATGGTAGATGGATGGTAGAGGCGTTTGGGATATACAACTCATGCGGACATTGAATATACTGTGTATGAATAGACTAGACAATCTCAATTTGGCTATGTTGGTATGTGGCAAAGCTCGTAGTCTGATGCTCATGGAAACATGATCATGACCGAGCCATATGAGGGAGTCTAGGTCTTCGATGAAGAGTGGGCTATTCAGTCACAGGCGTCGTGGGTATGGTTGAATAGTGCAGCTATGCAAGCACTTCGCCTTGTCACTCGTAGCTTTATGAAAGACAAGCTGAAAGTACTCCGGGTGACCAGACTCTAAAGTACCGATATCAGAGTCCATATCTCAAGAACCAGTTGCACGCAACTTCTCGACAATTGCAATCAGGATAGTCACAACTAGGATCACATCAAAATCAAGGGCAAACATCAGACAGAATATTCAGAGGGTCGAAGAGCTCTTCATTGAAGGCGATCTATGCAACGTGAACGTCCATTGTACCCATCATGTCACCCATCCGGCTTATATGTGATCCGATCCACCGACATTTACTCATCATCCTCCTCATCAGCGTCAGCAACGACATTGAAAAATCGGAGCTCGTAAACGCCCTTGGATGTAGAGACGACACGGAGCCAGTCACGGAGCTGTTGCTTCTTGAGGAACTTCTTTGTCCTATAGTCAAATAAATCAGTGTCTGTGCAACCTGATAATATCGTACAGTGTATTGTAGACTCACAAGTACTTGAGGTATCTGCCAGAGAATTGGGTGTGCGCAATAACCTCGATCTTTCCATCGCCGATCTGGGAGATCTGGACGGTCTCGCCGAGATTGCCCACACGACCGTCAACCTTTATCTTGTCCTGGAGGAACTTCTCGAAGGCGGAGACGTCGAAAATCTTGTCACTGGCGGGTTGCGAAGCATTGATGATGAACTTGACATTCCGTCAGCGCAGGTTCCGTCACAACCATCCCAGATATCCGAGATAGTATATAGCAATCTGCGAGGTCTTTTGGAGGGTAGAAGACTATGCATACCTTGTTCGTGACCTTGGCCTGCTTGCCCTTGGAGGATTTCTGTAAATCGATGAACTTAGCCTACTGCATCACGCCACAACCTCACCATAGAGGCGGGCCAACAGCAAAGCTGGTCTCATGTACGTACTGTGGATGGTGCCATTTTGTTGGAATTGGTCGCAAAGAAGTTTTAATCCTACGCCGATTCGAATTTGCTTGAGATGGGTTGGTGTGGGTTTAGGAGGTTGCGAAAAAGTTTCGGTAAAAACATGCTGTGCGCCAAGAGTTCGAGGCTCGCTAAGTAGCGTCGTGGATCTCGTGGATCAAGTCAAAGCCTCAGTGTTTGTATTCTCAGATTGTGACAAGGTATTGATTGAATCTACTAGATGTGTTTATGTTTTCTGCTACAGCTATAGAGTTTTGCCTCCAGAGTTCTTGAGGGAACCTGGCGATTAAATCAATTGGATATTGCTGGACAGCGGGTAGCTTTTGGTTTCGAGTTCTAGTACTGGGATTCTCAAATGACTTGATCTTGAAAAATTACAGTGTATGGGCAATCCGGGCCACATAGGAGCTTATGGCAGTTATTATGAGTTAAACTTATTCTTCACATGCATTGCACTCAGGACAGCAAGCTTCATCATTCAAGTACCCATTGCAGTCCACGTACCAATACGTGATCATATATGCACCGTGAATGCCTCATTTCCAGCCACTGAAGAGAAAACTAGGTCTTTCGTAATACGAACTCTTGTCATCCCAACCACAGAATGACTATTACTCACCCATTCACAAATAAAGACCATTGGACACAATTCTCTTGCAGGGCTTAGCTCTGCAGCATGGAAGCTTTCCGCTCGCAACTTAATCAGATCAGCCCATTACAACGCAAGTCTAGAACAGTGTCACGCTCGGAACAATAACCAAGACGGTTTTTAGAGGGTATCAGGAATCGTTTCAATCAATTAAATTATCCATAGAGCAAACCGTCCGTTATCCCCCAGTTACCACACTCCGTAGAGATGCTGGCAGAAAAAATATGAAAAACTGCTGCTTCAGAAAACCAAACAAGAAGGGCACGCAAAAAACTGTTCAACCCTCCAGCCGTATGCAATCATGGGCAGAGGAACAATCCATGTCCAAAGTCTGAAGGTTTCCTAAGCCAGTGTCCTCAGACAATTTCGCTGCGGCCAAGCGTAATCAAGTACCGCCAGAGAAGACCTCCAGAATCAGATGCCGAACATGCCGTGCCAAGAACCACTCTTGTTGGGATATTGAAGACCACTAAACGCCGAGCTGTGAATGAAGGGCGACGAAGGTTATGTGAGGCGGGCTTCGTCGGGTACAAGGGTATTGAGGAAGTCGTAATAGAGAAGACATCATGGGCACTCTAGTACTTGAGGATGATGTAACTGTAAGGAACGTTAGCAGAGGACTGCGAGAATGCGACACCCGCATTTGCTTCCGAAGTATGGAAACTTTTGTGGAAGGGGAATGGAACTCCAGTTCTGAAGGTGCAGCAGCAGGTGGAATGTACGTACAGAGCGTGAATGATACCGGGGATATAACCAAGAATTGTCAACAGGATGTTGATGAGGAGATCAGCACCGCAGCCTCGCTGTACATTTGTTAGCATGAAGATCCTTTGCACTTGATGGGTGCATGACTTACCTCAAGGAAAACACCAAGAGGTGGGAGGATGACAGCAAGAATGATCTTGCAGATGTCGCTGTGAAAATGTCAGCTCAGAGTAAAATCCGCAGCGATCCGGCGAGGGCAGGTGTCTGCTCAACCGTAATGATCTCATCTGGCTAGAGGTTCGTAGATGCTTACCTAGCTGTGAATGCCATTGTGAAGGTTGTGTTTGGTAGTTGTTCTTGGGTGGGAGGGAAAGCTGGTTTTGAGCTATTGCGAGTTGAGATGGGTGTAAAGGTGTGGTTTGTTGATGAGATGGGAAGAAGAAGATGCGGAATGCCAAAAGCCTTTATTTAAGCAACGCAGAGCTGACAGACTGCCTGCCCTGCCCTGTGCTGTGCTGTGCTGTGCTGTGCTGTGCTGAGTCGGGCTGCCGCTCCCAGGTATGACGTGTGCGGTCGGCAAGGCAAGGCAAGGCAAGACAAGACAAGGTGAAGGACTCAGGACTCCGGACTGCCTGGTGCCCCCTGCCCTCAGATCACATCACTGCGATCCACTGGCCTTCCCTGTTCTTTTTACTGGGCACATGGGGACTCTCAGTACCCTTCTACTATTGACTGAAATACCCTGCGCCGAGGCAAATTATGCTCCATTCTCATATACGAATCATCATAATTACGGTACAGTAAGTTAACCAAAGTTGCAGCTTGATGACGGGGACTCGGGGTGGAGGTGGGAAGCGTTGGCTGTGAAGATTCTCCGGGTCGAAATGATCTGTTCTGCTTGTACTGTATTCTGCTGTACTGTACTCCGCTACTTCCCAATTCAATGTTATCAACAGACGTGTACAGTACAGGACAGTACAGTACTGCTGGACTGCCTCTACATCCTCTGTCATGAGGGCATCCAAAGCGCTGACCTGACCTGACCTGACCCTTGCTCCTCCAGGCGAATGCTCCAGCCACAACTGCGTCACCAGGCGAGCCAAGTGCCAAGGTACGAAGTAAATGGTCGCATCTCCCGCAAGCGTGAAATTGATTTGATGGCAGCCAGTCCCGATCCCAGTTTTAAACTTATTTTTAAAGCAGAAGACGTTTCGTCCTGTGGCTGAGGCCGTCAGCCACTGGGGAAAGCTCAGGATCTCTGGATGTCAGGTAAGGTAAGGTAAGGCAAGGTAAGGTAAGGTAAGGTAAGGTAAGTTTAGGTATCTCTGCACGCATGTGGAGCGAACTGGTGGCGTCTGCTGGAGAGATCAAACTCTGATCGGTCGAATCGTGGACTGCGGCTGTCGCCTGGACCTCGAGGGGAGGGGAGGCGAGGCGAGAGGACGAGTTTATGGTACAGTAGGTAGGTAAACACCAAGACTTGCCATGCTGCCAAGTTCCGGCATACCTACCTTACCTTACCTAGGTATCCATCCATGCCGTTGGTCAGCCCCAGCCCTTTCAGCATTTCAACATTTCAACATTTCGTTTCATTTCATTTCATTATCAGTTTCTTCAAAGCCCCTGCCTGCATCCCAGTCTGCCAGCGAGCAATCCAGCCAAGAACTAGGATGCCGCCTGCTTCCAAAGCATCAAATTTTCCAACCCCCTCTGCCCCTCTGCCCCTCTGGCCCCTCCCAAAACCGAAAAGTAGGTACGAGTAGATGATGATTGATCAAGGAGCCATGCAAATGCCAGCCTGGGCAATCATCGGCATCCAGCTGACTACATTTACTGTACAATAATGTTGCCCAGAGCAGAGGGGCCAGAGCTTCCAGGGCTGAAGCCCAGTACTGTACAGTACCGAGCTATGGGCATTTGTTGCGGCGCAAGTAGGTACCAAGGTAAGTAAGGTAGGTAGGGCGTAAATTAACTGGTCCCAAGATCAGACGACGGCCTGGACAACAGACCACGCGATATTAAAACAAGCTTGGCACCATTACAAGAGCATTATGATGATATCCAAGTGATTGGGACCGATTTGAATATGCACCTTCTCCGTGCCACGAGTCTTGGTCTGTTTACTGTACTGTACTTCACTGTACTGTGCTGTACTTGCGCGACTTATGGACATCCGAGGGGATCGAGGTTTGCTCATACTTCTGGAAAGACTTTGAGACACCGAGATACCTATGGCGAAAATCTCGGCTTCGATTGCCGTTGCTTCCTTCTCCATATGATAACCCGCACCTGAGCCCTTCTACCGTCAAGCTATGCATCATGAGCTCTTGGTCCCCGAGACAGTCATAGATCACGAAAGTGATGCAGATAGGATTCCCCAGCCTCGTCAATGTCCAGGACCTTACCGTGCTACCTATTCTCAGATAAACACATACCAATGGCCCTGATCGGTACATCTTGTCACTAACCGACAAATTTCCATTTCTTATCGCCTCATTTCTACACCCCACCATCCCACTACAACCTACCATTCAATGGACTCCAAACCCTAGCAACCACCCTCATTATGCCTCGAGATCCGTTAATCGGTCTGGTCGGTAAGCCCTCGAGTGGTAAATCCACCACCTTGAACAGCTTGACCGATGCCAGCTCCAAAGTCGGTGCGTGAACCACCCGAGAAACCTGCAATGAAGAGAGGACTTTGAGCTCACAACCTCGTGACAGGCAATTTCCCGTAAGGCTCGACCGTCCTTTGGATCCTGATACAGCTACTGAAGTACACTGCCTAGTTTCACCACCATAGATCCCCAGCGTGCCATCGGGTACCTACAAATCGAATGCGCTTGCGCGCGACACAATCTCTCGGACAGATGCAAGCCAAACTACGGCGCGTGCATCAACGGCAGACGCTCCGTTCCCATCGAACTTCTCGACGTAGCAGGACTCGTTCCCGGCGCACATGAGGGGAAAGGATTGGGCAACAAGTTCCTCGACGATCTACGACATGCAGATGCGCTCGTCCACGTAGTCGATGTGAGCGGGACAACAGATGCAGAAGGCAAGGCCACGAGAGGGTATGATCCCTCGCAGGACATTGTGTGGCTGAGATCCGAGATTGTGCAATGGATAAGAGGAAATCTGATGGCGAAATGGGGATCTATTAAAAGACGGCACATAGCAGTCAAAGCCACGGCAGTGGAGACGCTGCAAGGGCAATTCTCAGGATACGGATCAACAGCCACAGTAGTCGCCAGAACACTGGACAAGCTGGGGTTGAAAGAGCCGTTGGAGCATTGGTCCGATGAGACGGTTGACAAGGTAGTCAATGCCTTCACAGACGAGAAGTTCCCTACAGTAATAGCCCTCAATAAGATCGACCACGCAGACGCGGACAAGAACATCAGCAAGATCGCCAAAATGCAAGACCCTCAATCTATCGTGCTCTGTTCCGCTATCTCCGAGGTATTTCTCCGGAAACTGGCCAAGCAGGGTTTCGTGAAGTACACGGAAGGCAGCGAGTTTGTGGACACGCGAGAAGATCTGATCGCGGATGGAGACCCCTCGGGTGGCGGACTGAAGGAGCTTGACGAGAAACTCAAGAACCGCATAGAGAACCTCAAGGATATGGTTCTCTACCGATTCGGGTCGACGGGTGTGGTGCAGGTGTTGTCTAGGGCTGCCGAACTCCTTGGTCTCGTTCCGGTATTCCCCGTAAGGAACATTTCGAGCTTCGGATCTGGCGCTTCTGGTTCCAACGCTGTTTTCAGAGACTGCGTATTGGTTAAGAAGAATACCACCGTTGCAGAATGTGCTCGCAAAGTTATTGGAGACGCGCCGTTGGCTTACGTGGAAGGAGCTGGTGGAGTCAGAGTTGCAGAGGATGATATTGTTATGGTTGGCAAAAACGATGTTCGTTCCATTGAAATAATTCCCAGCTTCTTGCTAATAGTCACAGATCCTCTCTTTCAAAGTGGGCAGAGCATGACTTTGAAGCCCAGTTTCCAAAAGTCTGGCGTTCAACAAGGATAAAGGTTGCATAGCAATGGCGTTCGGGGATACGCATGGTTGCGAGGAATATATTACTTCTTTTGAGCATCTAAGCCATCTTGCAACCATCTTTACATGGCTCTGGCTGAGCAGCCCTTACTGTTCTTTCCTTCACTTTCCACCATCCAACAGCGAACCCTGCAGACTAGAAAGTCAAAACATCCCAGAAGGTTCTTCCGATAATTCTTTCAGTGCAAGGATCGCAGACTCACCCCGCGATCCCCCGCAATCCCCAAACTTCTCCTCTCCCAAACGTCTGAAAACATCACACCACAACCCCGCCATCAGCCCATTCCCGCATTATTGTTGCCGCAGATCTGACTACGCCTTTCCCCCGCGCTCGTCCTGCATACCAATAGTGTCTGCCATGAAAGTAAATATCAGCACAGTTTCATCAAGGTATTTCCAATAGCAACAGTCGAATGTATTGTATGATAGGAGAAGTGTCCGGAATACACATGCCAATGTCTGACAAGCCTTTTTGTACAAGGAGTTTCGGGAATGGCACCACTTCTCCATCATCAGATGCGGATGTTCGCCTTGGCTCTTATGTCCAATGGGGACTGGAAGGAGAAAATTCCTTCCACCGCCCCGATGCAAGATGTAGAATCCCGGCCAAGTTCATGCGCCTGGAGTTGAGTTTCCAAAGTCGTTAGCAGAAGCCGCTGAGAGCCAAGGGTCTCACTTGCAAAGTACTGGCATTCCAAATTTCAAAAATAAGGACCAAGATAGCCAGCTCTCACCTGGTTACAGAAGACAGAAGACAGAAGACAGGGATGAACTCCTCAAAACTCACCAGGCGCCTCCGGAAACTCTTTCTTCGCTCTCTCCCCACTTCCCCCATCCTCCTGGCTCGTCCCACGACTCTTCCCTTCCTCGCCCTTCACACCAGCTCTTTCCGCCTTGCCTTCCTTCACCGCTTCGTGCTGGACATTATGCGAATCCTTCTGACGCGTTGCATTTTCTTCCGGTTGGCGTCCTTCCCATTTTTGTGCAGAGGGTGTGTTGCTTAGCTGGCGGGATGTGGATGTGGTAGTAACGGGAGAGACCCGTTGGAAGGCTCGTGCCATAAGACGAATGTTGGGGAGCATTCTGTTACTCATTATAAGCAGATTTTGGAAGTAAAGGATTAATTGATTGAATTGAATTCAGGTTTGAGTAATCTCAGAGTGTCGTGTGAAGAACGAGAGATACAATTATTGAAGACAAGCTCGAGCTCAAGAAAGCTACTAAGAGCTTCAAAACTGGTGTCGTCATCTCTTTTTCAACCCCTCCTTGTGACATGCAAACTTCTCATTACGACGACAGACAGAACATCGGGAATTCGGTAAAATGATGCGTCCTCTGAGGCAATTGTGAATCATTATTCGTACGATGTATGGCGTTCACTAAAAGTCCTGGAGCTAGTAAGATGGTTTGCTGCTCATCGTGACTTAAGCTCAGGGCGTGTGCCGAAATTCAATCGGTACCTGCAAGCAGGCTTTACTGCTTCATAGACTATATCATACTCATGAGTAAGTTACACAGAGAACTAGATATACACGAAGATGATCTAGCCCTTTAAAACCATACCAGACACGGGGAAAGGGTCGCAGAATCGACAGAATTTCCAAGCAAACTCGACAAAGACAATATCGTTTTGGTGCCGTAGCATGATCCAAACCCGCTCCTCAAAGGATAATCGCAGCACAAATTCAAACGTCTGTTTTGTGACTGCTCTGCTCCTATTGACAACTCTCCCCGCTGGTACCTTCACAACATACAAATCATTCTCAACAACTCCCCATTCATGTTCCGGGTTTCCAGTTCCATATTCAAGGACGCCGAAACACCAACCAAGCTTCCCACGCTCAAATCATAACTCATAATCCAAAAGTAGCATCCAACCCCTCAAGCAGATATCCATCTCCCACAGTCCCAGATCCCATCATAGCATGTCCGTAGTCCTGCCTTCCTCCCAGTCCCAATTCACTAGTCGATAGATCCTCACCAGAACTTAGGCTTTCTTCGCTAAAACTCAGTACGCTCCTTGCTGCACCTGGTGCACTTCCGAAATCGTTCATTGTCAGAGAGGTCATGTCCCATTGAGAGTCTGGAGACCAATCGCCGTAATTTGAAGAGTGGGTATCGGCAAGTGAGAGAGCTGGGCCACCATATATTGCATCGTAGAGGTTCGTTTGTCCGCCGTCTAGTGATCCGAGAAGAGCCTCCCATTCTGACACTGAGACGCCAGATGACTTTGCCGTCGAGTAACTATTATTGGGGAATATCGGAGTGTGTGCTTTCAAAGCAGGTGGTTGTGCGCGAGATTGAACGGGGGACTGTGGTTGCGAGGCTACTGGAGTATTGGAGAGGGAAAGGTAGTCCAGATTAGGTGGTCTATCGTTCTTCAGCAAGCGAGGTTTCAAGGTCGTCGATACATGAGTAGCCGAGTTTCGGTAGTCGTGTTTGGACATGGGAGATTCGGAACGAATTGAGTCTAAGGAGCTTCGTCCATGTGGAGTGTACTCTTGGCGCATGCTGATGTTGATGTTGGGTACAGTAGCTCGTCTGAGTTTCTCTTGCTGTGATAGTAGGTCACTTTCGCTTATGCTTGCACTGCCAAGTCGGTAGATATGGGGGCGAATTTGGTGTTTAGTGGCGGTGGGGGAGGACTTGGAGCTTGTCGGTGCATTCATAACGCTGGGACTTCGGCCAGCTGGGCTTTTCTTTTGGGTGTCAACTTTGAACAACGAGGAGCTGAGTTTCTTGAAATCAGCAGCACCAGGAGCTTCGGCCTTCTCGAGTAGCTTGTTGACGACTGTTACCAGGCGCTGACTGTCTTGCATCAGCTTCCCTGTTTGCTTGAGGTCCAGCCCTTGGTATAGGAGACTTAATCCACAAAGGGTGAGCATCTCGTTCTTGTTCACACAGAACGAGAAAGACATGCCTCTCTCCTCGAGGAGTTGCACAATCTGGATGATGTGTTTGCTTGATTCGGCGAGAGATATAACTGATGGTGATGACTTGGTCCCAAGAGTAGAGCCAACAGCAGGGCGTTGTATCAGACTTCGAATGTAGTAATAGGCAAGAGACTTTCGGTGTTAGCGAAAACTCACTGTTTTATGCCCACATATGCTTACCAATAACGCAGAACGGCTTCCGGTGACATCAGTTGATGGCTTGTCTTGAGCGAAAGTAAGTTTCAAGTGGCTGGGTAGCTTATCGGACCACTCAGTCAGCTCCCCTTCAAGAGCCAGAAGAGACTGAAGAGAGAGGTCATGTGTCGCAGCGGCAGGATAGTTCTGGTCCAAAACCTTTGATAAGATACGAGAAACTCGGAAGAGAGCCAAAGCACTCGAAATTTTGGTAAATTCGCCAGGCAGTGTTGGTTGAAATCCCTTTTCAGTTACGTACTCGTCGTCGGTGTCGGATGGGTACTCTGCATGGATATCTGTTTCCTTGAGGAGCTTGGGTAGACCTAACAAAGCAGCAGAGAAACTTGGAATGTCAGAATAGTCACTATTGTATACAAAGTCAACTTACCAGTCAACGGTATATAAAGTCCAAAACACCTTCTTGCGAGTTTCGATGGTCAAAGCGCCAAATGAAAATCGCTTTTGATTTTGATGTAATCCAAGTCGATGTGAAAGACCAACAGCGATACCCTTGTAGTGTTGGAGACGAGTATAATCGGCTTTAGCGATGCAATATATGAGGGCAAGAATAAGACATTGGAGTGTCGCTAGCGTGTTATCCATAAGAATCGACTCGAGACATTGGCGCCACTGACTTTCGCAAAGTGCGACGTTCTCCTTATCGGGGATATCGCTGGAAATTCCCGCAATGCTGAAGACTAGGTGGAGTTGAGCCAACTTGTGTGGATCGGTAACATCTTCTGGGTTCGTCATATACTCCTCATACAAACGAAGGAATGTAGGTTTGTGGAGAACAGGGAAAAGGGGTGCCCATTCCTGGAAGAAGACATTTACACATCGATCGGAAAACATGCGTGGAGGAGCATTGGGAGTCCTGGAACCGCTGCTTTGAGAGACCGGCGTCGAGTCTCCTTGAATGTTCAGGAAAGCATCTGTGTTGAGGCCCACGAGTGATTTGCCACTCTCCTGAATCCTGCGCTTGAAAGCATCTGCAAACGATTAATTTCTGCCAGTAACTGAACACTTGGTAGACATACCGATGAACGCTCTACCACTCGACGCGCCCATAAAATATGAATCGGAGTTTTCGACTCCAAGTAACAACGGCGACGCTTGAACACGAAATATGTCTTCTTTTGGCGGGGTTGCTAACATTTCCTTCCGGCTTTCAACGGACGGCGGAGCGGATGACATGGATGGCCGTCGGTTCGAATGCATCTTGGACAGCATGTCAATCTTCTCATCCTTCTCATCCAACAAATCCTTCAACTCTCGAACCTCGGCTTCCAACGAGCGCACTCGCTCTTCCAACGACTCGGTATATCCTCTTGGGAAAGCTCGTCGGCTAAGCTTGTCGCTGGTCTTGCATTCGAAGCCGACATTTGCGCATTGGGAACAACATGGCCGGATCCCGTCACAGCGAATCTTCTTGCTGCGACAGCGATCACAGGCCTGTGCGATTCGACTCTGTGAGTTTGATCCCACCTTGATCACTTTCATGGGCAGTATTCCAGGCATGTTGGTCGCTAGGGAGACTTTTTCCCAGGCTCGACGAACGTTGCCGTAGTTGTCTGTCGGGAGCCGTCCAAGTGCGCGCTATCGGGCTTGGAATCAAAACACGAAACCCATCCGACAGTTCCTGCACAGCAATCGTGACAATAGAGATAAGCCTCTTGGCTCGGGGATGTTTTTCTTGATGGGGCAAGGTAAGGTAAGGCAAGGCAAGGCAAGGCGAGAGATTTGTTTCTGCCGGTAAAACGTGTTGAGAGGAAGAGAGGAGAGTACTGGTGGGTGAGAGCGAGAGATGTGTGGGGATGGAATTATCGGGGGATGGAGGGGCCCGGGGGGATATGATATGGGTCCTCGACGAGCTGGGACACTGGGACACCTATCACATCACGGCACAACCTGGGGAATGGTTGGCCAATCCGCGCGGGCCTCATCTCAGGACTGGAGGCACTACTACGCTGCGTACAGACCACAGTAGTAGTAGTGCTGCTACACGGGGAGGGGGCATTCATTTGTGGGCCATCCCATCTCCTCCAGAAGGCGGGGGGAGGGGGGAGGGGGGAGGGGGCAGCGCTGGACGGCGCACCGGGCTGGCTGGGCGAGAAACTGACGAGCTGTCGAGACATGCCACGATTCTGGGGCCTGCCCTGCGACCCAAGCCAGAAACAAACGTCGTCAGTTACAGTAAATTACCACTACTCTGCCCTGCTCACTAAATAATGTGCGGTGCGATTTCTTATGGGCCATGACTCTCTGAGATCTCTTTTCATATCGTATCAGTCTCAGTCTCAGTCTAACTCTAACTCTAACTCTAACCTCGTGCAGAAAAATCAGAGGCGAGCACGCCGCGCCGCTTTGCTGCAGATCCAACGATAAATACTGGTAATAATAGGGGGGAAAGCGAGGGAAGTCAGTGTTCTGTTCTGTTCACTTCACTTCACTTCACTTCACTTCACTTCACTTCACTTCACTTCACTTCACTTCACTTCACTTCACTTTACTGAGATTGTTGTGGGAAGTCGACGCACCAGCAGCCCAGCAAACGCCAGGTTCCCTCGTCCCCCAGCTATTTGGCGCCCGTCATCATCCGACCCCACACGAAATTTGGGCTTGGGGCTTGGGGCTTGGGGGATTCGCAGTTGAGATCGTCCTGCAAGGCAAGGCCTGTCGTTGCTGCATTGGATGGATTCCAAGATCTTGCTTTCAAGTGGCGAGAACTTCTCGACCCGTCGTTATATCCGATTTCATGGCTCCGTCCATACAGTACATACATTACGATGAAGAAGCATGGCGATTCAGATTGTCTTTCGTTTAGTCGCTCGAACATCTTTCGTTTTGCCTGCCTGTGTCGAGTTGAAATAGACGGCGGCCTTGATTCAGGCTCAATTCCACCCGCGCCGTCGATGCCGAAATCATATCAGCAGAATGATACTGAGCGTGGTAATAGTTTTGCTACCTGGCTAACCACTGTATAGCTTTCCTCTAGTGCTATTTTTCTGGTGTGGAAGTAGCAAAACACGGTTCTAGACACGACACTTCCAGATGTAAATTAACTGTCTGATCAGGGATGACGGGGCGAACCATCGTCAACGTTAGCTTTGAACTTGCCCAGTGGAGGCACACTATGCTGTCGTCAAGATCCTCTGTACCCTGAAGAGGCGGCGGTTACTATTGGTGAAAAGAAGCCAACACTGGTGGCCTGCTTCAGTTAGCGGTGGCCTCACGATCCATTTATTGAATTCTGGACGTCGATGCCATCATGATGTAAATTTTGTGAGTGACGACAGCACAGCTGGGCAGTGGATGGGCAGACCAAGCCGCCAAAAGAATGCAAAATCGTCGAAGAAGCTGCTTTGGCGTTCCCGTAAGTTAAGGTTACCTAGGTACGAAAGTACCTACCTAGGTAGAGTAGAGTACGATGCGGGGAAACAGCTGTCCGAGGTTGCGGTACTTTTAGACCCGCCCCGCCCCGCCCCGCCCACTTTGGGACGCCTTCCATTCGCCTCTGCTTTATCGGCGTTTACAATCCAGTACGGAGAGTAGCAGATTTTAGGTTACCTTTGACTCCTCACACCTCGTTTGGATCCAATGAAAGACCTCGGCATTTCGAGACGATGCACAGCCATGGGCATTGTGACGATGCTGCACTTCTGCAAAAGCTTTTTTTGAACTGCATCAGGCGGGGGGGCCCTTTGGAGGCCGCAAGGGCTGAGATCTCGAACACCTGTGGACTCTGTTGGACTTCCAAAGGTCTTCCACACTGTGCTGTACCCCTCATCTTCGTCCCCACGCTATGGCTTATCTGCTTTTCCGTCTGGAATGTCATCTGTTGATCTGCAGATCCCCATGCCTTGTCGAAAGTCGACGCTGCGAGTCTGTCAGTCTGCTCGCTCAACAGTGTGACTGTGTGATATCAACGAGTCCAATCATACGCTCATAGACAAGCCTCGTCGATGGTTCCATAAGCTACTCGTAGTCCATATCGATCTGTGGACGACTGCTGGGTGTTCCGGCCCTCCAAATTTAGGTTATCAAGCATCGCAGGCCTGCCCTGGTACTGCATAAGATCCATGCAGCCTCGTGGAAGCTACGGCCACCTCGGGCCACCTCGGGCCACCTCGGACTTCATCAACTAAAATCTTCCTCCTCATTGGTCGCAGCTAGTTCCGGTATTTCTTCGTCCTCCATCGATCCGAGATACCGTACCACAACTTCGCTTTCTAGTAAGCTCGATTTCTGTGGGCATCATCAGTTGGGACATGAGTCGAATCTGTAACTTCCTTTCCCCCATATCTCACCTCGTTATCTGTTGCTCTGAATACTTGCTCGAGGATTGAAATCTCGCTCTTTCTCAGCTGCAAGGCACTTTTAAAGCGATCTTGGGAGACCAAGCCCGTAGATCCCAATGCTTGTATTGCATGATCGCCTTCGTACAGGCATTCCAGCTGATGCTGAATTCGGTCCTGTAACACGGCAATAGTTCGGAGTTTGAAAACATCCTTGAGTGGATGGCCGCTTGTGAGCAGATCAAAGTTGTGCGTTGCATCTGTCACATCTGATCCCTGCCAGAAGACCCTCAACTGGCCTTGAGTGTCGTCAACTTGTTGTAGGACTTTGAATTCAAGACCGTCTTCTTCGTTCAGGCACAAAAAATTGAGAAAAGGGCTCTCCCATTGGACAACCCCTTCCTTTTCGAAAAGCCGCAGAGTTGTCGGCTTCGAGAAGGCAGCCAGCTTTGCCTTTCCAAGTGGGTCATCTGGGAATGGGTCAAGTGACAAGTTCAGACCACGTGCATTGCTCTCCTCGTCAATAAAGCCGTAACTGAATAACATTTCTGCATCGGTTTTCGAAGACCCATAGCTTATGGTGACTTCCGAGCCAGAGTCTACTCGAACATCTGGTCGGAGTACGAGAATCAGATTGTTGTCGGAAGTTACTTCATAGTACGAATTCGGTTGTGAAGAGTGGTTTACCATGTCAACGCATGGAATCATTGATTCTCCAGAATTTGGTACCTCAAGACAGCGTGATCTGTACCCTAGGTAGCGCGAGAAGATTAGCCATTACACATTACACACTATTCTAAGAATATGCCATTTGTTTACAAGTTGATGTTCGAGAAGGATTTGGCACACTCCCACATCCCCTTGGGAAATCCAAGAACCAACTATACGGTATCTCTACCAAGAGCCATGCAGGATGTAGGTGCATATCTAAATCATGGAAATATTGGAAGGGGAAGAGACTCCCCGGTAACACTTACAAGCGTCCAGCAAGAACCAGTATTGATAGGTCAGATCCGCGTTATCCCACCAGCACTTTTGACACCAAGAAATATCGACGGTCTGCTCGCGAAGGTTCTCAAATTCCTGTATAAGTGAAGTTGTCTTTGCAGAAACGGCAGACTACCATGTGTCAGCTTCCAAAAGGAGCCAGCAACTAAAGCACGACCCACATACCTCCAGAGAAGTTCCAGCGAGCATGAATTTCTCTTCCTCAGTCCACAGAGTAGGAAGCGGTACCTCGGATGGCAGTAACCTCACGTACTCTGTCCAGGGATTCGACAGGCCGATATTCATCCCATGGTGCTTTACCGCGATCGTAATCTGCATTAACAGGAAAAGCATAACGTTGCCCCTTGTAGTCTATATCGCAAGAAGCCCTGGATTAGCTTGGCTGCGTGAAGTCCCCGAAGCATAGTAAACAACACTCAAACATACCTTCCCACCAGCCCTATCCAACACTTCTTTAAAATGAGTATCTACTTTTCCCCACTCCTCAACAGTCTCAGCACTCAAAATCAATTCACTGGGCACGATCATCAGCGTCGGAACATCAAACACGTCTTTGGAGTTAAGTGCCCGCGAAGTGACGAGTCCAAAGCCTTTTGAGCAACCCAGATCTTGAACTCGGATGTCAAGGAAATTGACATCGTTGAGTTTGCACCATGCTGGGAGGGCGGTGATGGGGAGGTGTGGGATCTGCATATTTCTATTGGGCGTGGTGGCATCTGCTTAGAGCTGGATGTGGGAGATTGAAAAGCGTCCAGTGTGATGTTGATGAACGTGGAAAGCTTCTCCCGATTTTTGAGTTGCGAGATCGCGTTTGCACCACGAATTTGGCGAAGATCACGTGTTTGTATTCGGGGATACAAATGGCACATCCGGGGACCAAGCTGCTAGTTGCTCCGAATCATGTAGGCTCTTTTTTGGGTGCCGATATGAGACGTTGACTAAGACATCGGATTTCGAGAGACTATTTCGTCGGACCGATGACTGACATGGCGAATTCGGCGCCCTATTGTTCGGTCGAGATTGATTCAGAAAACATTTGATTGGGTAATTAGTCGAGTCAAAACAAATGAGCTTCGAGACTTGAAGTTTCTGCTGTAATATGCAGAGGACTTAAAGCAAGCGGGAGAAATGTGCAATCAGGTGAGGGCTGTTGAATCTCCTGCCGTGAAAGCCTTCGCTTACGAAGTCAGTATTGAAATCGCACCAAGACTTTGAGACATTCAAGACACCATTTCAGATTTCATATAATCACCATGAGAATATGTCATATAATTATTCTCATGTCTCTTTGTATCATGTCGCAATTGATGTGCCCTCTTCCATCCTTGACTCGCCAGCCTCTGATGAGCAGCACTTACTTCTCTTACCTGCCTCTTCTCATCAGATTTCCCGAGACGGCAATAATTTTGCCACTTGATTCGACTCAACATTCGATTCATAATACAAGTTCTCGTGCTCCACCATCTGTGACCCAAAGGATGGCCAGTTTTTTGAGGTCTGGACAACTCCCCTTGGCGCTATGGTTGCGTCTCTTCTGGGATTTTCACCACAGTTTGCGTAGTGTTGCCCGCAGAGACACCTTTAGAGTGACCACTACCTTGTGAGACAGCGAGTTTTCGAGGTAAAACCATAGACCAAGTTGTGAGAATCGTAGCCGTGTCTCCATCCTCCTCCCTACTTCTCCCAACGTTGCCCCACTTACCCACCCCACGGATTCGATCCAATGACCCCCCTATAACCCTCAGCATATTCTTCACACGATATTACACGTTCAGACTCCTCACCTGCACCTCGCTCTCTGTCAACTGTCTGTCTCTCTTTTTCTCCTTCTCCCGGCTCTGTGCAAGAAATCTGCGTCAAAGTCCTAGCCGGAGGTCGATATTCAATAGATCCAGATACCGCTTGGAAATTTCCTACGCGTGAGCTTCTCACTGGTGTTGTTTCCATCTCCCGCCGAGAAGTTGTAGTCTGGGATAGACTCTGAACTGGCGATTGAATTCCAGGAAGTGTATGACCTTGAGCTTGCAATTCCCTCTCTCGTTCTGCCCATTTCAGGGCGGCTTGTGCATAAGCTTCCTCCTTGTCTCTTTCTCGCTGGGCCTTCTCTTTTTCCTTCTCCATAGTCACATCGACAACAGCCTTCAAACTCTGCTTCTTGACCTCATCATTCCTTGCGCCACCTGTTCTGTACCCCATGCCGCCAACGAATTTTTTCCATCCGCTCCTTTTCTCTTTGAGCTCTGCACCAGTGAGAGAGCTATCGCCAATCATGTGATTCTCGCGCAATCGGAATCCTTGTGCGTTGATCCTCTCTTCTCGGCCATCCAAAACTTGAAGCCTGGCTCCTGTTTCTAAGTATCTATCTCTATCCTCATCCCTATCCCTCCAGGCGACAGGCTCAGAAGCAGTCCCATATCCAGGACCGCCTCCTTGACCAACACCCTTACTCGCCAAAACTGTAGCCTGCTTCCACCCGGCCATCGTCAAGTCTGTAACCTCACTCTCTGTTCTGGTGTTCATCTCCAGAGCCGTGTTCAACCCCAGCCTCGATCTCAACCTCGAGCTCGAACTCTCAACATGAGCTCCCGGCTTCTTGATCTCTCTAGCATCCACACCTCTGCACCTCGGGCACAAAGAGAAATATGTATCTCGAGTCTTAGTCTTCTCGCAGGATAGACGGGGTTTGGAGAGGTACGCAGAGCAGTGGGATGTGGTAGATAGGCTGTGGCTACAGCGGCTGTAGCGGGCGTGTGATTTGGTACACATGTGATTATGTGTCTCTCTTCGTGATTACGGCTCCTCGGTCAAATTTGGGTCAACAAAGGTTTCTAGGGTTGAGAGGTCGAGCTGGTTGGTTTGGTGCTTTGATACTGGAGATTTTGTATCGTCGAACCTGCTAGATACAATGCTCAATCGTTGAAGTGGTTTGCCGGAAGGTGAATAAGTGCGTGTAAATCAACTGACTACGGCTAGAGGGCCGAGGGATACTACGTTACCTTGACCATGTATCATGCCGCAGTGAATAGGGAAGTGACCTCTGGAAGCTTTCTTGATTCATTCCAATGGTGTATCCTAACGTCGTCCCCCTGCAGGAACCTATTCCAGTATCGGTATCGTATTCATAAGTCATTACAATCGTATCTTTATGGTCCTTCATCAACGCCGCAATATGCCCACATCATGTCTCATCTAGTGTGCTGAACCCCAGTCAATACACAAGATGTGAATGCTGGCCATTCACTCACTCCATTCTTTCATGAAGTTGTCCTGGTCCACCACCAATCAGAATATCCTGCTTCACTCTTCCCTTACTCATCCTCGTGCCATACTTGTACCTAACCAACAGCTGAAAGAACGGCACCATGAACTTGATGATGACAAAAGTGCTCCAACCCCTAAGTGAAATGCTGACTTTTTCTCCATTGTAATCGTGGCAGAGTTCCAAGTAACGTTTTGGGTCATCGGTAATCACACCATCAACCTGCTTGCTAATAGACCATTTCATCGAGTTGTCGTCGTTGACTGTCCAGAGGAAGAGAGCACGTTCGGCTTTCTTGACGTCTGTCATGAACTTGTTGCCGCCAGGTCCGACCATCATCTTTTGGAACATGTTGAAGGATATTCCAGGAATCTCGAGGAATTGACGCGCGTAAGGTATGTTCCAGCCGATATGTGTTATTGGGAAGCCAGGAAGAAGCTTGTTGCAGATCGGGAGATATTTAGCCTTGAACTCGGTTATTCATCACTCTGAGGAGATTTGTGATACAGAGCCTTACGCTCCAACAGCCCAAGATAACCCTCTCTGACCACCTCCTGGAGGGTTTGACTGACTTGATAGTACTAGCCATCCTGCTAAGCAAATCATCAGGATCATCGTCAAGCTTCCCCTATGTTAGTGTTTCATCCCCAAAGGCTCGGTCTCTACCCGCCTACCTTGATATCCAGCAATATCCAAATATCCTCTAATCCAGGTTTAGTCAAGTACTCTAACAAATCAACCAGTCTCGGCATCGGCTGATGAGGCTTTTTCAACGTTCTAAGAGACTCGAGGTAAGACCAATCACAGTTGGCGATCTTCTCGTCCAGACCAAAACATCGCTTCAGCGTGGCATCCTGGCAAGTCTCAGCTACACGACAACAAGAGTATCTCTCGGGAGTGGAGTGGCTTCTTACGTGTGAAAGTACCACCACCCCGTCTTTTGAAAGGTGAACGTCCGTTTCAATAGCATGCGCGCCAACCTCTACCGCACCCTTGAATGCGCCCATGGAGTTTTCTGGATACTTGGCTTTGTAACCTCGATGGGCAATTGCTTGGGGTCTTTTCCCGGCAGATGTCTGGATGGCGGAAGTGACTTTGAGGGTCAGTAAATACAAGACCTAGAGATGTCGGCATAGTACTCACAGTCCGACGACTCCATCTTCTCAGGTAAGAGAGGATCAGTATCTGGAGCTGTTGGGGCGGCCATTTCGGTATTGAGAGAGTGAGGATAACAGAGATATAGGTACGAAAGCAAAGCCCGGGGCTCGTGTTCTCATGGGGTATGGGGTGAAGGACAAGAATAAGTGGATGTGACTGCGCTAATCTCTCCAAAGTTTCGCCGATACTGAACGTCAGTTCGTCGCAACCATGGTGTGTCTGTGCAAGGGAGGGGGGCCTGTCTGCCGCTCGCCAAGGTCTACAGCACTTGGGCGCGCGCAAATCGATGAATGGGTGACAGAGCCAAGATGGCGGAGGATCAAAAGTTCTATTCCAGGAGTGCGGTGCCCCCGCGTCGCATTCTGTTCTCGAGCTGCGTTCCGTTCTGTTGCGTGATGATTTCCTGTGCCAGGAAAACAATGGAAAGTAGGTAGAAGAGGCAGGATTCTCGCATAGAGAAGGGAGGGAAGCGAAGAGGAAGAGGAAGAGGAAGAGGAAGAGGAAGAGGAAGAGGAAGAGGAAGAGGAAGAGGAAGAGGAAGAGGAAGAGGAAGAGGAAGAGGAAGAGGAAGAGGAAGAGGAAGAGGAAGAGGAAGAGGAAGAGGAAGAGGGAGACGAGACGAAGAGGATGGTGGGATGGGATGGAGGAAAACTCCCTAAGATACCTTAGATACCTAAGGTACCTACCTACCTTACCCGAGCTACCCTACCCTACCCTACCCTACCTCGCCTACCTTAACTTACCTACCCTCTACCCCACCGTGCCACTGCCCACCAAGAAACCCTGCAGGCTGCAGCAGACCCGACGGGACGCGACCAAATAAGCTCGTGGGCTCTAGCCAGGGGAGGGATAGCGCAGTGCTTCCCGCTCTTCCAGGCTTCCCAGGCGAGCCAGGAGCCAGGAGCCAGGAGCCAGGAGCCAGGCTTCCCAAGCCAGCGGGCGTTTATTTGGAAATGGAATGGAATGGAATGGAATGGTTTTGCGGCAGTCACAAAGACCACAACACACAAGACACACAAGACACAAGACAACAAGACACGGAAACGTGGTGATCCGAAAGACATGGCGCCCGCCATGCAAACTTCCGATTCCCGCACCGAGAGGCGCAAGGAATAGGAACAGGAAGAGCAAAAGGAAAAGGAAAAGGAAAAGGAAAAGGCATACATCTCAATCCTCCCATTATTCCACACACGAGTTTGCGACACGGCATTGAAGCTGGTGGACAGGAGCGCCTCACATACTGTACGAAGAGGCACCCTATTTCCAAGACCAAGACGGGCAGACGGGCTAGGCTGCATCTATTGAAGCTTATCATCTTCCCCGTCCATGTTCAGGCAGTTCTTGGCGCCAGTCCACGTTTCCGATATACACCATGTCTGCAGCTGCTGGGACGAGATGTTGATGTTGATGTTGATGTTGATGTTGATGTTGATGTTGATGTTGATGTTGATGTTGATGTTGATGTTGATGTTGATGTTGATGTTGATGTTGATGTTGATGTTGATGTTGATGTTGATGTTGATGTTGATGTTGATGTTGATGTTGATGTTGATGTTGATGTTGATCTTGATCTTGATCTTGATGGGCAGAATTCCATCGTGACAGGCGATCATGCAAACACGCTCGCTCTTCATGGAACATGCGCGATAGGTATGCGTTGCATCTGGAACGCGGAGCTCCACTCCTCCCCGGGATCTCGCTGATCGTCGCCAGGGTTGCTGTCTCATCCACGATAAGGTAAAGTCCAGATGCTACAGAGTAGAGTACAGCACAGCCCAAAATATCTTCGGAACACCAACAGCCAGGTGCAGAAGTTGTCTCTTGAGCACCTGGATTTTACATCACGTTTGTTGTTGCACGAAAGCATCAATATCTGGCGTGGTGTGCTTACCAACGAGCTGTCCCTTCTTACCCTGGTTCATAAAATGCGGTACTCGAAGTTTCACGTATTTACCAGATCACCATCTGCTAGGCATGTCTGGTATCACCATGGTCAAAGCTGGGCAACGTCTTTCGACGATAATAGATGCTTTGCATCTGGCGCCAGCCCCACATGTCCTGTCACAGCAGCTTAGAGGCAGATGCATGTGATGGGAACGCCATACATCCTGCACCAGCTGTCGTAAAGCTTTCGATCAAGCAGCTCCTTGTGGCTCTTGAGTCTTCACGCAATGGCAAATGCATCTTTTTTTGTTTCGCAGATCAATCAGTGGAGAGTTCATTCCCCCTGCCACATTCGATCAAAAGTGCTCACGGAGACAGTCCGAGGCCGTTTGATGTTCGTTCATAGCCGTCTGAACCTTTTCTGCATCGTCTTATTTTGCTGCATCTGCGAAAATATATCGATCTAAGCATATCTCTTACCGAGTTTGTCCGCTTGGAACTGCCAAAGGAGAGATAAAGAAATTCCACGTGCTTGTGAAACCGTCTCGAAGTCTTTGCACAGTTCTGAGGATCAAGGAGAAGTTACTCAAAACAGCGTCATGGTCTGATTTCTCCCGCACGCTTGATAATACGTTCCTTATTTAGATATTACAACTGTTTAAGTTTGCAGATTTTCGGCGAGTCTTTCATTTTGGAATAGACTCGGAGGCTGGTGCCATATGCCATAGTCACCTTTCCGTTTCAAGCGTCTAGCATCTCTGTAGGACATTGCCACTTGACCGTAATAGTGCCATTTATCTGATCATTTCAAATTCCGCTTCGCACACAATTAGCGCTCTCAAGATAATGAGATGACATTTAAGAAGATGTATTTTGGTGACATGTATCAAGGGTAGAGTAGGTATCTTTGATATGTTAAGGAGAATGTCTATTGCCCCTACTTTCTTGACTCATCTGAGAATTGCGACACACCAGCCAACATATCCTTCTCTCATAAAGCCATAGCCGCACATTGAACTCCGATGCTCAGTCGAAGCGACTGCCCAAGCTCCTTGGGCCTGCTCATTCTGGATGTTGATTCTCAATACTCGACACGGGTCTACCAGCAAGCTCCGACATGCCATATGAGCTTGCAATCCGATTTGCAACGGCTTCGCCAGACCAATACGCTCCAGTCACAGTACCAAGCGCAACGATTGGGGCAGTATGTTCACCCGCAAACCAAATACTACAGCCCGGAAGGCCATCTTTGATGATCTCAACGTCCTTGTCTGGCTCTATAACATTAGTTCGTAGGGTAGTGTAGCTACCATTTCCAGCAAGATCATCAGCAATCCAAGTGGTCGCCAAACATTGCACGGGGGTGCAGTCTTCTGAAGACTCGTCAAAATGTGGAAGCAATGAGTAGTACGGCTTGAAGAATTGTATTAGGTATTCGTCTCGTTCTTTTTGCGATGGCATTGTTGTAAGATTGTTCGCGAAGGATATAGATTGGTCCCCATACAAGTAGAACAGGAGAGTAGGGTGGGCACAATCTCCGGGAAGAGTAGCTAGGTCAACAGCCTCCTGATTCCAGTGCTGTGGATTCGTTACTTTGGCATATGTTGGAGCGATCCACTGAGTGAAACCAGTGTGTGGCATATCGTTTGGATGCTCATCGCTGCCTAGCCAAAAGGCTCTTGAGTATGTTACATACACCTGTACCAGCTAATATTCCAGTTTACCAGTTGCGATGATATCGTGTACCCTTTCTAAAGAGCCATATCCGATGGCATCGATTGCCTGGGAGAATCGAGGGCTGAAACATCTTTTTGTTTTTCTGTAGCCAGCCCAGTGGACAGGTGATGACCACCTCATCGAAAACAAGGGAATTGCCATCCTCACCGAACACTAATACCTTCCCCAAGTCAGATTAAACTGATATTACTTTGGTCGATAGATTGAGCTTGGCGTTATGGAGAGCGGCTGTGCGATTGTTTCCAGTATCTTCTGATCAGTTCCTGCACAGAAGAGATTCTCTACTCCATGTCAGTACTGAGCACAATGTCACAGATATCTGATATTGGAGCTCGCGATGAGATTGAAAGTTTCCAGAAGGGAGCAGTGCCATAGTAAGTACGTACCACCATCAATGCATTCCCCTAGCCAAAAGAATTTTAAACTCTGAGTTTGCACTGGGCTTCCAACAAATGCCCCCCACATTTCAGTCATTTCCATCATGATCTTGCGTTCCCTTGACTCTTCCTTTACAGGGATTATTTCGTGAACTTTATCAAGGACGAAATCATGGAGACTTTTTTTTCGGGTTAATGGTGGCTGTGTTTTCTGCAGAATATTAAAATGCCTGCGCGATGATGCCCCACAAGGCTCCATTCAGTTTCTTCCCATCTTCCAAGACTTGCCCATCTGCGTCAAAGACGTTGAACGCCTCGCCCCTGATCACGGATCAGCGTCCATTTCTTATTCCTTAAATGTCCGAATATCATGTAAGGGACTAGAAGTTGCTAGCGCGGGATTATCTCGTGACAAACATACCAATCATGTGTTGGAGTGTTTGTGACTTTTGCGAGATCTGTAACTGGATTGCACTCTGTCCCATGAATCCAATTCACCCCGGGGTCCACCAAATGACCAGAGGAGAGCTTTGTTTGCGTAACACGCCCTCCAATTCTGTCCCGGCCTTCGAGAATAGTGACAGCGAAGCCGTGACGGAGCAAAAGATCTGCGCACCGAAGTCCTGCAACTCCAGCACCAACACCAACAACGCAGACACGGATTGGTACCCTCAACGGGCCTTGCGGCCGGAACTGCCTTGGGTCAGTAAGAAGAAGCAAGTTTTGAAAGTCATGTCTGGGGACACATCGTACAGCCTCAGCTACATTTCGGGAGAGACGCCACAGAAATTTCGTGGCCTCGTTGCTGTTACTTGCCTTCTTATCGAGATCCATGATGAGCATCTGAACAGAACCGTCTGAGGATTTTCGTACGGCAGAGCGACCGGATACAAGATCTTGGTAGATACGGGAGAAGCTCTTATAGGAGAATAACAATGTAAGAGATCTGATGAAAGTCCATCTTTACGGTATGAAACTTGGTAACAGAATGATACGCATGTCGGAGGGAAGTTAGTCGGACATTTTGTCGGAAAATTCAGCTGCAGTAGATTCTAGGCCAGGAAGGATGTTCGGGAAGGGAAGGACTGTACTGTGGATGTGGCTGCAACACCGGGAGAAGAGCAGCGAGCGATCTTCTTTGCACAAACACCATTCCACCCAACACATCTTTCAATACCTTAGCTTTCAAGAGCTGGGGCTCCCCTATTAAAACAAGGTATTAAGTACCGAAATACCTAAGGCAAGCACAAGAAGATCTTCCGAAGCAGCTCATCTTTCGCTTCCGTTCGCTTACTGTAACTAAGGTTACCTACCTACCTATCAGCCTACCTATACCTATTGGCCATGGGAGCTTGGAGCTTCATGCGGAAATAGACGAGGCAGGGAAACATCCACATCCACATCCACATCCACATCCACATCCACATCCACATCCACATCCACATCCACATCCACATCCACACATACAATCTGGGTATCGACCAGTGCCAATGTCCCACATTCCACATTGGAGGGTTTCGCTGTGCCTGTTTGTTAATTGATTGATTGATTGATTGATGAATAGATGAATGGATGGATGGATCCTTTGCAAGTGGATCCTTGATTGCAGGTGCCCAGCTTGGACGTACAGTATGTAAGCGAGTCAAGTCTTGACGTCCTTCATTCTACAGTACGAGTACTACTGCTGGCATGCTGCTGCTGCTGCTGCTGTAAGTACGGCCCGATCCGCTGATCATCCAGGGGTTGCATACAACTGCAGCCAAGCTCAAAAGCGAAACAAATCCCTCTCCGAGTCCCCACCCCCCATCCCATCTGAACCTCCACCTCCACCTCCACCTCCAGATCGGAACGCATTCAATTGCACTGCACTGCACTGCACTGCACTGCACCTGCAGTTGCCCCACCTTCATTCAATATGCGGACATCCAAGATCTCTCAAGAAACCTCAAAACTCCTGAATGCAACATCAGTCTCGCCACGACGAAGCACCAGAAACTCCATCTCGCGATTCGCCCACAGCCTCAATGGCAATGGCCATGTCAAGGATGAGGACTTCGAGGAACCTTTGGACATAGAAGATGTGATCCCTTCGCGAAAGCGCAAGCGTCCTACCCCTCGGACCCCCACGAAGTTGTCACCAAGCAAAATAAGAGTCAAGACCGAGATCGAAGAGACAATCGCATTCTCTCCTGCGAAAGAGCGCAAGGTCCGAAAGCCTGCTCGCAAATTCAAGAATGAGGAGACCGGCGATATTGAGATTCATCCGCCGAACGATTGGGCTGAGGTTTATGCTGTTGTAAAAGAGATGCGGACGTCCGGTGCTGCACAACATGCTGCTGTGGATACGATGGGCTGCGAAAGGTTGGCACAAGAGACTGTGTCGCCGAAAGTGAAGAGATTCCACACCCTTATAGCCTTGATGCTGTCCTCGCAGACGAAAGATACCACGAATTTCCAAGCCATGAATAGACTATACACCGAACTGCCGCCGTACAAGGAGGGGGCGCCAGGTGGGTTGAATCTGGAGAACATTCTGGCCGTTGATCCGAAGCTCTTGAATGAGTTGATCTGGGCGGTTGGATTCCACAACAACAAGACCAAGTACATTAAAGCCACGGCAGATATTTTGAGAGATCAGTACGATGGGGATATACCGGACACGATTGAAGGGTTGATGGCACTTCCTGGCGTGGGACCGAAGATGGGATATCTGTGTTTGAGCGTCGCCTGGGGAAAACATGAGGGGATTGGCGTTGACGTACATGTCCACCGTATTACGAATCTCTGGGGATGGCATAAGACGAAGGGGCCGGAGGAATCAAGGTTGGCATTACAGGCTTGGTTGCCCAAAGAGTTCTGGCATGAGATTAATTGGGTGTTAGTAGGATTGGGACAGACTGTCTGTCTTCCTGTTGGACGAAAGTGTGGTGAGTGTGAGCTGGGGCTGAGGGGCCTTTGTAAGGCTGCTGAGAGGGGCAAGGTTACTATTGGGAGGAAATTGAAGCAGGAGAGCATTAAGGACGAGCTGAAGACAGAGGTTGTTAAGGCTGAGCTGACTGAGGGTGAGGTTGTGGTTAATGCTGATCCTGAGAAGGATGTGAAGATATTGAATCGTGTGGATGGAGAGACTGCATAATTTCGACAGTGGCAAGTGTAAATATGTATATCATCTGGAGTATATAATATCCGTAATATTGATGTGGTGGGAGACATGCTCTTTTTGACTTGCTTGGCTTCGTTCTGCATCGGCTTTAATGAGGACAAGATCCAGATCAACAGCGAAGTACGCACGCGCTCTCTCTGCAATCTTACACAACCTTGTTTATTAAATGCTCACCTTTGATATACTTGTATTTACATACGTCGATCCGCTATTCTTGCATCTATACAGTTATGCGGAAACACTGGCAACTTCATTTTGCAACAAAATAGTTCCTGACTGGGTAAATTGCAGAAGATACGGACATGGGCAGCGAACGGCCTCGGGCGGGCGTGGAGAGCAATGCTAGCTACCTACCTATGTTTGACTGCACAAGGAACAAACATTCTTGGTTTAAGGTCGCGATCATTGTATCAAAACACTTTGGTTCTTCTAAAAGATGAAGATTCAGAATAACCCTTAATGTACTGCTGAAAGACGGGAAAACATCTCTCCTGGGAAACTGTGCGGAGGAGAGCTGTATGCCATAGGACTTGGTGAATGACTGATGCCGTGTTTGCTTTGAAACATGAACCGCAGCAATGCAGCAGCCTAAGCGAGTATCAACTAGGCCCGGCCGCCTCACCAAGCATCCAATATTTTAGCCTGGTGGAGCAGCCTTGATTTTCTGGTGCCATTGCAGCAAATACCTTACACCTACAGGAACACGGGGAAAAGTCACAACGAATTCTTTTCCGGTTCAGAACGACGGAAGCCCATGGATGTTCGGACAGTCCTAATAGGTAGGTGAACGTCATGAGTCAATATTGGGAGAGCTAAAGAGAGAAGAACGAGCTACCATTAACTAATCTAACGAGAATAGCACAGGTCGCATACTAGATTGGAAGCGAGCAAGAGATCCAAAAGAAACCCATCCGTTCACAGGAATGGAACGAACATTGATGCCCTCCCCTCCAACATTGATGATAGGTCAGTCGCGGGCCCCTCTCTGCTCTCCCGGCTTATCTAGTCTTCTCTCTCGTGAAGATCAAGCCCTCTCTGCAATTAACACCAAGGAAATAATTGATACTGGGTTCTGAACCGAGAAAAATGCATGAATTGTACATGTGGTCGTTCGCGAGCTCAGTCCGCTGCTGGTGTAGCTTCGATAATGTGCTCGTACAATCGTCTCAATAGCTGGTGTACTTGCCAGAACTCAGGGCATTAAACGGATTTCTCAAAAATGACTTGGGGTTCCAAGGGTATGTCATAAGCGATATGAGTGGCTTGAAAGGGCACAATCTGCCCTTCAACCCTGCTTAAAATACCCTTTTTCATATCTAAAGCCATATTGGCCCTATGTGATGACTCTCAGATCTCCGGTGACGTGCTGTTCACGCTGGTGTAGACTCAGTACAAGCCGGATTAGACATGAAATATGCCAGGTCCTCTTGGCCTCTTCGTCTCTGATCCATCGTTCTGGGAGTCGAATTGATAGTGGCTGTTAATAATCGCTCTTGCCGGAAGAGCCCCTGGATGACATGGTACGCCGGATTATGCTGCATTACCTACTTCAACCTTGGCCAGGATGTTGACTTCCCTCCCATCGACCCAGAAAGCGCAAATCCAAATATCCTGAGACCAGCCAACTTCTCGATAGCTTTACTTATGGTTCTGCAAATGTCGACGCTCGCGAGGATCATGCACAACTGCAGGTGGTTCGGACCTTGCTGCTGCTGGAACACTTTTGAAGAACTCTAACGACGCCCTTTCACTGAAAGCACTGAAAAATTGTGTTAGTGTTCGGAAATGACGATGGGATCCGACAAACGGATTATAGATTCTCACATTCGCAGGAGACCAGAACCATGAATATGGACATGGCTGTTGGAAAAGATGCAGCGTACGTGCTCTGGTATTTTCCTGTGTTATCCAACGTGCTGAATTCAGAGAAGAATCGGTCGCCTAACATAGGTTGTTACTCCACGATGCTCTCAAGATTCGTATGCAGCGGGATGGAACACTTCTCTAGTACCTTCTCAATAACACTCTCATCTCGAGTGACCCAGAGGTAGCAATCAAAAACAGTACTTCATTGCCACCCGATGTATACCTCATGATCTGGAGAGCTTGGGCTTCTAAGGGTGCAGATCTTACATCTTTTGAAGCTGAAGGTGACAGCACTACCGCCCTGGAGAAGGTATTGTTGAACTCTCGAACAACACCATTGTCGTCACTTACACAGGCCAGGTGTCACGAACACGATGCTTGAGGTAGTAATCCAAACGTCACAGCAATCGTAGCGGCACGTTATCCAGGTCAAAAGAGTTGCAATTCCGTTATTGACATTCTCCACGGCGACATAGATCCAAGCGAAAAGTTTCCATACACAACCCCCATCACTATACCCGGCTATACCTTTGCCGGGATAACCATTTCGACCAAATTGCAACAGACAGAAGATCCAAAGGCTTGGTAGTCGGATTACACCGAAGGACTATTGATCAGCCAGTCAGTCTTGTTTGAGTCCTGATTTGGCCTGTCGTACACGAATTTTTCTATATCAGACAAATTTGTAAGCAGAATAAGCAATGAGATTCTCACTGCGAGTCCACCAGGTGGCTGCTGCACCTGGAAGAAATCTCCCATTGTATGACCTGTTCTTTTCCGAGCGAAAGACACTGTCACCAATACTGGACGGTTACTGGGATACCACTGTTCAGGAATGGATGATTTCTTCAGGTAGCATTGGGGTTCATCTCGACTTCAGCAGCAGAGACATTGTTCTGACCAAGTATCTTCTCTACTCTGTAGGAAGGACTAGATCTGAACGAGACCAGGCCATGTATCTGTTAGTCTGATTCTTGATAAAACATTCTAGAACATTTACAGAACACGAGACGAATTATGGTATTATCTCGTGTTGTGCATGGCAGACAGACTGGCATGGTAATGCTTTGATGTGGAGACCTTCGACGACTTCGTCAACGTCCAAGTGTGTTGGTCAGAATGGGAAAGCTTGCTCAAGGATGGAAACTCAACGACATGAAAACAATGTCCGAGTCGCTCATTCCAAGGATGTCTAGGTAGGTAGAATGCTATACTCGGGATATGAGTTGCTTTGACACCTGCCGAGACCATACCAAGCACCCCAGACAAGCAGCAACCCACGTGCAAAGAATCCCCCTTTCTCCAGATGAGCACTGGACATCGCTGTGGCTGCACTTCTCTTAAGCTCACTCTTGAAACGCTATTGATACGAAATTCTCAAGAGAGCCCCCGTAATTCATTCATTGGGCCGAAGACGTGTGTAGCAGGTCCTTAATCTCTGGAATAGTCGTGTCGTGGACGCTGACTGTTGACTCTGGTCGTAGTTGATCTGCCGGGCTCCAATGGCCCGCTACAAGTCTCCGAGATCATAATGTGAATATGTGTGGAATTTTCACCCCCGTTCAACGTTCGGAGGGATTGTCATATTGGATTATGGCCACGAATTTGAAGCACATTGATGGAGATGTGAGTAGCGGAAAATTCAGATTCTCAATTATCCTTAAGTTTGATGATGACTGACCAATTGCAAATCTTCACAACCAAGTAGCTGAGCTGTGGTGGACATCTGGCACTGTCTATTGAACAGCGCAGGTTCAAAATCTCGCTCGTTCCATTTGAGCAATCTTGAAATGCGAACGACAGTTTGGTTACATGTCACCCTTTCCACCAAGGGGCCGAAACGTCTCAAATGAGCTGCAAGAGAAATGTAAGCACGATAAATCCAACAGTCTAAGCGAGCCAAAACCAGATCTTCTGGAAAATGTTCTTTGGGATCTGCTCTGGCCACTGGCCATCTTCAGCATCCAGGGCTGCCTTGCCAGTCGTAATGTCTGCATCGGCCGACTTGATCCAGGGGCTTCTCTTCCAGATCTTCCAGAATGCATAGAGGAGGAAGAAGATTGGAATACCGATATAAGCGGCAAGGAAGTCTGCGAGTGTATTAGCTCCGCTGCACCTCAGGACTCTGAGTAGGGCAACAAACCTGTTACGTTCCAGTTCTGGTGGTGCTGGCCAACGAAAACATTGAATCCGTTGAAGATGATGATAATGGCAAAGTATAAGAAGGCCGCCCAAGCGGTGTAAGGTTGGAAAGGAGATTTAAAGACAAGAGTATTCCGGTCGACACCTCTATACGCAACGGAGAGAGTCAGTAACTGCATCTTGGGCAATGACAGGGGTAGGATACGTCTCGAGAAAATTTCGGTTTCCTCGAGAGGGTGGACAGGAGAAGAGATTGGGCCTGCGGAGTACGTACTGCGCTTCAAGAGCTTTGTAGAATTGGAGGTATGCAATGCAGATCGAGCACCAAGTGAACAGACTGGCAATCGTCGTCAAGTTCTGGAACCAATTGAATACTACCGTCGGACCTCCATCTTTAACGGACAGGTAAGTGAGTGCGGAGATGGATGCAGTAATGGCAACACAGTAGTATGGTACACCGGCTTTGCTGCAGCGAAGGAGGAAACGGGGGGCTTGTTTGTTCTGTGCAAGAGCGAACAAGTAACGTGATCCAGTGTACAGGAAGGCATTCGCGCTGGATGAAGCCGACGTCAGGATGACAGCGTTGATAATGCTAGGAAGAACTGGGATACCCGCATTTTGGATGCCAATAACCCAGGGGGAGCGAGCTGCACCGGCAAGGTCATCCGCTTGGGCTTTCAATAAATGAGGGTCGTTTGATGCAACGAGAACTCCGATAGCCAGTGAGCCAAGGACATAGAAGAATAAAATACGCCAGAAAACTCGACGCACTGCTTTGGGGATATTTTTTCGGGGATTCTCAGCTTCCCCAGCTGCGACTGCGACCAACTCAACACCGGCGTATGAGAAAGCGGCATTGACTAGCACGGAAAATAGGCCGAGGAATCGGCCTGTTGCTCCTGTTGAGTCGTACTCCTTCATCGCACCAGGATTCTTCCCTGTTTGACACGAATGTCAGCAATTACCATTCCAGGGAAAGTCAACCGGGAATACAAGAACGTTCTTCAGACGATTGAAAGAGGGGCTGCCGAGGATACCTACAATAGCGGAAGCCTAATCTGTCATGCTTCGGTCCGCCGCCTAGGTCAACAATGAACGCCATGATCAGAAGACCGACTATAGTGATGATCTTGACGCTGGCAAAAATAAATTCTGCTTCTCCATATATTTGAACGGCAAATATGTTCAAGCAGATAACGAGGACGATAATAAGGGAGATCCACACAGCGACGCTAATGTGTTCGGCTCCTTTCCACTGCGTGATAGGGGAGTTAGCAATTCCTCTACCATCAATTTTTAAGGAAGGAGATATCACAAGTCTCTCGCAAATCTTGGAACATTGAAAAGAGGAGATAATCACTCCACAATACGTACATATTGGATGACGATAGCTGCCGCCGAGATCTCGGCACAAAGTGTGATCGCTGAGTTGTACCAGTTCTAGCAAGAATTGTGAGCTATGTAACAAGCAATCACCAAATTTCTTTGGCTTTAACGATGCTCTGTAAATTGAATGGTTTGGGGTTAGGTGGTGTCTTACGTTCCATCCGACTGCAAATCCCAAGGCATCGTCGACATATCTGGCGCAGAATTGAGGGATGGAACCAGGAAGAGGGAGCCAAGTGGCCATCTCTCCCAAGCACATCATCATTCCATAAACAGCGACGCCTGTGAAGGAATAGCCAAGAAGGACAGAGAGGGGACCAGCTCGAGTGAAGGCGCTTCCGATACCTAGGAAAAGACCTGTCCCGATGGTACCACCAAGCGCAATGAACTGAATGTGTCGAGACTTCAGTCTGTTCTGATCAGCAATATCCCAGAAGAATCAGACCCCATGGACGTACCCTCGAGTCACATAGCCATATTCCTCAGCTGTTGCGAGGTCACCATAGACGTCGGCAGCTTCCTGGATACGACCAGCCTTAGTCTCAATACCAGTGGCAGGATCAACATAGTTGTTGTGGCCATTGTAGCCTGGCGATTCTGGAGCCTCGTTCACGGCATATGTCTCCTTGTCCATGATGGTACAGTAATGGAATGGTCCAACAAGAGTCGAAATAGCGGAGCAGAGGTGGGGAAGGGAAATGCGTCGCGGGAAGAGGAGAGGCGACGGTCTTATAGGGCCCGAGTGGCAGCCCGGGCTACCTAAGGTAGGTATTTATGTACGGAGGGTAGGTGTGTATGCCCTGGTAACACCTCAAGGATCGTCTCTGAGAAAGACCAGCCTGGGGAGCACCTTCCATGCTGGGGCAGCGAGACCTGCGGAGAAGATTCCGTTCCATTGCATTGTGTTTGTACTCCGGCAGTGATTACCTAGGTAGGCAAGGTAGGCAAGGTAGGCAAGGTAGGCAAGATAGGCAAGGTAGGTAAGGTAAAGGTAAAGGTACCTTAGTGATGGGAGGGGAGGATGGGAAGGGAAGATGGATGCAGGTGCGGGCTGTCAACTATGCCCAGGGCAGATAGTAGGTAGTTACAGCCAACAGGGGCCCACCTCTCATGTTCACCCACACCCACACCCACACCCACACCCACAATCACACCTGCACACATTCTTTGAATCTCCTCGATTCGCTGCTTGCTTCAGATAACTTGCCGTAACTTAGGTGGCAGGGATCCTTTGCACCTGCAGTTTGAGCTCTCGGCCTGTTACGCGTGCGTATTATTTGGTCGCCCTCCCGCACCTCAATATTATACACTTACTTGATCCCCTCGTATCGATGCGCGTCAGGTAGCCAGCCAGAAGCGACGAGCACGTTGATGGATTTGTGCTACAGGGTACTAACATTCGGTCAGCACCAGTTCTATACAAATTACAAGACCTTTAGCCCGCCAGGAACTGTGGTAGGTATGACCGTATGAGATTCATCCTAAACCCTAGCCTTGCGTGCCCTGGCCGGGCTCTTGGGCAGAGTTGGTCCAATGTTTCCCGCCTGCAGCGTCTCAAGCCACCATGCACCCTCCAATCCAACACAATGGCTCTGAGCAAGTGAGCGGCCCAAGACTCCAAGTAGATCTGCCTTCCTGTTTCCAACATCGAAGCTCTGAAGTTGGTGCCAAAAGTGGTCATCCTGGGGCACAGATTTGCACGGCGTGTCATTCTGTACCTGGACAACGTTTCGAATCCTTCCATCAGCCAGTCCAGTGCCTCGCCTACAATATTTATTTCTGGAAGCTGACAGATCATGTCACAAGAGGGCAGCTATATATGGCATCATGTCAGTTCTCGTGGGAATGGAATGGAAGTTAGTAGGTTACACACTGAAGCCCGGATACCTGGGTGTATTTATTTACTAAGTTACCTAAGTTTAGGTGGTATTGCAGTGGCAGTGCAGTTGGTTCTCGAAGGTCCAGAATCGTAAGTTCCCACACCTAGAAAGCCAAGTTGAATGAAGCATCAGCTAGTATCTCGGCAAGGCCGTTGGCAAGAAGCTTGGTGCTTGGTGTGCTCGCGCGCCAAATTGATAGGTTGATACAGTAGGTCGGTAGGTCGGTAGGTCGATACCTTAGGTTGATGGAATGGTACCTACAACAAGCAGTAGGGCGGGCGTGAGGGACGGGCACGCACACACACACACGCACACGCACACCTGCATGGACAACACCGAGGTCTCCTTGCCTTGGCTACCACCTTGGTAGGTACGTAGAGTAGGTAAGACAATGCAAGGCAAGGCAAGGCACGGCAAGGTAAGAAATAGGGAGCCAGTGAGCACCTGCAGTGAGCAGTCGAGCATTTTCCGAGGCCGGCCAAGGCGATAAGACGACTGGGCGAATCATGTCCCAACTGCAGTTCTCCCAAGCCATTAATTTCAGGTTGTTCAAGGCCGCATGGGGGGGGGGGCATTATACCAGCACGGGCACGGAGACAGCCGCTGTTGACAGAATGAAAGCCTACCTACCTACTAAGGTGCCTTAGCTTCTGGCCGGTCATGAAGCCAATGGAAATGGAAAGCTTGTTTTGAGCGCACTCCACGACGCATATCAGAAGTAGGTAAGGTACCCTACCTACGTATACCTACCTACCTATCTACCCTAGATATCGATTCTAGGAATAGACAGCTCACCGACCTCTTCACAGCCTGGATCTCGGATATTATACGCGTGCCATCCACACCCATGATCGTGTGACGGCAGCCAGCACGAGGTGAGCTGGAGGTGTTGTGGTTGCTCTCATCCAAAGGATCAATGATTGGCTGTTCTATCAGCCCATGTTCCGCCCCATCCATTCCAGGTTCACGATACACCTACAGCATAGCCAACCCTGGCAGCCCATGCGCTCTAAACATGCAATGTTCTAGAGCAATGGATGGAAGTGACGAACTGGCTCGCCGACATAACGCTCCGACGAGGGTTCTTGTAATAGTAATAGCCAGTCCTGGGGCATTTCCCCTCTTCAGTTCAACCACTCACAACTCTGGAACTGGTCGATCTTGCTTGTTACCTTTATCTTGATCTGCTTGCAAGGCTTGTGATCAGGCTGTTTTTAGTTTGAGTTGGGTGAGCTTCAATTTGGACTGCGCAGCGGCGCTGAAATAGGAAGGCGTGTAGCTGGTACTGGCTTTTGGGCGCCCTCACCGTAGCTGCGGACTTCCACTTCAATTATTGCACTTATAAGTTTGAGGGCGCGGGCATGATCATGAGGCCTCGTCGAACCTGAATTGTAAATTAGCAGAACCTCGACTCTGACTAGACCACTCACTCCGGGATCTGTGTTGTCTTATCATGGCATCTCTCAGGAAATCGAGGCATTCTGTATAGACCCCAGTTGGGCGGAGTCAGTCATCTGCAATGCGCACCTCATAATCATGGCCAGGCTTACATGACCGAGGCATCTGCACTGATCTCAAGATGCCTCTGAAATTGAACTCGAAAGGCATGCCCAATTTCTTCTCGCTTTGCAAGATTGGTCTCCACATCATGAGAGAACATATGAGCGTCATCCAGTGATATTTGTCTGAGTGATAGGAGCTTGCTGTTCGGCATCAAACACGAAATATTAAGACCATGCGTTCGTCAAAACCCATCAATGGACCGAGATAAACACCAATGCCGAAAGTCAAGAATAAAGCTCAGACCTGTATTACCCAGTGTGCATTGCCATGCTTAGGGAGGTCAGAAGTCGTTCAAGTTCTGATGAGATCCTAACTTGCTACAAACAAAAATGTGTCAGGGTACAACGCCGAAACATCCCTAGTTGTTGAGAAATTGATCGACCACATGGAAGTGACTGAACAGGTTGGGTGTGGCTCCGAATTGGTAGTAGTACAGACACTGTATTACCAACAGAGATGAGAAGTAGAGCCGAGTGACTAGGAATGACTTTTGATCAAGCTCTTGTAGCATCGCAGACACAACGTTGCGTGAAAGTTCTATACGCAGAACGTCAGCTGGTGGGATGCTTTGCTTTGCATTCCGCTTGCCAAAACGGACTTCCAATGAAAGCAAATTGAAAAAGAGCATCGGAGGAAGGATTGAAAACATGTCGCGTTCGAAGTGGAAGCAGGCAAGAGAAATATATCAACACGTTCACCAGCAATAGGAGACATGAGTTCGGAAGAGTAGCATGCAAGAACGGCCGGTGATTCAGAGCAACGGACCAAAAGCGCGGCTCCTGAGCCGGAGGATATCGGATTTGAAAAAGTAAGAGCCGGTCTCCGTCAAACCATTTCAATGATGTTTGAACCCAAATCACCCTTCTGGGTCACGCTTCTAACGCAGCTCAATCCTCTTTCCCTTCAACCCCCAAGCTCCTATCGTCTTCCCTAGCACATAACCAGCATAGGCTCCAACAACAATAGTTACGGGCCACTTCTGCCAGTCTCTGTCCCAATCCAACGGAATCGGCACGGCACCAACCCAAGCTCCTAGAAGACATCCCACGGTACCACCAAACAACCCGTCGATAGGACTGTACAGCGATATTATTTCTCTCCATTTTTGACTATCGGAGCCGTGTACGTAGATGAGAGGGAAGACGGTGAGCAGCGCAATGTGTGCGGAGCAGAGAAGGGTGTGCGGAAGGTGGGTTGTAAGAGGGGCGCCGAAGAGGATTTGGAGGATACAGAGGATGGGAACGGAGAAACCCGTGAAAAGCAGAGAAACAAATGATGTCTATGTATGTCGTGTGATTAGCAAATCATTCATCGACGAATATGAAGACTGGTCGGAGCTCACCAGTAACCTCTTCGCAACATCCCCAACTGGCTTCTTCGGGGCATTGAGCTTGGCTTTCTTGACGAACTTCGTGTTTGACCCAACTGCAGGCAGGCAAACAACGGCATACGATATCTGTACAGCTGCCAGAGGCAGTAATGTGCTCAGCAGTGTAGATGTCGGGTCTGCAACTAGAGCTGGGAATCGCACGTAGAATGCGGAAAGGAGGATCGCAGGATGAACTTGTGAGAATAACCGCGCAATGTCATTAGGTAGACGCTCAATTGGTAACGAGGGTTTTATTGTGATGACCTGTGATGAGGCGTCTGCGCTCGACATGGTTACTGGATCAATGAGTGGCATTGTTTGGCTTTGAAATAAAAAGTGACGATTGAAATGGGACGCGCTGGAGCCCTCATATCGGACCTCGGGGCGGAGATTCGATATTCCGTACCTTGAGAAATTTGAGCTTCGAATGATCAAATGATGGCTGGTATGGAGCTGCGTAATGGCCGAATTCCATGCTCTATTGCTTATTGTATTATAAAGTTCTATGAGCTATGTCCTATAGCTGCTCCTTTGCAAACCGTAGCCTTTTTCAGTCCTTAATTGCGGTCCTGCTGACCAGAGCCAGCTGCTCTTCCATTGTAAATTCTCATCAGCCATGTTATTGCGCCTCAAGATGCGAGCAACGGTAGACTCCCATGCCTTTTGATGTTATCATCAGTCATTAACTTCCTCTTTTAATGCCCCAAGTCATGTCTCTGCCCCAGCCTTTGGAACCAGATTTCTCAGCGACAGATCGTAGACTATATCCTCGATCTTCTTGACATTGTACTTGATACTATCGCTTCTGCGTCTTAACGAATCGTTCTTGAGGTTCAAGATCTGGAAACCAGCATGTAGATCCTTAACGAATTGGCTAATTTGTAGAGGTCGTTGGTAATCGCCAAGAGTGACTGAATTGATAGCCAGTCGGGAAAGCTCTTCAATGAGGGTTATGAGGGATTGGAGGTATTCTTCGATTGTAATATGGAAGGCATCTCGGTCTTTGAGATTAATAGGAACTGGAGCAGGGTCAGTAATGAGTTTTGTGGCAGAAGGACCCGGCACACCATTCAGAATTGCTCCAACTTCTTCAATTGTGAGGAGTTTGCCTTGGTCTGCCTTAATGTACGAGCTCATGCCCCCCAGCCAACCACAAAATAAAATGGAGAAAATGACATTCTGTACGTCTCGAGTCCAGAGGCCGTTATATTTGTAGTATGGGGAATTGGAGGAGATCGCAGCAAGCTTGCTGATGCTCTCGATCTCTTCCCTGATGTAGGTTTCAGCAGCGACTAGGACAGGTCCAACTGTGAATGTTAGAGGAATTCAGTAGAAGGAGGGGAACCTCACGGTTTGCAGCTGGAGTTGAATGGGCTCTTGACAGAACCGACTGCGCATTCCGGCCTTGCCTCTCCAGAGTTTGCGTAATGGCTCGAATCTGGTCTCTGACCTCGGCGTCATCATCGATCTTTGTTTGAAGCTGCTCGAAAATTCGGGGATCAACCATTCCAGAGCTTGTCATGATGGGCAAGCTGTTTGTTTTGGAGGGGCAGAAGGACTGGGCGGTGCCGATGAGACTTCACAGGTGTGGTCGCACGGTGTGCTTGAACAGCCGTCCTTAGGGCGGTGCTTCCTTTCATCTGCGAGAGGCAAAGTTATAGTTGGAACAGCATTACAGTCATCACAATTTTGAGGCTTTACTTATCCTTTCTTCTCCATATTCTAGACACCATAGCTTGATATCATATTACCCATTCCATTGTCCCAAGTCTCCGTCCCAGCGCGGCTCAGACCACCACCCTCTGCAGCAAAAGTTTCTGCCTCCCCAACTCGATCTCACTTGAACATGCAGCACTTCTGTATCCCACATGAACTTCTAAAAACCGAAAGCTAATTCCTTCTTCACGACCCTGGACAAGCCAAAATCCGTAATGAAAAAATGTGGTCGCGTCGACAGGAGGCAGTGTAATACCTGTGACACAGTGCGAGAAAGCATAGGCAAGCCCAGAGGCAATCCCGCAGAAGACAAAAATAAGTATAATCAATGTGACATCCTTAGATGTCTTTCAGAGATTAAACTGAAAAGAACAGATACTACACTTGATCTAAGCCAATAGGCAAAGAGAGCTAAAGAGAAAAGAAGAAGAGAGGAAGATGCGAATGAAAGTCGAGCTTATATAAAAATTCTACCTGGACCGTGCGTCGGCCTGGACGCTAAACTGTTTGCTCTGTTTGCTTATCATGTGATTCTTCCCTTTGTTTCGGTCATGAAATGTGGCTGTGCTCTACCTACCTACCTAGGCAGCTGGGTAGGTACCAACCTTACAAGAGAAAGCAGGCCCTACTGTGGGAGGTGCAATTTCTTGAAATAATGACCTCTTAACTATTATGAATTTCTTATTACTATCAATTAACTGTTAGTTGAGAGTCACTAAAATTTCATAATAGTGATATGATTATTATTCTAGGAAAGTGCGCCTCCCACGGTAGGGCGGAACCTGCTTTTTCCTTCAAGGTAGATATAATTAATTTACCTAATCATATGCCCAGGTGGGTTTAAAGTGAGGTAGTCAGGTCGGCTCCACGAGCGTTGTTTGGGTTTAACGGCCCAAGTACACCCCCCGGTTCCACATACTGTAACAAAACACATGATATTTGTGACTTCAAAATACTTACCTAGGTACCTAGGTAGATCCCTTATTTACTCCGCCTCGCTTCCTCGTACATCATGAGGTCGAGGGTAACTGACGCGACTACCTTCAGAGTCTACTTCGTCAGGCTTGAAGGTCCTCGAGTATCTCACCTTACCCTGCAACTTCGTACTTGGTTCGCGAGAACATGGGCTGGGCATCAAACCATGCTCTAGTAGGAGACAGTTCCAGTCCGCTCCATTCTTTACTGGAGGTAGTACCATTCCGATGACTCACTTTTACGCGACCTACCGTTATGGCCCACCTCAAGCAGTTTGGCATCCACTTCCAGTTGTTGAGAGTAGATGAAACTGTGCTCATTGTCGAGAGTGATTTGGCAACGGCATTGTCGAACCAAAATGATGCCATTTTCCACTTGGGCAATCAGCTCCAGTCCAAGACAGTCGTCCCCTCGCAAGGCAGCAATGACTTCTTTGAACAGGGCTCGATTTCCAAATTCGAGCGCAAAATGCAGTACACTGATCAACAACTCTTCATCTTGATTACCGTTGGAATCTAATCTTCGGAGGATATGTTGGTTTGGATTTCGTTATCACCGAACAGTCGCTACTCAATAAAGAGTTCGAGAGATTCTGGACGTCGAAAGGCAACAAGTACAATAAGTCGCTGCTTGTCCCTCCCGTGGAAGCCATCCATCACAAGGACGTGAAGGCTCAAAATCGGAAATTCCACCGCATAGCGCTGCTGTCAGTTCCGGCTACTCCAGTCGGCCTTTCACTGGACTTTCCTCCTGATTTACCGAGGTTTGATGCCTGCATTGACTTCCTTATGTACCTTGTGGAGAATTCAGCTATCACTGGAGAGGACATGATGATTGGTACTCCATTCTTGGCCCAGGCTACACTGTATAGAAAGCAGCTTAAGATCTGGTGGGCTAACTCTAGCGTCCAGAGTTAACACTGTCAGCATCCCACAAGGAAAGGAGAGAAGGGTTGTGACAGCCAACATGGTTCTACCCCATCAGTCCGAAACTGTATTCCTTGGTTTTAGGAAAGCATGGAATCGTATGAATGCCCTTGAGAGCCGTTGCCAGGATGTATTGCCACCCTCTTCAACTTCGATGCCATGCGAATCTGACTCGATTCCATTTATGCTCAAAATCCTACGCGGGCCTACTTCTTGTTGGACCACTTCTTCACTGGCCAGATATATACTGTCCAGCGATCTAGAAAGCTACCAGCCCCCAAGGCCGAGTTTCAAGGTCCTGGAGATAGACCGCCCATGGGGCAGATGCTATCAGACGTCCAAAAGCTAAGTGGCAGACTGGATCGCGGTGATCAAAAGCTTCAGAAGATAATATCGGGTGGCCAGTTGTATACAAATTCCGAGAAAAGATATCTCAAGGAGCTGAAAGCACTGCGTGGAGCAGCTACCGCCGATAACAAAGTTACACTGGAGTCAGAGAAGGTCGGGCAAGCGAAGCTGGCATTGGAGAATAAGGCTAGAGCCGACTTCAGGTATGAGCGCAGGAAAATTGGCGCCACGAAATCTGCTGATATAGAGATGCAGGATGCTCCGGAGGATTCTGAGAGGAAGAGGAGGCGGGAACTATTGAAAGCGGCCTCGAACCTCCCCTGGCTTGAAGAATATGAAGAAGGTTTGTAATAGTTGAACACCTGCAGATACAGGATGTCAAAATCAAGCAGCTTTTTTCGTGCATTTTGTGGCGGTTGAAACTCTAACGAACATGCTATGTGAAGTAAGGCCAAGAATAAATGATGCACAGAAGGCACAAATTACAAAGTTAGATATTCTCCACACACTTCTTCTGAGCCAGGCTGATACGCATCTAGAAGAATGTTAGTCATGAAAATTCATGATTTCTAGGATCCATTACTTGGTAAATGCCTAAAAGAAATCATTCCTCAAAGATCGTCTTGTGGGGCAAGTGGATTTATGCTGGAATGGACTGATGGTAAAGTTGTATAAAGCACATGGGCAAGTGTGGGATTATCCCTTTTGAATGTGGTTTACCAAACGGTCATAACGGCTCTCAGATCGTTTGTATGGAGCCAGAGGTCTATGCCGTATTGACTATTGAAGGAAGTACTGCGTGACTGCGTCTTCGGTGTGTGTTTCGTCCAGAGCATGCTTCACAGAAATATGATTCTTATTTGGCAATCGGAGCGGGCAAGCTTTGAATATAGCGTTTTTCAACGTGAATTATGTAGGATAGCAATTGAAAGTTGGAGGTGTTCGACCAAAGTCCAACATTCGTTCGATTCGTGAGTGAAGCCCTTCTTCACGTGTGAATCAGGCGTCCTCCCCTGTACCTAAATACTCGGAAGGAGCACTAGTGGTCTCGATGATGTTAGGTGGAGAACGCGGTATCCTAGGTATCAGGTTTCTAATTTCAAAAATCCGTTCAATTGATATGCTACGTGATCGCTCAAGCTGGTTGACTGACTACACCTACCTACCTGAAGGTACCTACTCGGTACCTACCTAGGTGGCACAGGTGGGACTGCACATGGAAGGTGTAGCACGTGACAGCTGCAACAGAAAATGTGCCTGAGCGAGCCGAGCAAACAATGCAAACCTAGCAAACAGCACAAACAGCACAAACACCCTAGCGCCTGCTGCAAGGCAAGTTGAGCACGGGCCTCATAGAATATCTATATAGCCTCAACCTCCTTCTCCTGATTCAATTTTTTTTTCTTCCTTAGCTCTCTTTGCCTATTGGCTTAGATCAAGTGTAGTGTGAGTACCCCTTTGCCCTTCAGATGCTCTCTTGCTAACTTAGATTCTAGATCTGTTCTTTTCAGTTTAATCTCTGAAATCCAGACAATGTCTGGAACTTTGATTATACTTATTTTTTTACCTTGGGAATTAACCTCCTGGCTTGCCAGTGTTTCTTCCCACTGTGTCACGAGTCTTACACTGCCTCTCGTTGACGCGAACGCTTCATTGCAACTTCTGGCTTGCCAGGACTGTGAAGAAGGTCAGTATCTACTGATCGGCTTCACCTAGGTAGGAGAGTTACGCCGAAGATCGAGGCCATTCGTCCATCTGCTCGACGTCGACCTACTGGAACCTGGAACCAGGCTGCCAGAAGTGCCTCGGGATTCCTTGCTGAGTGAGCGACTACTACGCAAAATCTTGTCGATGCGACCAGCGATGATGGCAAAGATAGCCATGGCCAGGGAAGTGCGACATGCAGCACAAGAGAGCTGGATGGGAGAAGCGGGAGCATAGACTTCTGCTGCTGCAGACAAACGATAGCTCCAAGCAGGCAGACCGAAGTGTTAGCATCCAAGTTATTGCAAACACGCTGTTCGATAAGATTGCTGTACTTTGTGGCCTCTTCAAGTAGCGTCAAGTATTACTTTTCTTGCAACTGTACAATTTACAATTGTGTAGCTCGGCAGTATCACCAGATTCATCTGCTATGCCATCCTACCTTGATGAATTCAGCAACGAGAAAGTCAATCTAAGCTCGCGACAGCAGCTTTTGCCTCTTTAGCGTTCAACGAGCAAACAAAGTCGTCAATGCCTAAGCACGATACTACAAATAAGGTGAAGTAACAAGCAACAAAACCACCTCCGGCTTCGATATTAACTCAGGATCACAACAAGTCCAGGACAGCAACAAAATGATGTCTCCAGACGCCGATGAAGTCTTCGAAGACTGCATCGAAGCACCCCCAGCCAATACTCCGAACACTACTGAGAGCGAGAAAAAACCTAGTGGTTTTCCATCAAGCCCAGCAACAAAGGACGGAGACAGAGGAGGCTCAAAGAAGCCCAAGACACCCCGTGAGCGACAGATCCAGCAGAAGTTCCAAGCGGTACGCAGTGTCTTTCATTCCACAAACAAATCGTAACGCTTACACTCCCCAGGCACGAACTGAGTACGAAAGAAAACGCTACGTTGCCTGCAGAGAGAAGTGTATGGATCTCCTCCGCCAGCGCAACCTCCCTCGCGTTCCCAGATGTTTGACACTCCAACTCTTCGCCTCATGTTCATACTACTACGGAGCCAAAAATGCGCTTGAGCAAGCTTTAAAGATTGCAAGTCAGGTGTGTAACTCCCTGTCTACAGTGTTCCGTTCTAACGAGGTTCAGTTAGGAGATTTGGATGCTGATGGGGAAGTGCGAAGAGATATTGAAGAGCTGTTGGAGGAGCTCGAGCAGTATCGCCCGAATGCTGGGGAACCCCGTATCTACATCAAGGAGCTCGAGGAAGATGAATATTGATACGCTGGGCAGGACACGAAGCTTAGGGCAATAGACAGAAAAGATTATGTGGGGACAACGGCGGGAAGTTGGCCTGCTGAATGGTGACAGGGCGACGGTAAGCTACTGGTAGGTAGAACATCGATCAAGGCCGTGCGATACCTACCAGAAGTCAGCGGCCAGTCTAGCCTCAATCCCCATGACAAATCATCAGGCGCCGACATGCTCTAATATTCCTTGAAGTCGACGCTCAACAAGACACAAACAGCACTCTCATAGTCCTACCCGATGACAAAGGCGTTTGCGAGGCGGCTGGGTTTTATACTCCAGTATGGACGTCCCACTTGAGACTCTGCCATATGCCCAGCAGATTCAAACTTATGTGTAAAAGCTTAGCTCTTTAGCTGACATTGCGACAGTAACGTCACCGAGCATTTGCTGAAAAAAAATCAGGTACTGGCGTACTCTGCCCGGAACGCAATCTTCAGAGAAGACAAGGCAAGCTCCAGTCACCTTCGCCGGCACAATTCATGGCGCCCCGAGCTTTTATGGGTCGGCATATTCCAAGAATACCTGTTGGCTTGACTTACGTCTCTTCCTCTGCTTCAGACATTTGGAAGCCTCCCTTTCATACCTCGCCATGCCTGTGCTATACAAGCCCCCAATAGACCATGACCAGTATCCTATTTCGAATGCCGCCGCCCAATCTGCTCTGCCCTGTGCAATCATCCACAGTCTCCTATGCCACGTCTCTCGCAGACTATGCATTTAATTGTATCATATACGCACCCGCAGCGTTCTTACCAGATGCCTCTCCACTTGCCGTATCCGGCAGATACCCAGCCTTCTACGAGTGAATCTCGTCCAGAGCCGCCCGCCATCCATGGTTCTCGGTTGCCTGCTGGGAGACTGTGTTGAAGATTGTTAAGTCCTTCTGCATCGAGCCTTGCGTGCCAGGGTTCAGGCTACAGGCTTTGGGTCTGCAGAGGCTAAAGACTTAAACACTGGGCATTTCCCTGCCTCTGAATTCCAGCTGCAACATGGGTTCGATAACAAGTGTGTGAAGGACCAACGTTACAGTCTGGTCAAAATCGGAGGTTCCACGTTTAGTTCTTCAGAAAAAGATATGTATAGGAACTGACGAGATTAAGCATGACACCAAATGCCGTTCTGGGAAAGCAAAACCAAAAGCACAAGAGCTATGCAACAACGCTGCAAATCTACACCACTTCCTTTGTCTTAGGCACTGTGATGCTGCCGGAATCTGTTGGTGTGAAACTGTAACTGTGCCGTGAGGCGCTGAGACATGTTCCGGGATATTGTAATGGTGTTTTCGCCTGAGCAGAAACAAACCGACCTAGGTAAACAAAGAAATGGCAGGTCCGCAGCTATCGGTCCCGGCTTGGAGTGCAAGTTGTGTTTACAGCACTGCGGAGGTACCTAACTGATGTTCGAGGCAGCCAGGCAGCGAGGGCTGCCGAGGATCAACTCTCCAGTCTGCTGTTGTCCACTCTTACAATACAGTTAAAGTACCTTAGTCTCAACGATCATATCAACTGCAGCACAGTAACTGGACAGTCTCATTAATCGCTGCGACCTGCCTCAAGCTTTCCTAAAATACCTCGCTACCTTACCTTAGTCTAGATACTCGTAGCTACCTTACCCCAGATTGGCCCGCAGTGGATGTGCTCCAGCTGTGCCGAGGTCCTTTCACATGCAGTACAAGTGTTCCGGAGAGGCACGAGCAAGCCAAAAATCCTACCTGCATTATTGCCGCAGCGTACTCTACCTACCATACAAATACCTTGCATCGACTTCAGTTGATTACACCCGCAGGCTGTTCTGTTCCTCCCTCCCTCCTTCAAATTCTCTCTACCACGTCTAAATATCCCCTCGCTTCCCTTCTGCAGCCTCCGACAGATAACGAATGAACCATACGTCACGTCAATACATCATGTCTCTCAAGAACGGTACACATGGAAATCTTGGTACACCCCGTTTGAGACCAGTTTTAATATTTCATAGACTCTTTCCCTGCCTCTGGAGCCTTTGATGCAATCAACGATACCCTTAAATCCTCCGATGCTGAGCGCAAGGACGCCGTCAAGCAAGCCAATGCCGTATTCGCCTTCACGCTGAAAAACAAAGCCGGCGAGACGGAGAGTTGGCACATCGACCTCAAGAATAAGGGGGAAGTTGGAAAGGGATTAGGAGAGAAGCCAACAGGTATATGCTCCTCGGACTAGAAGCCTCACAATGGCGTAGTCAGCAGAGCCAAGACAGTATACACGCAACAGAATACAAGCTAACACGCACAATGACAGTAACCCTCTCTCTATCAGACGAAGAATTTGGCAAGCTGGTCTCTGGGAAAGCAAATGCACAGAGACTCTTCATGTCAGGAAAGCTGAAGGTTAAGGGAGATGTCATGAAAGCTACAAAGATGGAACCTATCCTCAAGAAGGCTCAAACCAAGGCGAAGTTGTAGAGTGCTGGGGGCATGCAACATCCTCGTGTACACATATATTACAATTCATCAATACCCCGTTCCGCATCTGGCTCTCAGGTTTACGTGAACTGTACATTAGTGATGCTGCCTGGGAATTCTGTATAACTCGTCTTATCCTGGCTATCGGCGGATCCCGTCAAAAATTGGTCATGAAAATACTAAAACGGCATTCATCTTCAAACATGAGATTCAACCATCTCATTATAGGAAGGTGGCATCGTGGGTACTAAGACAATTGTGTTGTAAAGCACCAGCAATTGCCATAAATTGTACGGGCTTTAAATGTGCCTCGTCGCAACATCAACCAAAGTCTCCCATAATACTTAACAACCCCGCCAAACCACAACAGGCATGTCTCGACGAATTGGTTGGCCTTCGCACATGCCAGAAGATGTATGGGCAGAGGTTGCACATGATATTCCTGCGAAAGATGAGCCATTCATCAAACAGTATCTTTCTGGCCAGGAGGCATTGATTACAGAAGAAAAGAAGCAGCGGAGCGGTACGTACTGCGCACCAGATTAGTACTCAGGCTGACAGTCATAGACCATGCTTTCCGCGAGACCCTCTCCCCCATGGCCAAAGAAGCCTGCGCAATAGTTGACAGGATCCGAGACGAGGAGAAGCGTACGATATGGACGTCAGAATTCGAAGACCACATGGCGCAGGAGACAGGCGCAAACGTATACCCTGGAATGATGTTCTCTCTGGCAAAGGAGAGGATGGAGAAGACAAAATTATGGCAGATCATCAGGCGGATGCCAAAGGGCGCTCTGCTACACGCCCATATGGATGCTATGGTGGATTTCGACTACCTGTATGACGTTCTGTTGAAGACACCGGGAATGCATATCCGAAGTCCAAAACCATTGGCCACCCAAACGGATCTTGAAATCAGCGAGTTCAACTTCCGATTCTTTAAGGCCGAGAAAGGTAAGTTCTGTCGCGAGCGTAAGACTGGACAGTCACTAACAATCATTCCAGGAATTGATGCCTCAATTTGGAGTCCTGAATATGTGCCACATACCCCGATTCTCCTCACCAAAGCAGCAGATGCTTTCCCAAATGGCGGAAGAAATGGCTTTCTATCCTGGTTGAAGGAGAGAACTACCATCACACTCAACGAGTCGATTGAGCACCATCACGGTGTTGACGCCGTATGGAGGAAGTTCCAATCCTGCTTTATCATTCTCAACTCAATTATCTTCTACGAGCCTATTTTCAAGCTATTCATGAGACGAATGATGCAGCAATTAGTTGCCGATGGAGTCAGATGGGTCGACTTGAGACTGGCATTTGCCTTCTACTACTACCGCGAAGGCTCGGAAGAGCCAGAACCGACATATGATAGGATGTTCAAGATATTTGGTGAAGAAATTGAAAAATTCAAGGCTTCCGAGGAAGGAAGAGAGTTCTGGGGAACTCGAATGATCTGGACTGGTATGCTTTTTGCCAGGAACTTCTGGCATTCAGGTCCGAATATCTGCCTTCTTGACGCTGACATCAATTACAGGACTCCGAGCACTTGATACTAGAAAGATCGTTGAGGACATGGACGCTTGTATTGCAATCAAACTCGCATACCCCCATCTGGTGTCTGGTTACGATTTGGTTGGTCAAGAGGATCCGGGTCGACCGCTGAAAGACCTACTCCCAGAGTTATTCTGGTTCAAAAAGCAGTGCGTTCAAGAGGGAATCGAATTACCATTCTTCTTCCACGCGGGAGAAACACTCGGTGATGGGAACGATACTGACCAGAACCTCTTTGACGCTGTTCTCCTCGGCACCAGAAGAATTGGCCATGGATTTTCCCTTTTCAAGCACCCTCTCCTCATCGACAGTAAGTAGCCCTTCTCTATCAAGTCTCAAGGACTCTGCAACTTTTGGTGGTCAGATTTCCAACTAGCAGAGTTAACATTATTCAAAGATACACACGCTGACTATTGTAAAGTGGTTAAGGAAAAGAAGATTCTCGTTGAGAGTTGTCCGATCTCTAACGAAATCCTCCGTCTCTGCGCATCAGTCATGTCTCACCCCCTCCCAGCACTACTTTCTCGCGGCGTTGCTTGCTCTCTTTCCAACGACGATCCAGCTATTCTGGGGCAGGGTACTAACGGAATGACCCATGACTTCTGGCAAGCTCTCCAGGGCTGGGAAAACCTTGGATTGGCTGGTCTCGGCTCCTTGGCTGAGAACAGTGTCCGATGGGCAGCTTTCGAGGACCAAACCCAAGCAGAATGGGTTGCCGGCATCAAGGAAGCTTCACTTGGAAGTGGGATGAGAGCTCAGAGGATGCAGCAGTGGGCTATCGAGTGGGAGCAATTCTGTCTTTGGATCGTCACTGAGTTCGGAGATGATGGTGAGAGTGTCCAAAATCTGCGTCAAGAAACGAGCCTCGATACTCAAAATTAGATTTTAGCTGGGTTATTCTAATTGATATCGCCTTGCTTTGGAGTTTGTACGATAGAGAGGTAGAGGAATACTCTGATCCTCATCGATTCAGGGGCGGCGTTAGGGTGGCTTGGGAAGCCGGCCCCTGGCCTGAAAATAGTCTAATTTCGACATTATTAGAGGCAGTTGTCAACTCTGAAGATCGAGAGAATGCAAGGATTCGGATTGGTTGTGGCTAGTTAAATGCATCTCCTCTTGGAATCTCATGCACTCATGATGGGCAAGTGCCTATTTGACAACCCTTCTGACAGGACGGAACGGCTGAGAGCAAAGATGAAGATGGTTACACAGAGCATCGAGATAAGCGCAGGAGATGCCGTTGGGACACAGGCCCACTCGGCCATTTCTTCGCTCGAAGTCAAGTTCTCTTAAAATCATGAACGTAGTATTACATCTATAATGCGGGGATAGAAAACAATCGCTATGCAACGCCACCCATGCAGTCCTCGATGACCTCTTGTCCAACCGAAACACGGAGCCACGTTGGGTCACCGCACTGAAAGACACGCATCCCACATGAAGATACCGGCGGAAATACAAGTCTGACCCCAGATCCCCTCCCTAGATCAACCAGTGAATGGACCAATGACCATATGCACCATCCACGTCATTTCTCAAAATGACTTATTCTTCTCCAGGACCTCTGCCAACTCCTTTGCTAACTCCACTGTCTTAACTTGCAAGAGCCATGTCTCCAAGCCCTTCCCATCACCAGCATTTGCGAGAAGCTTAACTGTCTTTGCCGCTGCCTCGTAGTTGACTTGGGAAAGAAGCGCTTTGTTCAGGATAACTGTGCCGAGGGGGTCAGCACGAAGTAGCATTCTAACAGCATTCGTATCTTTATCCTGGAGAACTCTGAGAGGTCCCAAGCCTTTCGTCGTCCACTTGCTACCTTCTTCAGGGGTTGTAGTGAACATGAGTGCCTTTGCACGGACTTCAAACAGAACTTTCTCATTCTCCTCACCAGGGCCACCAGATGTCAGGTTGATCTGCTCGTGGACCTCAGCGTCAGGATCTCCATCCACACCACTGTCCGCATCAGTCGTAACGCCTGGAGAGGTTGCCCTCGAGGTGTTTGCAGAGCCAGTAGCAGATGGGAAGAGTGAGGACGTGACGCTAGGTGCTCCGAAACCAAAGCCAACATTTCCTGAGGATGGCCCCTTCGCACTGCTGGAGCTGCCAAAGAGGTTGGACAGAGTAGGCTTTGGATCCTTGCTACCGAATGAGTTGGATGCAGGAGCCGAGGTGGGTCCGCCAAAGATATTTGAAGAATTGCCTGTTTTCGTAGGTGTGGCCGTTGTGATGCTGACAGTGGGTGCTGAAACACTCGTCTCGGTATCTGCTGCTGCGCCAAATCTTATGGGGCTATCTGGTTTCCAAGTCTGGTCGGTAGGCGCTCCAGTGGCTTTTTTGAAAGGATTGCTGAAGGGGCTGCTAGCATCCTTGAAGATATTGGATGTGCTTGGATGAGTGTTCTCCTTCTCCTCGGTAGAGATGTGCCGAACAGGATTACCATTACTATCTTTGGTGATTCTATCAAAGAGATTGCCCCCAGGAGTAGTACTACCACCATGTTCCTTCTCTGCTGGAGTATCTCTGCTTCCAATTCGGTCGAAAAGGCTGCGTCCCGGAGTTGATGTGCCACTTTGCTCCCTTTCTGTGGCTGGTTCTTTACTTCCTACTCTACCAAACAGGCTTCCACCTGGTGTGCTAGAACCTGAACCGAATGGGTTTGCCTTGAGAGTGCCATAACTACTGGAAAGGTTCGTTTTCTTTGCAGAAGCAATTCCATCTCCGGTTTCTGAAGCCGGTGTACCCGGTCCGCTGGGATCATCACCTGGCTGATAGTTGGGATCTCGATTCTCTTCATCTCCATCAGTTTCTTCATCTGCGCTTTCATCATCAGCATCGTTGCCCTTCCCACTATCTGCATCAGAAAGGTGGCCGAAAATATTGCCACCGAACGAGATTGATTTAGTCGATACATGTCCATCAAGAACAGAACCGGTGCTGCTTCCCAGAGGTCCTGGGGTTGAAGTCCTAGAGACGTTCAAAGAGCTGAAGACGCTGTTTCCCGAACCTTGATTGGCGCTGTTCTGACCAAAAAATGGCTTCGATGTGACAACTTTGTTTAAGGATTCAGGCGTCAAACTCGTTGAAACAGACTTGTCTGAGTCTGCTTTGTCAGAGTTGGGGACGAAAGCATTACGCGTATTCTTTGCCAGGTCTTCCAATGCCTTCAGTTCATTCCTACGTTTCTCATAGTATTTCGCTTTGAAATCCTCCAGATCACCGTCATCAGAATCATAGTCCGCATCAATTGCCTTCTGTAGGAGCTTCTTCTCATTATCCTCTTTATCCTCCGAAGCTTTTTTGCCGAACTGAGCAAGGAAATCCACAGGCACTGTCGAGAAGGTAGGTGGCTTGAGAGTGCTTCCCTTTGCTGCCGACACGGTATCGTTCGTGGTTCCACCTGTAGGCTTAGAGGAGAATGGATTCTTAGGGACGCGGCCTGCAACATTTGGAATGAACGTCTTCAACTCGGCAGGAGTTGGAGTGCCAAACAACCCGGGAGTCTTGGATTTTTCGGGGTCGAATGTTGTATTCGCACCCGGGGTGTTCAGTGGAGCGAAAACGCTTGGGGATGGCGATGCTACCTTAGAGGTAAATGTGGCCGAAGGAGCTGATGCAACTGGAGAGGAGCTGGATTTAGGAGGCGAGGCGGGCACTGGCAATTTCCCGAACGGATTGATCCTAGAAGTTTCCTCTCTTGGTTCCGGGAGAGGAGCAGTCTTCTTTTCTGGGCTGAACTTTGTGGGGCTACTTGACTTTGATGGTGAAGGGCTGTCGAGAATGTTTTTGAAAATGTTTGAAGTGTTGGATCCAACAGTACTACCATTCAATCTAGGTGTCTTGATCTGTCTCAGTGGGCTCACCTCTTCGGTGTCCTTGGTAATCTGATTTTCGGCTTTTCTTTTGTTCTTCATCGGGGAAGGAGTGGCGAAGTTGGATGATGGATTTCCATTATGACTGACGGCCGCCGGTTTGTCAGAACCGGGCTCCTGTAAAGCATTGCTGGCTGCACTGCTAACGTTGCCATTACATGAAGGCTTGGGATCAGAAGTAGCTGGAAGTTCTCCTTGTGTTGATTGCTCCTTCGTTCGCTCGGTAGGATTTTCATTCTCTCGGTCTTCATCCAAAATCAGCTTGCGCTTGGTAGGTGTTTGACCCGTAGTGGCTGAGCCAACAACCCGGAATGGGTTGGTAGCAGTGTCTCTTGCGAAATTGCTGCTGTTTCTGCCGCTCCGGCTGAGTCGTTCCTGACAAGCATTGTGTTCCTCTACCAATTTCCCTCGCAGCTTAATATAGCGAAGTAATGTGGGACGAGGATTGACATCTGCAGGGAGCACTTCAAACATGGCCGACATTGCTTGATTCATGGCATCGATCCGGTACTTTGTAATCCAGTTCGCCTTGACTTGCGGGTCATCTTTCACGTCGCCAGGCAAGACCTTAGCAACCTGCTCGTCTGTGATATTGAAGGGGTCGGGTCCAGAGGCCAAGGCTGGATGATCGGCTGATAGAGGGAATGAGGAACCAAGAAAGTTCACCTGTACATTGTGTTGAGTTTCCTGCTGTAAGCCCTTGCTTGGCTGGAGTAGATTGGGAAACATCCCGCTTGGTGGAGGTTGACTGGCTGCCATGGGAGCGTCTGTCAATGGAGAAGAGATCTTGGGAATGTGTTGGAAAGAAGGCGGTGTTGAAGTAGACAGATTCTGTGGCCTGGCGCTATTGGTCGCGCCATTGTTGTTATGGTTCTTTGAGCAGTTAGCGAGAGGCTCCTTGATATTGAGCGCGCTTGCTATTGCAGATTGTGGTGGGACGATAACAGCCAGGAATTTGGGTAAGCGAAAGGGAGGGGCGAGAAACTTACTGAAGGAGAAGATTGACCAAAGAGGGAGGGCGCTTTCTTGAATGGAGAACTCGATTCCGCTAATGAAGTCACGCTCTCAACACTATTTGAACTACCTCTGAAGCCACTGTTGCCCTGATGCTGTTTCACGAATTCATCAACTGGCTTGTTCAGAGCTCCGAAAGGGTCGTTCGTTCCTGACTGCTCGGAGTTGGCCTGGCCAAATAGATTACTCGCTGCTGTCAATGTCTTGCCTGTACTACCAAGCCCGTTGGCTGTGGACGACGGTTTGTTCAAGCCGCCAAAGATGTTATTAGGCGCCGGAGGCCGCTGCTCTCCGAAGATGTTGGACGTCGGCAGTGAGCCAGAAGTTGAGGGTGTAGTAGCTGGTGGCTTGGCAAACAAGTTGTTGCTAGTAGATGCTGGGCTTTCGTCTCTGCTTCCACCCAGGTTGTTCATAGAAGGAGTTGTGCTTCCAAACAGATTACTCGTTGGTGCAGTCGGGCCAAAGACGTTCGGAGTCAGTACTGGTTGAGAAGTAGAGGGTCCAAATAGGTTACTGAGAGGAAGCGCAGTCGCAGGTTGGGAGCCAAAGTTCACGCCAGAATTTGATACCGGAGCTGGATTTTGACCAAATACAAACGGGGTAGTTGCAGACTTCTCCTGCGCTACTTTCGATCCAAAAATGAAAGGGGACTTTGGTGCTTGGCTTTGCGGGGTGTTTTGTTCTGCTGTTGAGCCGAAATTGAAGAGCGAGGCTGACTTCTGAGGCTGAGGAGTCGCTGGTTTCTCTTGAGGCGCGGAAGAACTGAAGTTGAAGGGCGAATTGAATGACTGAGGTTTCGTGGCTTGCTGGCCGAATTGAAAAGGGCTGCCCGCCGGCTTGCTGTCTGCAGGTGGTCCAGATCCGAAGCTAACGCTGGGGCTTGCTGGCGCAGGCTGTGAAATACCACCAAAGGAGAACAGGTTGCTTGTAGGCGTATTTCCATGGTTGAAAGCATCTGAAGTTGCTGGCCCTGTTGAGCTGCCAAATGAGAATATGTTGCCACCCGGAGCTGCTTGTGCTGTTGACGTTCCAAATGGGTTGACCGAACTTTGGCCGAATGAACCAGACTGAACCGTGGCCGGCTGACTCTGCTGCATCGTTGATGAACCTCCAAACTGTCTCTTCATAGCTCTATCATCTCCCGGGAATCGGCCTTCGCTGTCTGACACGTCCGGTGAGGGTGTTGCATTGCTACCAAATGGAGGGGCCGCAAAAGTCATCCCCCCGGGAGCAGAGAAGTCAAAGGAGCCTGAGCCTTGTATGCTTCCACCAAAGAGTCCATTTCCGTTCTGCGCTGGTTGGGCAAATTGTGGTATCGAGTCAGATCGGGACCCTGTCACGGTACGGCCTGTCCTCCCTTTCGGCTTTGCCTTGATGTTTCTTGCTGCTAGCTGCGCAGCATTCGCACGCTGAGGTGCATCCATCTTTGCGTGTTAGATATGAGATCAAGTTCGACAATTCGATATGTTCGTATGCGCGTTGAGGTCGAAGAGAAGTTTTGGGAGGTTGAAATACTCGATGTGGATGGGAGCGCGAACGATACCTTCCCGCGTGACTATCGAGATCAAGGAGGGCAGATCCTCGAGTGTGCCCTCTAAAATCGACTATCGAAGTAACATCAATATGCTTGTAGCAGTGTTGCGATGGTATGCCGTCGACGTAAGCGTGAACGCGATCTGGTCCAGGAATGAACAAAGAATATGGATTATGAGCCTTGAGAAATCCCAGCACGGACTCTTCCAGGGCAGGCGGCTGTGTCCACCTGCTTACTAATACATTATTGCGGAGATGTTCGTCTGAACCTAAACACAGAACAAGCAAGACAAAAACCTAACATGCAGCAAATAGAATTGAGGTTACTGCTCTTCGATTCGCCTTAAATAACAATTTTGCCGTTTTCCTTCATTTTTCAACCATCATCTAGCAATAGGGCACCCCTTTACCTCGACACGGCGTCCTTGGTTCTGTCTAGAGGCTTTTTTTTTTTTTTTTTCGAATCTATAGTCTATTTAGCTACTATCTAGCACTATGCAGATATACTATTACAGACTAGTTATATATATAATCACGGGCTAATTAGCCCTGTATCTAGAGCTAATCAGAGTATAAAAGAAACTAGTATAAATAAAAGAAATCTAAATAATATTAAAAACTTATATAATTCTATATAATCTTATATACTCCCTAAGCCTTCTGCTCCTGTTTTAATATATATTACTATTATTATAGCCCTTCTCTAGTAAAGAGCTTAAATTTCCCTATTATATTATCACCAAATTGCCGCTCTAGCCGCCTCTTATAAAAGTATAGAATATTACTCTAGTAGAGAGTTCATATATAAAGCTATCGGGTTTATAAGACTTATAGCTAATATAAAAGCTATAGTTCTAGGAATAAGCTCGAGGTTATTTAGATATACTTTTATATTAGTATAGACCTCTATAAAGTACTTATCTCTTAATCTATCTAAGTATTTATAATCTTTAATAATATATTTAACTATTTAGTATACTTATTTATAATTATACTATAGGTTATCTAATTATTTAATTATATAAAAGTATCCGCGGAAACTGATTTTATTAGTTCTTATCTAGATTAGCACTAAACTCTTAGCTTTTATAAAACCTTTATAAAGCTTATTAATATATTAGTTAATATAATATTAGGAGAACTTCTTCTAAGTTTCCTTATAAAGAAGTGATATCTCGCCTTAATTCTAGTGTTTAGTCTACTAGTATCTTATCTTCTTCTTAATCTATCTCTTATACGACGAGATTAGCTAAAAGAGCTATAGTAGATATATTCCCTTTATTATTATTAACTAGCTCTTATTATTTTAGTACCTCTACCTTATAGCTTCCTTAGCTAATTAGTTTACAGTCTTATTCCCCGGGATACTAATATAAGCTAGAATCTAGCGTATTATTACTAGGACCTACTAACACTAAAAGACGTTTACTAAGTAGTAGATTTTCCGTAGGATTATTTAGCTCGACTACTTCTAGGAATATACTAAGGATAGAATCGCTACTTAGTTATCTATAAAGATAATAAGTCTTCTTATATTATTATCTTTTAGAGTTATATCTAGCGCTATCTAAATACTACATAGTTTAGCGCTATAGATTATAAATTAGAAAGATAGACCTATATCTAGTTAATACCTCTTCTTTTATTTTAGGTCTTATATAGCTACTTCTACTTATCTCTTAATATTACTTCTATTAGTAGAGATTTATATATATAATATTAAGTTCTCTTACTATAGCTTATTATAGGACTTTATTACTATCTTAGTATCCTTAATAATATATATAAGGGGAATCTACTACGATTTAGCTACTACTAGTACTTATTATTTAAGTCTCTTAAATATCTCTAGTAATATAATATATCTTATACTCTCCTCTAGCTCTTAAAGTAATAACTTTCTTCAGTGTTTTTTACTTATTATACCTCTCTCCTTTAGTATTCTTATCTTTTAGTATATTAAGGAAGCTCTAATTCGATGTATAGTAATTAAGCTGAGCTAAGTAAGCTATACTTTAATATTAAATGTCTTTATCTTAGTATTAAGTACTATTATAGCTATAGATTGGAAGGCTCTAGTAGCTAAGTATAGAGCTTTCTTTTATAAGATATCTAGTATTCTTAGTTATTTTACTTAGTTTATCTTCTTCCTATAGATAGAGTTTAAAATCTACTAAGTAGAATAGCTATAGAATATTTATAAAGTAATAATTACTTTAATTAATATTAATATATTTATATTTAATACTTTCTACTTAGAGCTAGAGATTTCTCTACTTATATCTTAATATATTCTATATACTTTATATTATTTAGTTCGCTATCTAAGATAATTCTTAAGTAGTAAGTATAAGTCTTTACTTATATCTCTATACTATTTCTAAGATTAACTAATTTATCTTATACTAAGATTTTCCTTTTATTACTCTCATAGATAAAGTATATAAGCTTATACTTCTATAATATAAATATTAAAGTATATCACTAGGCTAATTCTTTTACTTTTAAGTATAAGAGTTCTAGTTTCTACACTATAGATTTAGTAGTAGCTTCTTCTATTATAAAGCTAATATCATTAATATAGCTTATTATTAGCTCTTTTAAACAACTTATCTCTAATAAGTCTATATTATAAAATAAGTATAAGATAAGTAATAGTAGTAAGCCCTTAGGGATTCTAATAAGGACTTTAAACTTTATACTAACGCCTTTATAAAGCTTATATATATAGTTCTACTTCGTAAGTACCTAGCTATCTACTAAATAATCTCTTCTAGTAAGCGACACTTTTAGAAGTTATAAAAGAATCTTTCGTAAGAGATATTATTAAAAGCTCTAGAGATATTAAATATTAAGAGGCTTATTATTTTATATTTCCTTTATATTATATATACTTTCTCTAAGAGTAAGTATATTATATATTTATATAATAACTACTTCTAGCTCTTAGTATAAGACACTAGAAGAAGCTTATATTATTCCATATAATATTATATTCTCTTTACTAAGATAATATCTATAACTTTTCCTATTATATTTATAAGAGCTACTAAATAATATAACTTTAGTTATAAGTAGTTATATTTCTTAGGCTTTCTTAGTACTATTATAACTAATCTTTTAAACTTATAAATAGTATTAGAGTTAAATGAACTAGTTAAAGAGTTTAGTATAAATCGGAACTAAAAAATCTATTATAGCCTTTAAGACTCTATTAGGGATTCTATTTTCTTTTAGAGCTTTATCTAAAGAAGTATCTCTTAATACCTCTCAGACTTCTTACTTATTAATTAGAATCTATCTCTCTACTAGTATAAGGTAGTTATAAAAGTATATATCTATTAAGTCTACCTTTAGAAGTTAAGAGAAGAAAGTAGCTTATAGTACCTCTACTTTACTTTCTATATCTTCTACTAACTTTCTATTACTTTTCCTAATATCTAGCGTAAAAGCTAAGACTTTAGTACCTCTCTATCTTATCTATCTCGCTAGTAACTACAACTCTTTCTTATCTTATATATTAGATACTCTTTCCTTATAAATATCTCTTTAAGCGACTTAAATCGCCTTCTTCTTAGCTCTTTTTACTATTATAAACTCCTATATATCTTAAATAATACTCTTAACTTTATTCTACTAGCGCTAAGCTCTTTTAACTTTATCTACTACCTCTTTATAAGCTCTTATAAACTTTAAGACTATTCTCTTAGTATACTTCTTCTTTATTATAACTAATATTACTACTTATTATATTACTTCTACTACCTTATTAATAATATTATTAAGGTTTATTAGCGTGATTATAGCGTTACTTTCAGCTATAAAGAGTAAGAGCTCTTATAGTATTCTTTAGAAAGTCGCTTAGTCTATAGTTTTATAGTCTTATTAGCGGATTATCAGGGTTCTAGAATAATCTATTAAGATTACTATCTTTATTAGTAAGTGGTCTAATATTATATCTAACTCTAAGACTACTTTATAAGTAGCTAGTCTATCTATAAGTTTAATACTATATTAACTTAAGTCGATTATAGTACTTTATAGATTCGACTAAATATCTACTCTTAGTCGAGTAACTATACTTACTAGGAGAGTAAGTTCAAGGCTATAATCTACTATTATACTTCTTATTACCTTTAAATATACCCTTATAGTAAGGCAGCTATTTAGAAGTAGTAGGTTTCTAAACTACCTCTTATAGTATATATTAAAGTCTTTTACTACTACTTAATTATTATTCCGGAATTTCTTAAGAGTAATATTAAGTTCTAGTAATATACTCTCTTAAGGTATTCCTTCTTAAACTCTATATATATACGAATCTAATATATTATATAAGTTATATTATTAGTTCGTAAACTTATATTATAGAAGTATAGGAGGTAATCAGAAAGGATAGATAATCTTAGTTAGAAGAAGAACTACTTTTAAATATAAACCGAAGGTTATTCGGGAGGTAGTATATATTATAACTCTTAGATACTTTTTATAATATATAATTTTTAAACACTTTTAAACTAAACCTTAGATTTTAATATATATTAATATATACTTATTATTTATTTACTAATATAATACTAATACTAATTAGTAGTTACTTTATACTATAAAATAGATAAGTTAAATACAATAAAGTTAACTCTTAAGATATAATACTAAATTAATATTAGTAAGCTTTTATTAAAACTAAATAAAGTAAGCTTTATAGAGTAACTAGAGAACTCTTATTAAAATTAAGTAAAGTAAGTTCTATACTACTAAAAAATAATAGCTACTCTTTAATAGTTATTAAGATATTTCTGAAGCTATTTAATTAGATATTTCCGAGATATAAAAGATACTTTTAAAACACTTATAAATCGCCTCTAGTATAATAGCGACTTTAATAAACTAAGTTATAAAATAACCTAAAGTAAAAGTAAGAAGTAGTAGAACCTTAATATAAGATAGAACACTAGCTTTTAAAGCACTTTTAGCTAGTCTTATAGTAGTAGATATTAATAGTCTAGTTTAAGGATTTATAGATTATTTTATAAGGAAGAGTATTAAGGAAAAGATATTATTTTAAGACTTTTAAGAATACTTTCCAGATTAAATAGCAGATAATTTTAAGAAGATAATAAGTAAGTAATAATAAAAGCTCTAAGATTATCTTTTAAAGAATTAAGTTTATATTTAATATTAAAAGGGATTATAGATTTCTTAAGCTCTTATAATAGTAGTTTAAGTATAAGAGAATACTTAGTTAGATAGATAAGAAACTAAACTACTACCAGACTTATTATTTAGCCTCTTTTTAGATAAGGTTTAGACTTATAATTAAAGAGAGAACTAAATATAATAAATACTTTATTAAAACTTGCTTAATATATTATTTCTATTTATAGAGATTATAGCCCTTAAGAATATAAAGATAAAGTATTAAAATAGCTAAGGGAGGATATAAATAAGTGATCCTTT